CGAGAGGGAAATGAAATGAAGTCATCACATTGGATCACCACTCACCTCGTCCGGCTCAACGTCGTACGATGGAATAGGGGCGGCTATCACACATGTGTCGCCGGCTCCGCCATGGCGGATCCGCGGAGGGTTTTCCTCGACTGGGACCGCAACTCAAACAACTGTCCAGCTAGCGCGCCTAGTAACACCATTAGCTGGAATCTCTACCAGTGTTCGGCGCTGGCCCACGACGTAAGCACCACCTATAGAGACTATCGGTGTTTCGAGAAGGCCCCACCCCGTTGGGTAGCGCAACCAGTCTTGGTGCTCGCTATCGTTCGATATTATTGCGCCTCTACCCGCTCAACTCCCCTATAGAGACGCCGATGTCGCCGCCCGCCTCTCAATGGCTCCAAGGCAGACTCCGAGGCCTAAGGGCAGATTCCGCGGGCTAGCCCAAGCCTTCCGTTCTTGGCGGCGGATCTTAAAAAGAGCGGTAAATGAGCGGTGCGGCTGCGCATGCTCGTCAGATGACTGGGATGACCGGGGGCTCGAAGCGCGTCGGAAAGCTAACGGTACTTGCCTGGCCGGGTTGGATTTGAACCGCCGTCCAGATAGCTCCCGGCGCCATATCAGATCCAGAAAACATGGGGCGCGCGGGCGAGACGAGCTGGATGCATGTCCGTTTACGCTATGAGGCTAAAGCCCTTGTCGCTCGCGTTCGCGTCGGGCGGCCGTCTGGAGTGTAGCGTGTCCGGCCGCGGGGCAGGGCATCTGACAGCGCGCGGCTGCAATCGTCTGCAAATCAGCCGCAGGCACGCGAAGGCGCGTAGATATTGCCTATATGTATGTACGAGTTATCGATCACGAGCACCGTGGCTAAACATAGAGCCGCTGGCGTCGGCCCTCTGGCGGCCGTTGGTCGTTGACGAAAGCAGCAGTCTGACAACAGTCGTTAGGCAGGCTTGTGAGGCGCGCGGCATGGCCCTGGAGCCACATGGGCGCACAGGACCCGAGAAACCCAGTAGAGTTTGCCAGTGGCTGAACGCATGGATGGGGAGGCGGGCAGATTGGCAGCTTGGAGGCGTCAGCCAACCGCAGCGGGTCGAGCCCGATTGCCAGCACGCCCTTTCCCGCTCGAGGCAGTGATGGACATCGGCCTGCGAACAAGCAATGTGATGATCACCCGGGATCGTCTCGCTGGGTCGAAGCCACTCGAGCGGAGGGATGCCCCGGCCAGCAATGTGCAACCGCCATTCGCAGCTCGCGTGCGGGCCTGCAAGATTGACGATGCTGCTGCTGCTACTGCTCAGCGACCTCTCTTGCGTGCAGCATCACCGCCTGATCGGCGACTCTGCAAGACCCTGCCCATCATGGCCCCCTTTTTCCGCCGCTGCCCTCGGGACCGAGTCTGGCCTCGAGCGAGTCGTGCCCCTTCCCCCCCGCCGTTGATGCCGCCGTTCGCTCGGCCAACGGTCCTCGTTGCATACGTGTCGCTGTCGGTCGCGTGGAAGCTGTCCGGGTCGACGGCGCAGCTGAGTGAGTGGCAGTGGTCGGGAAGCGATCCCTGCGAGCGATCCACGCCGGCCCCTGCTTGCCAATGGCGGAGATGGGCTCGAAGCGGTAACGCTGCGATCAGTTGACGGCGGTCGAGCCCCCCCTTTCGCCGCGCAGAGGCCAGTGCAGGTCGCGCTCAAGGAATTTTCCAGGCAAAAGCGGCCAACGCTAGCGGTAGGCTGGACCTAGCCGAATCCTTCGCGCAAGCGACGCTGCGGAGGTACGGGACATGCCGGGGGTGCTGGAGACAGGTCGCGGGCAACTGCCGGCTGGTGAGACGGGTGGTGAGGGAGCGTAGCCAGGACGTGACGAAGGCGCCGCGAAGAAACAGCCGCAGCGGGTGGCTCGCGGGCGAGCGGCATGGGTGGTGTTTTTGACCCCTTGCTAGGACCGAAGGGGCCAAGCTGTCGCTTTGGGCAAACGGCCGAAATGAACGTGCAGCATGCAGCGTGCTCGCGACATGCAAAGGCGAGGGGCACAGTCGACTCATCATCAACGGGGCTATTTTTACTGTCCAGAGTGCGTCGGGCGCGAGCGCGAGCCCTGGCCGATAGGCGAAGCGAGCGAGCGCAGCACGCGTCACGCGAGGCAGCGAGGCAGCGTCGACGGTTGGCCGTCATCGATGCGGGAACGCACGTCATGCCCGCCTGTGCTGGGCGATGGCTGCGTGGAGGGCCTGCCATTCCCACCGCGCCGGAGTCGCGTGGCCGCCATGGTGAGCTCAGCGCGGGGGAGGCAGCGTGTCCTGCACTTGGCGGAGCCCGGATGCGCGGGTGCGCGGGTCTGGCTGGGTGTTCGCTCCGGCCTGGGGGTGATCATGGGCGCCAGAGCGGCGGCGGGAAACGCCATGCAGGCGCATTGATGAGGGAAGGCCAGCGATCCGGGCGCAGTGCATAGCGTCGGCCGCCCCGAGGGCGCGCTCGCATCGCCGCAGGGATTTGTGCACAGCGTCCAGAGCGCGCGCGCGCAGTCCAGGCCACAGCCGCCCGCCAGGCTCGCAGACGCAGAAATCTTCAAGCATCGTACGATGCTGCTCCGCGCAGCGGCACGCGGGGTAGTGGCCTGGGGCTTGGGGGCCGCCGGGCACTTGACTGCGCGTGTCAGGAGCGTGGAAGTTGCCGGCCGTCGCCGCGCAGCGCGCGCTCTCTGTAACGCGAAAGCGAAGCTGCGTTGTTCAGATCGGGCGGATCGCTTATGCGGCCGCCTGGTTGGCCATGCGCATCCGGGATGTGCATCCTGAGCGGCGAGGGCACAGGGTGCAGCGCGGGCACGAAGGGACGGCCGCTGGAGTTGCTGCGCTGATGATGCGGCTCTGCCAGGCTGCCCGGCCTGGCGGTGGGCAGAAGTGGTGGTGACGGGTGGCCGATCATGGCTGGCGGGCAGGCGCCGATGCAGCGCCCGCGGCACTGGCTCGCGGTCGCGGCTGCGATCGCCTGCGTGTGGAGAGCCCCCATGCCGCCGTGTGCTGCTCCTCGAGCTTCTCGCGCGCGTAAACCGGGACGGCGGGCCAGGGCCTCTACGCAGGCCGCACGCGGCGCCGCACGGCGCAGCAGCCAGCAGCCAGCAGCCAGCAGCTTCGCGGCTTCGCAGCGCCGCAGCGCTCACGGCGCTGTCTCGCACGCTGCTCTGCACCCACGTGGGCGGGCTTGGATGCCTGCCGCTGCTCAGCGCGCTAGGCTGCCCGCGGTGCTTGGATCGGCGGCGTTCTCCGCCGCGCTTGCTTTTCTCCGCCGGGCCAGGCGCACCAGGAATAGCAGAGCGTGGGCGGGTCTGACACGGTCTTAGACCACGGTCATCAGGCCTCGCAGCGCGCCGAGCGGAGATCCGAATGGGGAAGACGTCTTTATTGCCAGCGCGGCCAAGGCCGTCGCGTCGTATTCGGCTAGCCCGCGCGAGCTGCTGGCCTGCTTGGTCAGTGATTACTCGCTGCCGCTGAAGAGGCGCCTCCTGCGTTTCAGCATCAGGGGCGACAAAAAGGCTTTGTCTGAGGGCGGTGGTGCAGCGGTCCCGATCAAAAACAAGGTGCCGCCGGCGCGCCGGGACTGATTTGAAGCTAGAGCCGCACGTTCCCCCGCCGCCCTTGTTTCGCCGGCGCCAAATGGTCGACATGTCTCTCGGTGCATTCCCAGCGCGGCTGGCAGAGGCGCAACCGGGCCGGTGCCCAGGCGGTCGTCCCGCGCCCACAGTCCAGCCGCGGCGCCGCCAGCTGGGCAGCTGGGCAGCCCCGGGTCCAGGCAGAAGCATGTCATCCAGCGCGGCGGCGGCAGGGTCCAGGGCGTCCAGGGCGGGGAGCGCGCAAAGCCCCCGGCAGTTGCGCACCACTGCTCATGCCCGCGTGAAGGAAAAGGCGCGATCTGGCTTAATCTCACTGCTTGCTTCTGCCGCTCGCTTGCCCGGCCTGCGTCCGCCAGCGCGCGCAGCTAAGCTTAGCCCGCCCGGCCTGAACCTTCTCCCGCGCGGGCTCACCTGAATCCATCGCCAATTGCGTCCGATCCAGATTCACCCAGAGCACGGACGGATCCTCTCGCCTGGTGAGGCCCGGGCGACGGCGTCAGGGCCCCTAGCAGCCAGTCAGCCACGCGAACCACCATACCCTGACGCTCCTGGCCCGGCGTACATATACGTGACGGCGCACCTCCACTCACAACAAAGCCGCAGCCGCGAGTGACCTCAGCCTCGACAAGCCATACCGCGCCGCACGCCCCAGGCACGCCCTCACAGCGCAACAAAGCAGCTTTCCCAAGCCCCACCACGCGCCAGCCTCCTCCTCCGCGCCCTCTGTCTCTCTCCATCCCAGGCACCGGGACGCGCCTCCTCTGTTTACCAGAAACCAGATCTTGCACAGCTCCGTGCGACCCCCCTCGTCGCACCGCGTCTGCGCAACCAAGAACCCGGGCTCGTCCAAGTTTGGGAGCACCCGTGGCACTTCGCCTGACTCCATCGCCCATTGTGCGCCAGCTCTCCCGCGCTGCCTAATCGTCCTCGCTGGGGCAGCCTGAGACTTTCTAGAAGTCTTTTGGATTGGCCTGCAGACCTCGGTGCTATTCCTCCGACCACGCCGCAGGGATCTCCACAGCGGGATTCGCACACTTCTCGCTTCTCGCACAGCCGGCCGTCCTTGGGCGTGACAGCCGTCCGTTTCTGGCATCGCGAACCTCTTTAACCGCCTCTGCCTCGCCTAAGTCCAAGCGCGCGGCGTCTCGGGCTCCTCACCACCACACACCCACACAACCCCCAGACTCTTCCAGTCGCGCCGTCTCCTACGCGCGCAGCAGTAGCCCTCGCTGGATTACTCAAGGACACACAGTGGTCAGTCTTGGCCGGGCGCAGGCGTGAGAACTCCGCCGCAGACCAGCACTCTGTATTCACTCCCCTCTCCCCCCCTCTCCTCCAACGATCGGCCAGTCGGCCAGGGACACCTGAAATCCTTCAACGTGGCTGCCGCCGTCGCTCTCCCGACCCATATGCATCCTGGGCCGGATTCTATGGGTGCACCATCGAGCTTGACTGCTCGCCGGCCTAACGCTTCATCTCTGCCTAACTTTGAGCTCCCTCCTCCTCCGCTCTCGAACATCCAGAAATTCCCCACTTTCTCATCCAACAACTCGCAGTCTCCCGCGACAGGCAACATAGGCAATCTTCTGACGCCGCCTAGCAATCTGTCTGACGGTATGAGCTCCCACGCGCAGTCGTCGCAAAACATGTCCTACAACCCGAACGGCTACGTTTGGTCGCCGCCTCCCCAAGGCTCCACGCCATATGGTTTCCAGACGCAAGCTCCTTCGACGTCACAGTCATACGCCACTCCTCGAGGTCAGTAGAGAACAAAGCGTCAAAGGAATCCATTATCCGCACCGCGATCGGCTAACAAGGATAGCAGGCTTGCCTCCGCCCCCGTACGAACTCAACCATCTTCCACCTTTCCCTTCTTCAGGATCCATGTCCGCCCCTTCATCCTTGCCGACCATGTCAGGCCCGCAGAGCTCCATGTCCAGCATGATGAACTCGCAAAACCCGGTTTCCTCTTCGGCGCCGCACCAGTCTCCCATCCACTCTCACCAGGACTCGTATTCGTCAAGGCTGCCACCCACACCCACTTACCACTACAACTCTCAGCACTCTACCACCCCGCAACAGTCGAACTTCCCCTATTCTACCGGACCTTCTCCAACCCAGCCTAGCCCTCTGAGCGCGGGCGCTGGCATGCACAGGATGTCTCCTGCCCATAGCTCCGCCCAGGTCCCTTCGATGCAGTCTGGACCCGCGCACTCGCCTCTTCCGTACCAACGGCCGTACCAGAGCTACCCGCTTCCTGGACCGGTGCTTTCCAACGTCAACAACCCGAACGGTCAGCTCGCGTTGGTCGGTGGCATGCACCATGGTGGCATGATGCCCGGATTCCCTAACAGTGGACACGCTGCGAGTATGGGCCACATGTACGGTCAACCACATCCCGGAGCCCACCAGGCACCGCCGAACGACCGCCCCTTCAAGTGCGACCAGTGCCCGCAGAGCTTCAACCGGAATCACGACTTGAAGCGTCACAAGCGGATCCATTTGGCGGTGAAGCCGTTCCCGTGCGGTCACTGCGACAAGAGTTTCTCGCGCAAAGACGCGCTTAAGGTAAGATACGCCACAGTTTAGCGCCTAATAAGCTCCGTGACTAGATCAAATCGCTAATTGCTTTACAGAGGCACATCCTTGTCAAGGGCTGTGGAAAGGCCGCAGCAGCAGCAGAAGCCGACAAGCACGACGGATCCGTTTCGCCAAAAGGCTCGATGATCAGCGAGTCAAGCGAGCACAAGCCTGTTCTTTCGGGCCACTAATGAGGCGTTTTTCGATACCTCGCATACTCCTTGGACACGATACCCCTTTATCTCCAGTCTCGACTCTACGTTGTACTATTCGCCTTCTGGTTCTCTGCTGCTGTACCAAATCCACATATATCGATGTTTTGAAGACCGCGGTGAACTGTCCGAGCACGCCACCTTCAGCATCCCGAAACTTCGATTCTTCTTCGCTGTCGATATTATGGACTCGATGGAGCCGATCGCAGCAAAACTTTGCGCCACCGCATCGTCTTCTTTTCCTGTTGGATATTCTTTGCTCAATTCTTTTTTTTTCCAGACTTTGATATTTACTTCAGTCGCTTCTGTTTGATATACATTGTCGCTCTCCAAAGCTAGGATACCTCTTATTTTTTTCTGCTTGTCATGCTAGGATTTCTCTTCGAAGCTTCCTATTTTTCAGGGCCTTTCTTCGATCAGGGGTTCGGTTTCTCTACGGCACCATGGCAGCGACACGGAATGGGTACACGGCACTTTCCTATCTGAGTTTCGGAGCATTTCAGAGTTTGGCGGGTGGTATGGAGTAACAAGCGGGATTTTCTCTCTTTGTTAGGCATGTCTATACGGTGTGGGATGATCAAAACCCGGCGCGTGTGTTATTTGGGCTGGGCGCCGCGTCCCCGGGCTGTGTTTGGGAGTCAAAAGTATCACATTACGATATCAAGATACCGTTACAGCATCATATGAAATTATGGATCACAATCCTTCAACATCTTCATGTAGCGCCGAAGACACGGGCCGTGACACGTCGGGTGGGCGTCCGGGCAGATAATGGATCTGGTACTAGGTTGGCGTCGCCACAACCACCCACTCGGCCTAGGACAACTGGAGCGCACATCCGTGCTTGTCTGGTAGGTATGTAGCTTCCGCCTTTTTGGAAAAATCTGCAAGCTATAGTCTCAACTGCTCATGCACGAAGAACAACTTCCCACAGACCACGGATGGGTCGAGGCCTGACGAGCTATGAGCAGGGGTGGGTGTTTGGGTGGAGGCGGGCCTTCTACCGCGCGGCGAGCGGTCTGGCCCCCAGCCTGGCCCGAACCAGGCCGTTCCCCAATGCAAGCTAGCAGCGAGCTTCCAGCCCACCCCAGGCACGGCAAAAAGGAAAGAAAAAGAAAGCAGAAAAGGAGGATTAGGACAAAGCACCCTTGAAGGCATAAGCCAAGGACTTCAATGCGCTGATGCAAAAGTCAGTCTCTTTGGACACGAGACGGGGCGGGAGACAAAGCAAAGCCCGACACCTTCCGAAAAGAGATGGAACCGCATCTAGATCTTCGAGGCAGCTGGCTGGAGTGAAGCGGGCTGGGCAGGCGCGCTGTTCGCCGGGTCGCGAGAGACCCTCGGACAAGGGTGGCACAGCAATTACAAAACGTCGAAGACAATGGGATGGGAGGGCCCCGCGCGGAGCGTGTTGTTCCCCGATGATATCAGAGCGAGACATGGTAATATTACATGCTGCTGCCCTCCTCCCGCGGCCTGTTCACCACTGTTCGTTTCTTTTCCTGTCTTGGACAGGGTGATGTGTTCTGGGTGGGAGCAAGCCACACGCCGGAGCTGGTTTCCTTTTGTGCCGGGCGGGCGAGGCTGAATGGCTGGCAGTGGGCGTGACTGCGCGGGGATCGATTCTGCGTGTTCCCGGCGCAGCTGGGCGATTGAGCTTGGGCGGCGGTGGTGTCTAATAATACCTGCGTCTTTTTGCTGAACACAAGCACACATTCCGGGCTTCGGCACAATGCCGAATGCGCGGGTTGACTGGCGACTGCAGGTCGCGCGAGCGCGCTCAGCATTCTTGCAGAGCCTTGACTGAGGCGACACGGGAAACTCCCGCTGAGCATGCGCCTGGCTAGTGGCGATCAAGGGATATGGTTGGCGGGCAAGGGCGAGCTAGTGAACGGGGAGCTGGCGGGAGGTTGAGGAGCATTTGTCAGAATGACACACGTCGCGTGGGCGGGGAGCTGGTCGTGATGCAGCAATTCGGTGCGCGAAGGCAAATGGTGTTGGAGGGCTCTCAGCGAGGTCAGATGGACGGATGTGCCGCAGGGTGCAGGGCGTGGTGCGACAGGAGCGATCTCGGTCAAGCTCGGATCGACGGGCGCGCGATGACGCCTGCCCGCAGCGGCTTCCCGTCTCCACACAACGCCCGACGTGCGATCCCAACCTGTTCGAGGACGAACCCCTAACATGAGCCATCACGCTCGCCGTCTCCTGGCATGGATGCGCTGGCCACGACCTGGCTGGCGGGCTTCGAGAGCCGTTCGTAACTCGCCGTAGTGGCTGCTAAAATGAAATGAGCCCTCACGCGGTTCGTGAAGAAGTGGTGATTTCTACGCTGATTGCCGTTGCGCGCGCGCGAAGGTTTCCACAGAGCCCAGCGACGACAACAACGGCGAGTGGTCCGTCGCCGCCGCGCTCGCAGTCCACTCTTTGCAACGTCGTCGGCGCGCATTCTTTCGCGGCGTGGCCATAGCAACGGTTCGATATCCACACACAAACAGCCCTCTCTGTGCAAGCTCATTCTTTTCGCACCCTCGCCGAGTCGCGTTGTCTTGGGCGAACACCTCAATTTCTCGCTCGACTCGGTGCGTGGCCTGGCGCCTTCCCCGCTGCCCTCTCCGCCTGCGTCGCCGCCTCAAGTCGGGAAGGAGCCACCGTGCACCGCTACAGGCTTGCGCCTCCGACTCTGGGGACCATCCGCGCACACCACTTCTCGCCGTCCCGCTCTTCTCCAACACCTTCATCTCTTCCGGCCCAGCAAGTCCTTGGATCTCCATTTCGCTAGAGCTTGGCTTGTTTGCCGAGCCGTCCGCTCCTTTGCCGTGCGCTGTGCTCATCCATTGGCCTTTCTCCAGTCCTTCAAGCATCACTTCTTCCCTGGTCCGGCGCCCATCTCCCACACTCCATCGGTCGGGCACACGCTCCTTCCCCAACCCGACCGGCTTCTTCTCCAAGTGCCGCTTTCCGTCGTAACACCCGCCTTTCTTTCGTAGGTCCTTCCCGCCACCGCTTGCTCTCTCAAGCCAGCGCAGCGACTCTCCGCCTTGTTGATACCGACTACGACAAGGCCCGCACAGCCACCCGGAGCTCAGCTTCAGATGCTGAGCAGCTTCGAGAGATCTGGCTCCATGGATCGCCACGGTCGCTCCCCGCGTCACAATCCCCAAAAGTCACGGAAGCCACTGACAGACGCAACCGCGCGAGCCAACGCGTCAACCCCGCCGTCGCGTAACAGCAAAGTCGCGACCCAGCATGGCTATGCCCAACAGCACCTCCCCCACAACGAGTCCATGCTGACCGAGGGTAATACTCTGACCGTCCACCACCCCGGCACCGTGGTCGAGAATAAACACCTATCCAATGTCAGCAGAGGCGATGGTAGGGCAGTCAATCGGGATTCGGCTATCTCGACTGCTTCAACCCACACGAGCAGCAGCGGTCGCCGCAAGTCCCACATTGGACCATGGCAGCTTGGCAAGACCATCGGCGAGGGAGGATGTTCGCGCGTCCGGGCAGTCAGGCACTGCGTTACGGGCCAGCTCGGTGCCGCAAAGATTATCTCTAAGAAGACCGCGGACAAGGTCAAGGCCCAGAGCTTGCTGAACCTATACAAGTCTGCCGAGACCGATCCGAAGCTTGCTGCGCACATGAAGGCCATGCCATTTGGCCTGGAGCGCGAGATTGTGATCATGAAGCTACTGAACCACTCAAACATCGTCAAGCTATTCGACGTTTGGGAGAACCGTAGCGAGCTGTAAGTCTTCACTTGTCCCGACAGAGTCCTTCAGTCCTGACAGTGTCCAGGTACCTTATCATGGAGTACGTCGAAGGTGGAGAGCTCTTCGGATACATTGATGAGAATGTTGGCCTTCCTGAGATGGAGACAGTCTACATCTTTCGCCAGATTGTCGCTGCCTTGCTCTACTGCCACCGCATCAAGATACACCACCGTGATTTGAAGCCGGAGAACATTCTCATTGACGCCGAGAATCTGGCAATCAAGCTCGTTGACTTTGGCATGGCCGCCCTACAGCCGGAAGGAAGGTGGCTCAGCACGCCATGCGGAAGCCCTCACTACGCGGCACCGGAAGTCATCCGCTACAAGCAGTATGACGGTGGACAGGCGGATGTTTGGAGTTGCGGTGTCATACTCTATGTTATGCTCACCGGCCAGCCTCCCTTCACCTACAACGATCGCCAGGACTTGACACACCTCTTCAAGATCATTGCGCAGGCCAAGTATGCTATGCCAGATGACCTGAGCGAGGAGGCTCAGGACTTGATCAGCAAAATCCTCGTGCCCGATCCCCGCCGGCGCATCAACATTGAAGGCGTCTGGAAGCACCCTTTCCTTCACAAATACGATGCAGAATTTGGCTTCGATGAAGAGACGGATAAGGACATCTGGAACGGTCCTAAGCCTCGCATTAGCCATTGGGATCTTCGCCACCAAGGAGATCTTGATAAGGAGACGCTGCGGAACATGCGCTGCCTTTGGCACAGCGAGTCGGAAGAGACCATCTTGAGAAAATTGTTGAACAACGAGGCTAACCAGGAGAAATTCTTCTACAACTCTCTGCAGAAGTATAAGGATCAGCAACTGGAACACTGGCCTGGGGAGCCTGACATTGCTTACTCCGCGAGCGACTACCACCATCTCGCCCGGCCCAGCCAGTCGCCTCCCGTCCCGCATAGCCGTACCAAGTCTCAGTTCTCGATCCTCAACGATGAGCACTTACAAGCGGCATACAGTTTCCAGCAGCCTCCCCCGTCTGAAAAGAGTTATGATCCTTTCCGTTCGTCTCGGGAACCTTCGCTGGCGAACAAGGGAAATTACATGAACGTGACCGTCCACCGTGGCGGTACGGTCGCGAGTGGAAGTCCGAGTGGACACCGCAACCGCAGATCGTCTGCGGCTTTGAGCAGCAGTCATGGGCGCGGTAGCTCACTACGGGTTGACACCTTGAAGAAATCCGGCTGGCGCCACTCCGGCCTCCCGAGCATTGACTCACGTGGCAGCTCCCGGAGGGGGTCCGTCGTTTCTCCTGCTGCGCGTCACAGAAGGTCTCTTTCCAGGTCTTCGACGAACAGCTCGGGCTGGGCAAGCTCACCGCCTATAGTTGTGAGACCGAGCAGCTCGCACAAGCGCGGTGTTAGTTTCGCGCACCTTCACAAGAGTTCCACAGGAAGCCGTCTTACTGTTACGGAGGCTACCTCGGCGCAGGGCACACCTGAGCAATGCAAACACCTGCAGGATGACACTGCGGAAAAGCTACAGCAGGAACTCGTCCCGGATCTACCCAGCACACCTGCTTCAGCATCCACCTCTCCTGCACCTCCCGCAGCTGTTCTGAAGAACGCTAAGCCTCGCCTCAAGGTCAAACATCCAGAAACTCCCGGTCGCGCCATCGATGGTGAAGTCCGGAAGGCAAGTGTAGAGCTCGAGAAGGCTCTTGATGAAGCTTTCAACCGTGCTTCTGTTAGCTCCAGCGTTCGAACATCGTCTGAAAGACCGACACCTTACGAGTATGAGACACCACCGTCGTCTGTTTCCTACAGGGGCTCTGGTGCTTCGGCCTACGCGGCAGACGCGCAGGCCTTGAGGCAGACTGATACACAGCGTCCGCTCCCCCCACTTCCGGCGGAGGCCAACCACGACTCACCCAACACCTATCTCGCCCGTGAGTTGGCTGAAACCCGTGAACGCCTTGCAGCGCGCTTTGCGTTGGAGGGTGGCGAGCACACTGCCAACTACAACGAAGTCCTCCAATCTCTTGACCGTCTATTGCACCCGTCGCGTCCTACTTCAGCTGATGCGAACCAACGTTCAGTTTCTGCACCCCAGCAGTCGCCACAGCATCCTCGTCCCCTGCCAATCATCTCAGAGGAGGGCAAGAACACTCCTGATGCAAGCTCACATGTTGGAACTCCTAACTGGCGCACCTCGGCTCGTGCTGCTACAGATCCTGTCACTCAGGCACACGAGAGGTATTACGGGGACCAGACTATCCGGGTTGTAGATGCTAGTTCTCCTGCTGCTACTGGCCCGCTCATCCAGCCTCTCAATATCCGGAAGAAGAGTAGTGCCAGCACACTCGCTCAGCTTGCTGCGTTGGGTACACCGACCCCTACGCGCTCGTATCACCTTGACTCATTGAGCCCGGCCACGCCTACTTCCGTCCATCAGTCGGGTCACAAGCCCAACCTTACTATCGAAATCGATCAGGCTCCTCCCTCGTTGGACCACCGCGATTCTTTGGATGCCGCGACGCAGACGACTCCATTGCAGACTTTGGTCTCGGCTTCCAGCCCCAGCACCGCAGCCAAGGATGAGAAGATTACCAAGAAGCGCAGCTGGTTCAAGCGTCGGATCAGTGAAAGAGACTCGCCCGAGCAGCTACATCCGCAGCAGCCTGGTGATTGCGCCCGCCGACCTAGGATCCCGGATGCGTGGCAGGGCCTGGACGACCGTTTGGACAGACCGAAGCCGCGCGCTGTTTCATCGCACCCCAAACAGGATCGGAATGCCTCACATGGTAGTGCGAGCTCGAACAGCGAGTTCCCCCTGCGCGACTCCGAGAAGGAGAAGATCGACAAGCTTGCTGGCCTGAGGAAAAATCTGGCGTCTTTGTTCGGCAAGAAGATACCAGAGAAAAAGGGCCGCGGTTCCTTGATGTTGAGTGAGTGTTGTCTCGCCTTCTCTTGTATGTACAAGAAAAGAATACGCATCACTAACGAATTGATCTATCAGTGCCTTCCAACTACTCCGCAAGCTCGCTTCCGTCTTCTGCTTTCTCGTTCGGTGACGATTTTGAGCCCTCCGCCCCACGCTATACCGAAGGTCAGAACTGGCTTTCTCGCTTCTTGCACATCAAGCCCGCGACCAAAATCATCGTCTTCAAGGTCGGTCGTGGCCGTGTCCGCCAGGAAATCGTCCGCCTTCTACGCGATTGGAAGCGTTTTGGTGTGCGGGATGTCAAGTTTGACCGCGCCACGAACATCATTCAGGCCCGTGTTGACAAGACCAACCGTGAGTTGCACCTTCCAGCCAAGGCACCCGCAAAAATCAAGAGATACTACGACATGTTTGCCAACACCGCCATTTGTGCTAATTCAGGGATTCCCCACCCAGAACTCCAGATGAAGCCTGTCGCTTTTAGCGCCGAGCTTTTCACGGTTCTTCAGCAAGGCCGCCGCGCGCAACTTTGCGTCGGTCGCTTCACCCAGACTCGTGGTGCTGCCAGCAGCTTTCGCAAGGTTGTCGATATCCTTGAAGATGTCCTCAAGGGCAAGGGCATGGTCATCGAAGATGAAGCCCGTGCTCGCGATGTGGCCGCTGTATTGGGTTATTAGTGTTGCCTCATGACCCTCGCACGCGGACTTGGAGACTATTGTTGGTCACCATTGGTACATGCTGGGCAGCAAATTCCTTCCATCTCCTTTATTATTGGACTATGGTGGTATTGATAATCCGGTATTGGCCCCGCATTGCTGATTGGATGAGTATCTAAATGTTGGTTTTGTTTTGATGCGAGACTTGGTGGTTGATGGACGAAAGACTTCACCGGAAGGCAAACCGAGGATCAGAGCGCGACACAGTTCTTCCCGCTACTAGTTTTCCAGTTCATTGGACGGAGAAGACCCGACTGTTGGGACACGGGTCGCGTTGTCCACCAAATCGCCTTGGCACGTTGGTGGCATTCCTCACTGTCGCCAAGCTCGAAGTTGATCGAGACGCAGCTCATCCATTCTGGACACCTATCGCCCCCCGGAGAATCAACTACCAAAGCTCAACCTCCCCTTTTTGGAGCTTCGGAAATCCGCGTTCTCGCTTTTGCTTCACTCCGACCGTACTAATAATTCCCTTACGTTCGCTCGCTTAATTCCCAGCATTCTCGGCGGCGGCATTCTGCTTTCTGACCTCACTTTTACGGCTGTTCGTTCGATGATACCAGCAAAGACTCAAGTGCCAAAAATTCCGAAAAAAGTTTGCAAAAGTCAAGGACTAGATCATGGAAGACATGCATGATGGCGATTACCCGCGCCTGGGCTGTTCGTCTTGTTTGGAGTTTTTGGCCATTCGACCAGCAGAAGAGGTTACACTACTCGTTGCCTCATCTTCTGGTAGCCTTTCAATTTTGTTTTCCTGAAGAGTTCAAATTCTCCCATTCGGTTTCATCCCTGCATCCTGGCGTCACGTCAGCCTAATTATACCACACACTTTTCTTCATTTCATTTGGTCAGGCGGATAGTCCAGGGAGAGCATGACATGCGTTCCAGTTTCTTTTTTTTTTTTTTTGATAAAACATGGGGATTGCTTTTCGTTCCCATGCATCTGGTAGCATTGAGAAAGGGGAAACAAAAAATAAGGTTGAAGGTGCAAGGGGATGATGGACAGTGGCTTTCTCGATGTCAATGCTGCATGATGATGGATATGAGGTTGGTGGATGATGGGTTGGTCTGCTTTGAAGGCCATTGGGGTTGTATGACAAGAAACAAAAGGGGTTTTCTGTAGATACAAAATAAGGTAATGAACAGTCGATTTCTATCTTGAAGCACTTGGTGATGTAACAAAGAAGTCTCTCATAGTGCCCATCGGATGTGTAATTGGACTCGCCGTATCTTCTCCCTCTTGAGAGCCTGTGGTCCGTAAGATGCACGCCCATGCTCGACTAGGGTCGCTTGCCCCATCTATATCTCTCCGGTTCCTATCGTGATTCTCTGTACATGCGTTATTATGTGACCATTTCTCATCATAGCTCCAGTAGGGAACATCATGCTAAGTAGAAATACCATGCAAAAAGTCTGCGCATCATATGTCGGCCGATCGTACAGGAGAGAAGACGCGTCGCCCATTTCCGCTTGCCCCCGTTTTACCTTCTCATGTAAGCTTATACCTATTGACTTGGTTTTTTTTTTCCTTTTGGACTTTCACGCCCATGTTTACGGGGGGTTGAGCATGCACTTCTCTTCATCAGGGCCTGATCACAGGATCGACCCCTTGGCGCGATGCCGCTGCAGGCGCGACGTTTGCCTGCATGCATGCATGTGTGCATGCATACCCGCACAACTGTTTCGGGTGAGAAGGCCTGGTGCAACATCGGACGACGATCGGATAACGATAGGCGGCGGCGGTTTTCATGGGGAAAGTGATATGAGGCAATTGCCGTCGCCGTTGCGATGCGTCGACTTGAGGGAAGAGATGGATGGATGATGTGCTGTAATGCGCGCACATATAAATGAAGTTCTGCATACAGAGAAGGGACAGTCTTGCTTTTTTCTTTTCTACTGCCCGAAGTCGCCGCTTGTTGTCTCGTAGTGCTTTTATAGTTGATGGTATAGAAAAAAAAACGGGTACGGTAACTATCATACACATATAGTACATTCATCGAACGAGGTAGAGAAACAAGGGATAACCGTCCTCGATCCAGACATCGCAGCCGAAGAAAATTGGGGCGCGAGATATACGTACGAATATATGTATGTACATACATACATGCATACAACGACATCGTTCCCGCGTACGCGCTTGTGATTACGATAGGCCGGGTCGCGATATGACGATGGCGGGAGGAATAAGCAGTGGAGCAAGGACGAGGGGTAGGCGCCAACCACACGTCGTACGGGCTACCGCACTATAGCCTAAAGTAACGGGGGCAGGGCGGACGGGTGCGAAAATGGATAGCCGCATGCATGCATGCATGCAGGCAGGATGAGTGGTGGGAAAGAGGAAGGGCGGGAAGTACGGATACGCCAAGGATGGTGAGTCGATGTATTCCACTGCCGTCACTTTCGAGGAGCTGGCGGTGCTGCGGGCAGGAGAAGGTGATGACACGCGCAGGTCTTAAATGCGAGGGTTGATTCAGATGCGTCGTGGGATGGGAAGGATATGTCGCGCGCGCTCTGTTTGGCCTGCAGTCCACAACCTCGCGTCGTGCAAGGTGGAAGAGGGGGGTGGGAGGAGGGTCCGCTGTGCGACCGCTTTGCCGAAATCATCTTCTGTCGCGGACGTCACCATCTCTGGTCTCGCTGGCCCGCTTTGCCGAGTAGAACCAACCCCAGGGTGAGACTAGGTTGTGAGAGGCGAGAGACGGGAGACTCCGTTGCCTGCTTGCTGGGACCGCCTGAACGTCGTGTTGCGGCGATCTCCAGTCCATGAAGAGAAGTGAGACAAATCGGTGGCAACAATGCAGTACTCTCATTATGCTTGTACCTTGCCAAAGATCCAGCATGCAAGTGCTTGGGGGTATTCCGCTTTACTACTACTCCTAAGGACGAGGTGCATCTCAGAGAAACATGATCCTTTGCCTTTCGAGCTCTTACTGGACCAAGAGATATCAAAAATGTCGTTCAGAACAACCTCCCTCCCCCCGTAAACGCCGTCGCTTTTTCGATGCTGACCTGATTGTAATAAACCTGCGCCGCCCAAAACAATAAAACAACTCCTCTCGGTGCATCTTCCAGATTGGTTGACAAAGAGCACCATCGCGATTATTCTCACAACTTCCCACATCTGCTCTAATCATCCCCACTCAGTCCCAAGAAGTCAGTTCCGAACCAATAGTCCAACCACGCCCACACCTTCCAGTACATGCTCGCAATCTCCCAGTCGAAAGTGCCGTCGTCCTTGCGCGGCACCTCGTTGCCGATGACCTCGGTGTTGCCGCCAACGAACAGCCTGATCAGCGGCAGCGAGCCCAGCAGCTGCTGCCACTTGTTACCCACAGGCAGCAGCGCCTGTTCCGCCGGAAGAAGCACGGCGCGCTTCGCGCCGCGTATACGCAGCGGCGGTGGAGCGGCGGGTGGGACGTCGGCTGGGGCGGCACCGGGCGTCTGGGCGTTGAGCGCGGCGGTCGCGGTCGAGGAGAAGGATGTCTGCGGCGTGGCGGCGGCGGCAGCGGCGGGCGCAGACTGCGTCGTGCGGGCGGAGGGGCGTCTCCGAAGATTGGAGGGGAAGGAACCGGTGACGGTGGCGGAGGACGCGGTGTCGGAGGAACGCGAGGGGCTCAAGCCGGCGCCACCGCCGGCGCGTATGGTCGAGGAGGTGTTGCTGGGGCTCATCTCGACGTTGCCTCCGTCCGTGAAGCCGGCATGCGAGGCCGGAATGGCGATATCGCGCGCGGGGCCGGTGCCGCGGTAGAGCTCGGCGTAGACGGCGTGGCCGTGTATGACGTGTGGGGAGCAGTGGCAGGCCCGGTCGGCGGCCTCGGGGGAGTCGAATGTCACCTTGATCCAGTGGTTGCCGCCGCAGTATGTGTTCTTCTTGCGGAGCGCAGCGGCGGACAGGTTGCGCACTGCGGCCGTGCGAGTGATGCTCAACGATATGTTGTACCTGGACGAGGGCGGATGCCGGTCGTAGTCCTCGTACACGACGCCCTCCGCGATGCGCTCGTAGAATTCGATGGCCGCCCATTGTGTCTCGCTGCTGAACCCGTACAGCATCACCTCGGTCGGCTCCTTCGCGACCGAGGCCTGGGTAGCGGGGAGCGCGGGTGTGCTGGAGGTCCCTTGCGACGGTTGCGGCGCGGCGGTTGGCGGCTGCTCAACGGTCTTGGGGGCGGAGGCTTTGACTTGGGTGAAGATCTCGTCGATGGCTTTCAGGTTCGCGGCGCGGTTTTGGTCCTCTTTGCGGGCGGGTGTGCCGGTTGTTTTGCTGCGCGAAAGGCCGCGGCGGCGCGTGGAGCGGCCGAATGGTCCTTTCTCTTCGACGAAGCGGCGCTGGCCATGAGTGTCGCCACTGGTCTCTTCGTCAGAATCGAAGATCGTGTCGGTCCAAAAGAAGCGCATCTTCGAGCTTGTAGGCGGTGGAGCAAGAGAAGAAGAGGAAGCGGACAAGGTGGTGCAGGTAGAAAAGTGCAGACTTACTCGGCGTACTCGTAACCCCAGGGCAGCTGGCGACCGGCCGCGTCGAACGCGCGCTCGGATTCAGGCACGGCATGCACCTGCATGCCTCCACGAAACGAGTTCATTGTGTCTGATGGATTGGCGGCGCGCGAACGCGATCGAACAGCTGTTGTCAGCGACGGACCAGAGATGTTTACGCTGGGCTTTGGAGCCGCGCTGGAAAATCCTAGCTCCGCCCCGAATTGCGGCTGAATCCGTGCCATCCTGGTAGCTGCGTTACCGCGGTGCATCGAGGATTGGCTTCTCATGGCTGGACGATGCTGTTGCTGAAGGAACGGGAACGCGTGTGTTGATGGAGAGACGGTTCGAGTGTTGCTGGAAGGGCGCCTCGAGCGAAGCATGCACCCGGAACAATAGGTGGTGCTCGATAGGGGAGGTGCGGCAGACATACACGGCTTGGCGCACTGCTTCACTTCACATCAAGTAGTATTTCACGCAAGCGTAGACATGTCGTTCAAATACGTTTCGAATTTTGGCAGGTGGTACTACATAGCTATGACGCATTCCAACTTGCGACCTGGAGCGATCTGTTCCTTGCTAGCACCTGACCTCGGGCATTTGAGGATCGGGATGCTAGTGCGGGCAGACAGAAACTCCACAAGACCACGGGAACTCTTGATTTCGTGGCGGCGGACTGCTGTACCGCTGCCAGATAATCGAGGAGTCCTCCGTAAAGCTTGCTAAGTGGTGCCTTGATCCTATGAATGCCATGTCAGCAAACACTCGATGTATGCGGAGTGCGAATAACGAGTGAGTAATGGGATGTGTTCTCAGTGATCTTGGTGTAAAAAAAATCATACCCGAAGGTCAAATACTATCTAGGCGTGATATGGTTTTATAATCATCGAACAGAGGGGGTAGCGAGACAGAGCTAGCAAAGAAAAATTTGTTTCTTACCTTACAGATTCGCTGTCGGGATAGGCCTCACAACCCATCCCGCATGCCGGACAGCAGCCAGTTGGTGCCCAAGAAAGCCTACATCATCTACGCAAGTCAGCGACAGCTCGTTGAAATGCCTTGTGTCAAAATGGAGAGTGAGGTGGGTCAGAATATGTAAGAATTGAATATCATCGAACCTACGCCGTTAAGAGTCGCTGGCGGGCGTCTCCGGTCGCAGGCATCAATCGCAAATTACCTCATCATTCGAGAGGCGCGGAGAAAAGACGAGAGAACGTACCTTGGCCGTAGCGGCAGCTTGTTGGGTGCGAGCGCGCGGCGCGCTGCGAATGTTTGCGAAAGAAGAAGTTCTGCGCGGCCGGACGCGCAGAAAAGTCGCGAGGTGCGCCAAGGCCAGCTATGCCCGTTCTGGTGTGGCTCGCACACAACCAAAATCATCGGTAAGCGAGCACCTCTCGAGATAGCGAGCACGCCGTGGATTCCGACCTCCCCAACTAACGACAACAGCAGCACCACCGACCCCGTAGCACAGTACGTTCTCCACCGTCGCTTCACACGCCAGTTCGCTATTCTTCTCTCGTTCCCTCGCTCACACACTCGCTTCTAGGCAAATCAGCCGCAATGGGTGACGCAGAGGTCAAGACATCGCAGTGGAGGCTCGTTGAGGTCGGCCGTGTGGTCCTCTTCGCCCAGGGCCCCTTCGAGGGCAAGCTTGCCACCATCGTCGAGATCATCGATCACAAGCGCGTACGTCGAGCGCCTTCGCCGCCAGCCGCCCTGCTGCGCGCACCCCGAATTACGGAGTTGGACACTAACACTCCCATAGGTTCTCGTCGACGGTCCCGCTTCCACCGCCGAGAAGACTGTGCCCCGCCACGCTTCTCCCCTCTCCCACCTGTCCCTGACTCCCATCGTCATCCCCAAGCTCCCCCGCGGTGCTCGCAACGGTATCATCAAGAAGATCTGGGAGGCCACCGAGGTCGAGAAGAAGTTTGGCGAGAGCGCATGGGCGAAGAACAAGGACAGGATCGCCAAGCGCCGGGCGCTTAACGACTTTGAGCGCTTCAAGGTCATGAGGTTGAGGAAGCAGGTTGGTACCCCCGGAATCGGAATCCCGAAGGCGGAATGGAGCGTGGGGAGTCTCGCGCGCAATGAGCCGTGACACTACCTCTGCTCCAATTTGCGCGCGGAGATGCGAACTAATTGCTAACATCGTTATCCCTAGGCCAACTACGAGGTCAAGAAGAACTTCGCCAAGCTCCGTGCCTCCGCCAAGGCGTAAAATGTTCCATCGGTGAGACTGGGTTCTTAAGGTCGGGTTGTTTTACGGCATCACACTGGAGAAGGTCTTTTGCGGTCAACATGACCCCGCGCGGCATTTTCCACCCCAGAGAACACAATGGAGACGGTTCATAAAAAGATATCAAGTATCCAAGGTTCTCAAAATGAATGCAAATCCGGACAAGCGGGGCGTATGGGATTATTTTTTGAAGACAGTGCCAGGCTCTAATGTGCAGGCGGTGCTATGACGATGATCCAGATACCCCACCCGAAATAACCGATTCTTCCTTGTGGATTTGGATTATGTTGAAGATTTGGATGCCTTGTGTACAGAACTGCTACCCAGTCTTGGTGACCAAGTATCAACAAACCACAGACATCATTGCGAATCACAGCGTGTGCTGAAAATCAGCATGATAACGAACCCAATAATACGTAATTGCAGCAGCTTGTGCAGGATCTGAGCCTGCCTACATCTGTCTTTGGTGGCTATTTAACCGTAATATGTAGTCACTGGCTATTACGATTCATGTTAGAATATATGACACCAACTCACATCTATGTCCCGTTTTTGGTTTCAGGTGCTTACGTAGGAAGTAGGCGATGTCTTTTGCGAAGCATAGAACGGTCGACTCCTTTTCATTCCATTGCGTAGAAGCACTACTTGTGGTTTCTTCGGCCACACGAAAACGATAAGATCGGACTAAGAATTGTCACGAAACTCCAAAAGATCCACAGCGTGGGACCTTGACGAGTTGATCTACCCGTCTTGAACCTTCACAACAATCTTTCCCTTTGCCCTTTGGCTGAGCATTCGGTCGTAGGCCTGTACATCCATTTAGCTCATCTATTTACCTCATAATGCTCTGCTTTAGTTATTGGATTTGAACAGTGGGGCCCCACTTACCCCGAGAACATTCTCCATGTCAAACACATTATCCACAGCCTTCTTCAGCTTACCCTCTTGCACCAGCTTTATCAACTCCTCCCTCCTCTCCGTGGTCATAGGCGTCTGCTGGAAGATGTATTTCCTCGGCGTCCCGCCCAACGCCCTCGGCCACCAGTAATTCACCGGCACGTTCCAAAACAACGTCGCGGCCATCCCCTCCATAGCGCCCACGCTCACAAACACCCCGCCCTCCTTCAAAAAGCCAGGACTCCTCTCAAACAGCACCTGCGTCCCCACACAATCCAGCACCGCATCGAACTTGCCCCCATCGCCCTCCCCCCCGTACTCCGCCGCCAACCACCCAGCAACGCCTCCCCCACCCCCGCCGCACTCCCGATGATCCACCACCCGATCCGCGCCCAGCCCCTTCGCCAGCGCGAACCCTTCCTCCCCGGACCCCGTCGCCACCACCTCGCGCGCCCCCAGCGCCGCCTTGGCCACCTGCACCGCCACCGTCCCCACCCCGCCCGTCGCGCCGTGCACGAAGACGCGGCTGCCGCCCCCCACGCCCGCCCGCCGGCACATCAGCAGCGCCGTCTGCCCGTTGCCGTCGAGCCCCGCCGCGTGCTCGGCCGACAGCCCCGCCGGGCAGACGCCGACCGCGCCCGGCGGCGCGACGACGTATTGCGCGAGCGTGCCGGCGCCGTGGAGGAAGTGCGCGGTGGGCGGGAGCATGCCGAAGACGCGGGTGCCCGGCGTGGAGAGGTGGGCCGGGGTGAGGGGGGTGGCCGCGGCGATGGTGCCGGTGAAGGAGAGCTCGGGGATGGAGGGGCGCGGGCCGTTGGGGCGCGGGAGGAAGGGGAGGTGCGGGAGGAGGCGCCCGATGGAGGGGGTGAGGGAGGCGTGGGTGATGCGGATGAGGATGTTGGGGGTGTTGGGGGAGAGGTGGGGGACTGGGTGGTCGGGGGTGAGGTGGAGGACGTCTTTGGCGGGGCCGCGGCGCGTGTAGGTCCAGGCGCGCATGGTCGGTGGGATGACAGGCGCTGGGGTTGTGGTGGTGGACATGGTGGGAGAGATATTGGGCGGAGTTTGGTGTGATACCAAAGTACGTATCTCTGAGAATCAGATGGAGACGGAGAGAGTTATTCTGATAGAGTAAGTCAGTCAGGGTAGGTGCTGTTGCAGTATTTTAGTTTTATATGGTGATCAAGTGGTAGGCTGGGCCGGACGTCCAGCTCCCGGTAAAGGACTGATATCCCTGCCTGATGACAAACGCCTGCGCCACATAATACGGATGCGGGTAGCTGGTGGTCCGGAAGGATCATACAGATGACCAACAGGCTGGGCTGTAGAACGAAGCGATGCGCGCGAGAAGATTGATCAAGTTTTCGTCCGGACGTGGAGAGACTAAGGGTGCGCTAAGCCCTCCGGACGAATGTGTCAGACGCGCACGAGATGTGACGCCGTTGCAATGGGTTGACGTATATCAAGTAAAGAAGTAGGGATGAAGTAAAAGGACCATCGTTTGGAAGGTGATCTCCGTAGGGATAAGAGAAAGGGAAGCGGATTGCGGTATTCTGGTTAGTCCATGTGCCCCGCTCCGAGCTGCTTCAAAGCCGCAAGGTGATGCGCGTATAGCTGTGCGCGCACCAATACGTGCCCAGAGATGAGGACATGCGAAGACTGAACGCTACATGCGCATGCAAGCTCCTTTCAATCGAAACGGGAATTTACGGGGACCGCAGCAGTTGGAGCGAGGCGACGAAACACGGCTATCCGCGAGCGCAGGATGCGGAGCGTGTGCAAGAATGATTTTAGACAAGCATCGGGATCGATACCAACGGCGAAAAATGCATTGCGCTCGCGGTGGCCACTGTTTGGGGTTGAGTTGCGGAAGGTGTTGGCTGGTTGCGGGGTTGGTGCGGTGATGGATGGCATCACACCTGCTGCAAGCGAGCTCCCGCGCACAAGCAGTTTTCAGTCCCGCCAAAGCTCAACGCCCGGCGACGACAACCCTAGCATCGCTCCACCAACCAACTGCCCACCATGTCCAACCCCCGTGTCGAAGAGCTCCCCGACGAGCCCGAGAAGCAGGTCGCCGAGGTCGCCGAAGATGAGTCCAGCTCCGAGTCTGGCGACGAGGGCGCCGGCGATGCCAGCATCCCCGCTGGTGCCCAGGTCACCGTCCACTCGCGCAACGAGAAGAAGGCCCGCAAGGCCATCGCGAAGCTCGGCCTGAAGCACATTGAGGGCATCACCCGTGTCACCCTCCGCAGGCCCAAGAACGTGAGTCATATGTAGCTCGGGAGCCTGCGTCGTCTTCTGCGGCGTTGCGGCTGCGGCATTGGCGCCTCTGCAGCTCTGGCGAGAGCTGCAGTCAACGCCGAACAGCTGCGAGCGCGATACGCATACTCTGGGGCTTCGGCTGACTGGTTGAACGTAGATCCTCTTCGTCATCAACAACCCCGACGTCTACAAGTCCCCCAACAGCAACACCTGGATGTAAGCATTCACAGAAAACCCACAAAATCCGGGACAGACTAGTAATTTTGTGGCAGCATCTTCGGTGAGGCCAAGATCGAGGACCTGAACGCCGCCGCCCAGGCCTCTGCTGCCCAGCAGCTCGCTCAGGCCGAGGCCGCCGGTGACCACGAGGGCCACGACCACGGCAAGGGCAAGGAGCCTGCCGTCGAGGAGAAGAAGGAGGAAGAAGAGGAGGATGACGGCGAGGAGGTCGACGAGTCCGGTCTCGAGGCCAAGGACATCGAGCTGGTCATGCAGCAGGCCAGCGTCTCGCGGAAGAAGGCCGTCAAGGCGCTCAAGGAGAACGACAACGACATTGTCAACTCCATCATGGCCCTCAGCATATAAGTTCGCGGAAACGCGGACGCTGGGGCGCTGTCACGCGCCACTTTCTTGATCCCCGGAGCGAAGGCTGGGCGAAGGGCTTACCGGAATCTGTACAAGATAAAGGCACTGGGCTGCGACCTAGGATAGGAGCCATTGGACTCTGCGGAGCCGTGGTAAAATCTAAAAAGTTCCTTCGAGGCTGAAGCTTCTCGCTGTGCTCCGATGTGGCTGCATGTGCCCAATTGCAGATTTGATGACCAGCCCGCCATGACACCAAGCCCAGAATGACCTGACTTTCAGGAACGCAGCAGGGAGCGGCCAATTGAGCAGCCATGCGCGGTTGTGTCTCCCAATGCCGGACTCGGTGCGGGAGCGACATGTCACGTGCACCAGCCTTGGCGCCGACGGGCCTGCGGGAAGCTCGAAAACGCAGCCGACTTCGTCCTTGCCAGCCCGGTATCTCCCCTCATCACCAACATCGCAACCATCACAATGGCCGTCGGAGTACGTGCAATTCCCCTGTTGACCCTGTCGCAGCCCGTCCCGCCCACGATTTTCGCCGCGGCGCACCTGCATTGAAACGACCCCCGGTGCCGGAGCAATTGGGCAAAGCGGCTAACGTTCCTCTCAACCGTGCAGCGCAGCGCAGCCCTCAAACTCGACTGGACGAAGCTGGGCACCCAGCTGAACCTGCGTGGTTCGACCGCCGCCTCGCTCGCTGCCTTCAAGAAGCGCAACGACGACGCGCGCCGCAAGGTGCAGGTGCTTTCGGAGCAGCCGACCACCGTCGACTTCGCCCGCTACCGTAGCCTCCTCAAGAACCAGGCCATCGTCGACCAGATCGAGAAGGAGTTCAACGCCTACAAGCCCGCCACCTATGACGTCCAGAGGCAGATCAAGTCCATCGAGGCATTCGAGGCGCAGGCCGTGAAGAGCGCCGAGGAGACCAAGGGTGCCATCGACGTTGAGCTGCGCGATCTGGACAAGACTCTGAAGAACATCGAGGAGGCCAGGCCCTTCGAGGACCTCACCGTGGTGCGTATACGTCGGGATTGGGGATGGGGTCAGGTTGGGATTGGGGGTTGGATTCATTTGGCTAACAAATGGCGTCTCGAATGCAGGACGAGGTTGCCGCCGCTCGCCCCGACGTCGACCAGCGCACCGAACAGCTCGTCAGCAAGGGCCGCTGGGCCGTCCCCGGCTACAAGGTGCGTGCCGACAATTGCGTGCGACACGTGCTGGTGGTTCAGACTTGCTTACACCCCAACAGGAGAAGTTCGGCGACCTTTCCATGCTCTAAATGCATTAGTGGTTATCGAAGATCATTTCGTCCTTGCCGGGACTGTACTATTGTGCATAGTTCCGAATTGCCCGGCGCCAAAATAGATAGTTCAACTGGCTATTTTGACTGCGAAGACCAATATCCCACAATCGATTCTTTGCAATTTATTTCCGTTCAATTCGGTCTGACACTATCCAAAAGACTCGAACCACTAATACCAGGTGACTCCCTAAATGTTGTTCTCCGTACATGTACTACTGACTAGCACGAGTCGTGTCGCTATGCAGTTTGTGGAGGGGGAACCATTCATTGGTCTCTCCAAGACAATCTCCGCTTTTGACGGCGACGTCGCACTCATGATCCAGCCGTTACACATCATCAATCTTGATATTGCCACCATGTATAGACACGGCTTGACCTAGGAGCTGAGGTCAAGGCTATTGAGGAGGCTCTTCAGGACGCTACCACTGCCGCGACAGAGACCAAGCTAGGCAGATCGTTTGCCGGGCACGAGCGGCTGCAGCGCGAGGTTGCGGGCCTGCAGGCGGCAGGCATTAGCCGGCATAAGCACTAGCACCACCAATCCCCTTCATGCTGTACCATCAGCCACCAGTCCACACCAGTTTCCACTATGGGCTTCTTTAAACTGTTTGCAATCTAACAAGCACCGCATCCTGATATCTCAATCCGGATATTAGAAGCAGGGAAGAGCCATGGAAGAGCGGCAGCAGTTCAGAAAGCGAGACTACCTTCCGACAAGAAATCGCAACTGTCAGAATTGGGGATGATGATTTTGTTTACAAGCATCGATGGCCTTTCAAGGTGATTGGGCTGAATGACCCGCCGCGAAGATGGTTGAGTTGCAATGTCCAATGACAACCCACCTGAATGTTGCGAGTTGAGACCTACGGGGGTCGACACGAATTCAGGCCATCATATTGGGGCAGGAGGGACGCCCAGGAGAGGCCTATGCCAAATCTTCACCAACGAATTTCCAGCTGATGCGGCCATCAGGAAGGAGGGGCGAATACTCTTTGCCACTCCACTCATCTAAATCGACGGCATCCCATCCATCAAGTAATCTCAAAATGCATCTCCTCCTCCTCCCCGTCCCCGTCCTCGTCCTCTCCATCCCCGTCCTCTCCAGCCCCGTCCTCTCCATCCCCCTCCCCTCCATCCTCATCCTCATCCTCATCCTCATCCCCCTCCCACCTCGCCTCACCCCCACCGGCACCGGCACCACCGCTCCCCTCCCTCCCGCACTCACTCCCCTCCTCATCCCGCCGCACCTCCTCCTCCTCCCCCTCGCTCCAACCCCCGCGCTCGTCGTACTCGCCGTCCATCCGCCGCATCAGCGCCTCCCCCGGCAGCAAGATGCTGCGGTCGACGGCCAGCGGCAGCCCGCGGTGGCGGCCGCGCAGCATGACGGCCAGCACGACGAGCTTGGCGGGGGTGCGGAAAGCGGCGCTGAGGCTGCTGCTGCTACTACTATCGGAGGAGGAGGAGGTGTTTGGCGGGCTGAGGCCGAGACTGAGGCCGACGGTGCCGTAGGCGGAGACGGTTTCGAAGGCGAGGGGGAAGAGGTGGGTGGGGGATGGGAAGTGGGGACGCTCGAGGATGGCGAGGAGGAAGAGGGCGAGGAGTTGGAACCAGAGGTCGTAGGAGAGTTGGTGGCGGAGGTGGGTGGAGAGGGTGGAGGAGGAGGAAGGGGAGGAGGTGGTGGTGGAGTCGAGGCCGACGGAGCGCTCTTCGTAGGTGTTGGTTTGGCGGAGGGTGAGGACGATGGGGAAGGAGGAGATGTACATCGTCACCAGGTAGGCGACGAGGAGGGCGGGGGCGAGCGTGGCGACGGTGGCGATGTAGGCGCCGCTGTTGCGGAGGCCGGTGGCTTGGAAGAGGCCGTCGAGGAGGCGGGTGCGGAGCGGGGTGGAGTCGAAGGCGGGCAGGCCGAGGTTGAGGACGAGGTAGAGGAGCCACATGGCGGCGTCGATGAGGATCTGGATGGCGAAGAGGTACCATGTCTCTTTGCTGGGGAAGAGGTAGATGAAGCAGCGCCGCGGGTGGTGCAGCAGGAAGAGGCAGGTCTGTCGGAGGCGTGAGGTCGTGGGGCTGATGCGGGAGAGGGTCCAGATGGCGAGCCGGAGGAAGACGGGGAACTGCGTGTTGCCGGCGATGGTGAGGGCGGCCGAGACGAGGAGCACGACGGCGTTGGCGGCGAACGGGACGTAGTTGTCGTCGAGCAGGTTCAGCCCGCCGTTGGAAAAGCTCGTTGTCACGGCGAAGAAGGCCCACCATCCCGGGCTGGGGGAGCCCGAGGGCTGGGCGGTCCGGATGATGGTGCGGGCGGGGTCGCGGTAGGCGTAGGGGACGAGGATGGCGGCGCCCAGGGCGTACCAGAAGAGTTGGTAGATCAGGAGGAGCGGGAGGATGAGGGATAGCGCGCGATACTCGACGCCGCCCAGCTCGGCGCGCTCGTGCTCGCTGAGGTTGCGGAAGCGGCCGCGCTCGTCGAAGTCGGCGTCGAAGGAGATGTAGGAGTGGTCGAGCGGCTGCCATTCTTTTTGTAGGCCCCGAAAGGCCGAGTGGAAGGCGTTTTGGACGGTATGGGACTCCCACGGCCACGGGAAGAAACCTCGGCCGGAGGCGTAGTGGTAGAGGCGTTGGGATGGCGGTTGCTTCTGCTTCTCTGCTCTGCGGTGGGATGGTTCCGGGGCACTGCGGAGGGGCTGCTGGTCGCTGTTTCCGTCGTCGTCGTAGCGTGGCTTGAGGCGTCTCCGCAGGCGAGCGGTGTCGTGGTGATGGGCATGTTCTCTTTCGTCTTGCTCTTCCACGTCTCGAACTATCTGCCGACCGGATCGGGAGTGCTGCACGACGTCTGCCAGCTTGCGGCGGAAGAAGTGGCGGCGGATGATGACGACGAAGGACGACACGAATGGCACGCTGCCGATGATGAGCAGGATGCAGAGCACGGCCTGCTGAAACGCGGTCAACGAGCTGAGATTGACGGTGTTGAGCCCTGGTTGGATGGTCAGCGTATTGCTTTGGGTGGAATCGAGGATGGAGCGTGCCTGTGGTCGTCATGGCACTGCAGCAGAGGAAAAGCGCGTCAATGTATCTGAGCTGGCCTCCATCATTGGCAAGGCCTTCTCCGTAGACAATGAGAGAAGTAATGACAATGACGACGACAAAATACAGCATGTGCATGCGATAGAAGTTGAGATGGAAGACTTCCTTTCTCAGATAATAGAGGAAGTGCTCCTTGGCATCGTGCGGGTTGCGCACCTCGCCTATGGCGTCTTGCATTTCTCAAGCGACAATTGGACGTTGTTCGAATACAGCTTCCACGTCGCGGCCTCAGGGAGGGGGCAAGAGGTGCTTGACTGACGTCATCTTTAACCGTTTCCCCGCTTGTCCTTCCATACCTTCTTCCTGCTCTTCAAAGCCGCCCTCCTTATCCTACTCGCTTCCAATAACAGACCCACAGCCCCTGCATGGGCAGTTGAGGCAACCGTCCAGATAAGGTTGCTAACCGCATCCAGAAATCAGATATACCCACACCTCTCGACTTATCATGGAGTAGCCTAAAGCCTTCACCCCAAAGCACCATGGCTTTCAGTTGTATCCATCGCTGCTGGATTTCTCATCATCACAGTATCCGGACTGTACACTTTAGAGACTGTGGACAAATCGACTGGTGTAGTTTTGAGACGCTCCGATGGTCTCCGAACTACATATATCCGACCTGCACGTACCATGACCTTGCTTTCTCCACCACCGCTATCAACGAACAATAACTCATCCACCCAAGAGCGAGGGAGGCGTGTACCAACCGTAGTCCCGGCACAGGAAACTGTCCTGAATTGCACTCTGTCCGATTCTCAGAAGACCGTCGAGATGCAAAACATAACCAAACCCCAAATCTTCAGCAAAGACTTCGCCATGGAGCCCGAAATGCTCCAGACCTACACGAAAAACCGCTCACAGACCCACCACTACATCGACAGCTACAAAGACCCCCCTTCCTGGGACTTCGGCGGCTCCATGAGCCAACTCTCGTACTCCACAACCGCCGACCCCATCGCCGTCTAATACAGCTACATCGACAGCTTTCCGCCTCTCTTCCCCCGGCTGCGCCTTCCTCTCAGGGTTCAGATACGCACGCCGAAGAGACTGGAGATGGCGAAAGAAACACTCAGTTGCGAGAGGGTGCTGTGGAGTGAGTGGACGTCTTTCCCGAAGATGTTGGATGTATGGATGAAGGTCGATGATGCTGTAGTGATTGTGTTTAGCGTAGCTTCTGGTGAATCTTTCAGACATAGGGGCAGCTTCAGAGTCGGGGTTCCAAGCCGTGATGGCTCGTATGTCTCCAGAACTACCACGAGCTTGAAAATGCGGGCACTCAAGTATCTCCATAACCAAGTAAGCTTCAAATAACGGATGGGTTGTGCAAGAGAACATTCTGACTTGCGCTCCTCGCCACAGTTCCAGTTACAGCCACTGGACCGAGGCTGAGATCATCGAAGGGGTGGAAGATATCATCAAATTATCGCCCATTGCGGCTGACTAGGCTGATATGTCTGCAGATTATTAGAGAAGGAGGCCGTTGAATGGAGGCTGGCAAGAAACCCCGACGTTTCATCGAACGAGTGGTGGGCCCTACGCCAACGAAGATGAACTGAGCTCTGAGCACTTTTGAGATTATATCAGCTGTCACGTAAAAGTTCACTATGATCGTGTGTCGTTCCGGCCCACTCCGTGGCTATCAGATAACCTGGTAGGGCGAATTGAAGTACTGGAGACCTTGGCTATACGTGGTACCAAAGTGCCCAGTTTCCAGATGACCTGTCAGGTTCAAGAAGAGTACACTTTCAATAGGTCACGCAACCTATGTATACCGTCGTCCTTGCATACCGGCGTCCTCATTATCCAACAAGTCTGGTTCAGCTCTCAACGAAGACGTAAGACAAGTGGGAAGAAAATCCAGAAATATGCAAGATGATGCACGCTCCTCGGGCGCCGTCGATCGGCGCTGCTCTTCACATGCGCGAAGTCCGCCACCCCAGCCTCTTCCCCGCTCCGGATCTGGAAACCTTGGTTCAACCAATAATGAGCCGCTGGTCGATCGCCAGGTACACCCTGCTGGATGCCGACGCCTCAGCCGCTCGACCGCGAACGGGATTGAGGCGCAGGCAAAAACACGACACAAAGCAGACCTTGACTATCTAATTATAACTTCCTCGTCCAAAGCATATAGCCTTGAATGGCCAGAGAAGGCAAAGAGGCCAAAGCCAACACATTCCACCAATCACATAATTCCGGAACCCGCTAGGTCCGTATGTAGCTTGGTACCTCGGGGCCATGAATCCTCCCTTCCGAATGGCCCGGGACCCAGGTTACCGGATCCGGTCCGCGGGCGTCGCTGATAAGCGGGCTCGCACGTACCGTTTGTGGGTCTTATTTCCTTCTCGTTCGCTTTGGTTTGCGGTTGGTCTCGTCGCTAGGTGAGCTGAAACACCGGGGTTTGCGTGGAGATCCACACACCTGTACCGTGGAACCGAGGTCTTCTTTTGCTCTTTGGTTGTTAACGGGCTCCACAACGTTCTCGACTTTGCCGACAATCTCCCATGCGTATCTTTTGCCTTCGGGGGGGAAGGAATGGAAGGTCCGACTCGGGAATCGACAGCAGACGGATGCGGGAACGACCATCTTTTTTTGCGGGTTGCTCGATGAGGTGAGTGGTGGCTGTACGACCATGATTGCGTCGATGATGACAGATGTATGAGCTACAGATCGGCGGGAGATCCACCTGCGGTTCTTGCTGGGGAGTGGATATGTCGGGCATGTGTCAGACAGCATGGTGTCTCAGCCAACACGCATTTCTGACGTTGGCAGCAATAGGCAGCATTGAAAGCACAATGATTGAGAAACATAGATTTTGAGCTCGAAAAAATTCTCTAGAAGACGCTGGTAATGTCCATCGTGATCGTCGACAACATCACCACCACCGCCGTTCCGCCGTATATGCCCACACAACATATGAAAAACTACCTTTCCCACACTGACACTGCCTCCTTGCCGATCATTGATCTTCCCTTCCGGCCCGGACCCGACTCCGCATATGTATGCAGCTCTTGCATGCACGCATGCATAGCCGAGCATGGCATTGCGCAGCACCTCAATGCGCCCCACCTCTCTCCCCTCGCTTCCATCCACACCACACCACTCAACTTCCCTAGCTTCCTCCACCTCATGACTCTGTCCGCCGTGTCCCGTGATATGTGCGCGTGCGCTCATGCGTAGAAAGGGGTGAGTGGGTGGGAGGCGCAAAAGAAAATCTCCGGATCCCGACTCGTTGCTGCGCCACCAAATGCCGTGCCACGTAAGACCGGACATGTCCGTACTATTGGTCCTGATTTTCTTTTTTCTTTTTCAATCCTCGGCTTCGGTAGGTAGAAAATAATGCCTGCTGCGGATCATCAGTGATCGGAGACCCCGATGCGGCTGACTCGTTGCTGTCATCTCGCGTCATCTTCCGGACAACCTCCAAGTGTATCACCCAGCCGGCCGGTCGCGGGGCCGGAGATTCGTCGTCGTCGGGAGGGTGCAATGCAAATACCGTGGTTTGCAGTGTGTGCAGGCGTCATGCCCCCCCCAGGGCGACGGTGCTGTCGCGCAGCCGGCCGCATCATCCCTTGCACAGGACCAGCGCCCGCGCAGCCGGCACGGCCCCTCCAACCTGATGTTTCGTTTGTTTGAAGGGGTGTGGAAAGCCGCGCCGCAGTCGTTGTCTGGCCGGAACCCAGCAACGAAACAATGCGGGCGTCGCAGTTTTCCCCTTGTCCCTCCTCTCCCCTCGCTCCAGCTCTTCGACGGTGCCAGTCCAATCCCGTCCAATCCAGTAGACAGAAGAAAAAACAAACAAACAAAGTACAAACAAATCTTTCATCCCACCCTCATCCTCCCCATTCAATCGTCATCAATCTCCAACAGCCTCCTCAACGCCTTCACCTCGGTGTGATCGCGATAATTCCTCATCCGGTGACACCAAATCACCTCGCCGTCCTCGAACAGAAACTCGCCTCCCACCTGCAACCAATTGCCGCACCGCATCGCCTTCCGCATGCCCTGCACGCGCGTCTGCTGGCCCACCTGCTTCAGCTGGCCGGCGATCCACGCCGGCGGCGCGATGTCCTTCATGTACTCGGGGCGGCGGCTGCCCATGTCGAGCGAGAAGGACATGCCGAGGGCGCGGTAGAGCGAGCGCGTGGGGTCGGCGAAGATGGGGAATGGGCAGCCCGTGTAGCGCTTGTAGGCGGGGATCATGCTGGGCGAGCCGCAGCCGACGACGATGATGTTGGTGGGCGTCGGCATGGTGAAGTAGGTTTGGGAGTCGATGGATTTGGTGAGGGCTTGGAGGTAGGCTTGGCAGGCCTGGACGGTGGGTGACGGTGTGTTAGCATTGGGAGTGGGGGAAGTGGTTTGTGGCTATATTGTGCGCTACGTACGCCGCAGTAGAAATGCCGCACGAAGAGCACCAATTGACGCTGGCCGATGGCCATGTCGCCTTGGAAGAAGTTCTTGAAGGGCCGGCCAATGCCGTCGACGTCGTAAATGATAGTGTCGCCGGCTTCTTGGAGGGACTTCTCGCTGGGGCAGTCGTCGGAGACGTTTACGTCCTCACGCAGCCTGTTGAAATAGTCCTCGGCGTCAAAGGAGCAGGATCCAAAAACGGAACTGTTGCGGGCATGGTCGTGGTCAAAGGACGAAATGCTGGAGACATTGGTGCTGACGGTGCCGTTGGAGCTGTGGGAAGACCTGGTGGAGGAGGTGGGGGAGGAAGAAGCGGTCATATCAGAGCCGGACACTGAATTGTGCCGCGCATTGCGGGCGGGGCGAAGCTTGAGAAGAGGCATTTTATTTGGGTGAGAAGAAAAGAGAAGTGGAAGGGAGCCGGTGAAGGCAGGCAGGCAGTCAAGGCCTGCTGGCAAGGTAGTTAAAAGAGGACCAGCCGGTAGTGTGGTACGAAGCACAGGGTGGTGGTGCAGAGATGCTGCAGCACGGGGAGGATTTGGAAAGACCGAGAGGCAAGGAGCAGACGGGTGAAGAAGCGGGAGGGCTCAGGCAAATGTAGCAGACGATGGTCGCGACTGCCGGGCCAGCTGGGAGACCGGGGGGCTTGGGACTTGCTCAAACGGGACGGATCTCCAGCTAGACGGTCGCGCTGCAGGGCCCGGCCGAGGCCGCGTGCTTCGCGCCCACGAGCCTGCGACCCGTTGATTTGCGACTGCGAAATTCGTCGACCGCCGGCGGCGCCAATCGGTGGGTCGCTGCCAGTCGCTGCCAGTCGCTGCCAGTCGCTGCCAGTCGCCGCCAGTCGCCATGCGGGCGGCCGCTCGGCGGGTGAGCGGGTGCGCAGCAGCTGTCCCCCAGCCCGCGCCGCTACTGTCCGATGCTGCAACGCGAGCTGTGCGTCCAAGGGCCCTCGAGGCCCTGGAACCCTTGGTGGCGGCCTCTGACGGCGCCGCCTTTCGCGTCCGCGGCTGCCGGCGCTCCAGGGTCGTTTGGACTGGGGGTGCTGCGGCCGCGGCTCCAAGCCTCAGGAGGGCCGCCAGCCTGAAGCAGCCGGTGGCCGCAGGCTTACTGCCTGATGTGAAGGTGCCGTCGCCACAGCGGCAGGATACGGACACGCGCAGAGCTGGGGTGGCGCGTGGGAGGGCTGTGATTCGGCAGCTGGACCGGCCGGGCGCTGTGGCCGCCGGGCAGGGGTCGCCTCGCTAGCTGCTCGCTCCTGCCGATCGAGCGCGCACGCCCCAGTCGCTTTTCTGTCGCCGCGCAAGCCCTTCACTCGACTTCATCACCATTTCGACTCTGCTCCGGCGTCACTTGACCCCATTGCCCTCGATCTCGCTGCATGCACCCACTAGCCTCCCCCACGCCCTAGAAATGCAGCACTCTGCCGCTCGACAATGCTCCAATCGCGTCCATTCCACCGCGCCGGCGCCCCGACGGAAGCGCCTACATTAACCGCCGTCTGCGCCATCTACCCCACAACGCACGCGGTTCCGACCTGGCCTCGTCTGGCACAAGCTTGTTGCGCGAACGGCCAGTCCCGCCTGGACTTGACTGTATCTGAGATGCTCAGTTTACCATGGTAGTGCCCACAGCGCAGTCAGCGGCTATCGTAAGGTTGCCACAACGCCAATTCGTCTGCTCACGGCGCGCACGCGGCCGAGCGAGCTGCATTTACCCTTTTGGCAGGACCCGGGAGTTGCACACATGCAGTGCGATAAGCACCCTTCGAGCAATTCTCCGACCCTCTCTCGCGTAGATAGCGCCCGCGATAATGCTGGAATCGCCTGACGTCCCAATGGCTTGTCACCGCCGTAATAACTTTGGCGCTATTGAAATAATCGGGAAGTGATGGCCCATTGAGGCGGCTAGCACCGCCTGAAGACTGCCACAGTCCTGCAGGGCTTGCCTATCGGTCCATGCCTCTCATGCGGTATCCGGTATAGCCGATCCCTACATCAACTAATGATAGCATGGCATAGCCCCCTGTACGGCAGCTGCCGCCATCTCTGCGACGCGCCTCTCCGCCAAAGCTGCGAACTCAGAGCTGAGAGCCCAGTCCAAGTGCTGGTCAACCAAACAGAGCCAAGGTAGCCAGATCCGTAAGGGAGTTGATCATCTTACAGTCTGTAGCTTGCAATTTCCCTTGCATTCCACGACGTCCATGTTCCGCCAACGTCACTCACCTGTTCACCCCTTGTCGTCATCGTCCCAATGTCTGCAAAACCCAACTTCTATTAATCTCAAATACGTCACGAGCTAGTTGCGCCATAGGATCGAAGCTTGGACGCAACCCGTGCTCGCTAATCTCATGCTATCAAGGATTATCATTCAAACACAGAGGATCACGGACCTGGGACCGGCTTAGCAGCGCCGAACACATCATCGCAGGCACGGACACAGCTCCGTCGAAGATCGACGACAAGCCTGCGATCAACATCAAATTCCTCTTCACCCCGCACTCTGAAACGGACAGCTGTGCAAGTTGTCGCCTGAGCTGTGGCAACCAACGTCATCAAGAGTTTGGCTAGTAGGGATATCGTTGTTGGACTTGAAGGCCCAGCCCCGGGAATGGCGCATTTTCGAAGCCTTCGATATATGACGCCGATTGCCTGATACGTCTCGCGTTCCCAACCGTCTGGGCGGGACACGGGTCGGCACGGCTCAGTGGCTTTCACGGCACGCCGGCTAGGTCATCGGTTCGGGACCTGTTGCTCCGACTTTTCTTTGACTATAACAACACCGCAAAAAGAAAAGGAAAATGAAATGAGCATTTGGGAGGACCCGCTAGTGTTCAAACACTACCGTCTTCCACGTCTGAAAGCCCAACAGAATCACGGACCGCAATGAATGAACGCAAGCACACTCAGTAGGCCAACGGAGTGTCGTGGACTGACAGGACATGTATTGAATTCAGAATGTTCTTATCTTTGAGTCTGCCCTATTAGAGCGTCAACTCGATTGATCAATCCTCTGCAAGACCTTTTGCTCAAGCCGTCAGAACCGTCCCGTTCTCCTTCTTCACAAAGTCAAATAGCCCCTGCAACAGCTCCTTCTCCCCATCTTTCAACGGCCATCTCACAAACACGCCAGGCTTACCCCACGGCGCATCGACCACGACCGTCTTCCCCGGTTCGAACAGCTCCCCTGTCCACAAATGCTGGTAACGCACACCTCCATCCACCGCCGTGCCCTCGCTATCAATTTCCACGCGTGGCAGGTACACGGGTAACCGCTGTGCACGCAAATCGTACACTGGCGCAACCAGCAGTGCCTCACCCAGCCAAAAGACCTCATCAACTGTCGCCACTGCGAGCGTATCATTCGGTGCGTACACGGCCGGATGCCTTACCACTGGCCACCCGCGCTGCTGGTACTCCTCCAACGCTGCCTTCCGGTACGCCTTGACGCTGGCATACAGACGCGCGGCATACGCATGATATGCAAGCGTCGATGCATTCGTATACGCCTGTGCATTCACCTGCGGGATATTTCCCTCATGCGTGCGGAATGCCGCGCCGCCGAACGCGCCCACGGATTCCGCCCACCGCCCGAGCAGCGCGGCGCTGCGCGTGATGTTGCCGACGGGCGCGAGCGTGTTGGTGTAGCCGCCGACGTCGGCGTGGGCCTGGGCGAAGCCAGAGAAACCGATGTGGAAAGTGCTGCTGATTGCGGCGCGCATGCCGTCTTCGCGGGTGGTGTCGATGTTCTGGTCGCCGACCCAGAAGAGGTTGGTGTAAGGCGCAGAGAATGTCGAGGCGCTGCGGTGGAAGCCGAGGGTGTCGTTGGCGACGCCGGCTTCGATCGTGGCTTCGCGGAGGAGCTTGGCCCAGGCGAAGGGGTAGGTGTTGTGGAAGAGGCGGGGGGAGACGGTGCCCGAGGATATGCTGACGCTGGAGGAGACGTCGAGGTATTCACCGAAGTCTTGCATGGCTGAGTGGAGGGAGAGTTGGGTCAGTGGATTGTGGATGAGTGTTTAACGGGTAAAGGGGAACTCACCGCCGGAGATGGGGACGGAGTAGTATTGTTGTTTGAACAGATCCTTGAACCACTGCACGGTCGTCTCGTTGGAGATGTCCAGCAACCCAGCATCGATACCCGGCCCGCTCGTCAACTCCCACGGCGAGCCATCATCCGCCGTGGCATTCAGCACCAAGCGGCCCTCCGCCTTCGCCTCGGCATAGAATGACCTGTTGTACCCAGATCCTTTGTTGCTGACATTCGCCAGGAACGTGTTGACGTAACTCAGCGTCCGCACGCCATAGGCCTCCTGCAGATGCGGCACCCACTCGGCCCACTCCGGATACAGCTGCGCATCGGGCTCCCAGTTCCACCACAGCCGGCTGATGGACACGTTATACGCGCCGGCCTGCAGCCGCGTCCCGCTCCAGTCCTGCAACCACACGCCAACGAGCGGCATCCCCGCCGCCCGCGCGTCCCGCACGATCCCCTCGACCTTGTCCTGCCCGCCCTGGATGCCCAGAATCGCGCCCTCGAGCGCCCAGTCCGGCAGCGGCGGCTGCCTGCCCGTCACCTCGGTCAGCGCGCCCGTCGCCTCGAGCAACGCATTAGTACCATCGACCGCAACGCCAACCCACCCCTCCACCCCCTTCCCCTCCCACATCACCTCCACCACCCCGCTGCCCCCATCCCCACTCTTATCCCCCACCCCCTCCCACGCGTCGCTCCTATCCACCACCCCCGCCCCCGTCCCATTAGCGCTCGCCAAATCCCACACCGACAGCGCACTCCCTTCCAGCACCACCCACCTCCCCGACCCGCTCACCACCGCCGCCACCGCCGTGTACCCCGTCAGCGCCGACCCGCCCGCGAAGCGTCCCGACACGGAGGCGTCGCCGTTGAGGTACGTCGTCACGGGCTCGGCGCCCCGGCCGACGCCGCCCTCGCGCGCCCACACGGGGATGCGCCAGCCGCGGAGGTTGCCGAGGCCGGTGGTGCCTCCGAGGCCGTAGAAGGGCTCGTTGGGGGGGGAGGTGAGGGCGAGGTGGATGTTTTGAGGGGCGGGGATGGTGGTGTCGTCGTCGTCTGGGGTGGTGATGGAGATGGCGGCGGAGAAGTGGAGGCGGGGGTGGGGGTTGGGGTGGCTGGGGGAGGAGGGCGTGGTGGTGGTGTTGGTGGTGAAGGTCAGGGTCCAGGACCAGGCGGAGCAGTGGGGCGGGTGGGCGTCGGTGAAGGCGCCGGAGAGGGTGAGGGCGGCGGGGGAGGCGGTGGTTTGGTTCGTTTCCAGGGTCACGGAGATGATGCTGGGGGCGGTGCAGCGGGAGGTGATGTTGGTTGTGATTTCGAAGTTGCCGGACGAGTCGGAGAAGTTGGTCAGGCCGGTGGAGGCGGAGATGAAGGGGTAGGAGCTCGGCGCTGTTGGAGGAGAGGGGGAAAGGTAAGCCATTTTTTTTTGTCTTGTTCCATGACCGACTGCCCCGTAGAGGTAGGTCTGTCATGCTCGGAGGATTTGGGGCGTTCGCGTACTCTTCCACACTTCGGCTCCAGACTGCGTGTATATGTCGACGGACGATGCGCCTTGGTCGACTTGCACTGAAAAAGCACCCAGAGGGTACGTCTTCACGGCCTCGGCAGCCATCATCGGCGCCGAGGTACCGAAGACGGCGGCGGCGGCAGCGAAGGCCGCTGACGACGTCGAGGGGCAGATGAGCGGGTGCTGCATCGTATGTGCGAATGCTGCGACAACCGCCCAATAATTCGTGGTGCGTCGAAAACAAAAAAGAAGTACGACAAGATGCAAACGACACACAGGAAATGAACAGCAGCAGAGCCGCCTTTCTTATGCCGTCAATGGCAACGAGACGGTCGGTGTGGAAAAGAAAATCACGTTTGGCACGCCTGTTCGGAGCACGCCATCTCGGAGACGATCCAAGTTTTGCGGATGAAGCACTGCATATGGCACGAATCAAACAAAAACACCGCACCCGGGAGATGGCTGCCAGAGAGCTTGCCCCACTGTTTGCGCTTACGGCAGTGCTGGTCAGGTACCATCGGGGGTTAGAGGTGGGGTACAGCTGGCCCTGTCTTGTGATGACGTCATTTCATCGGCTGTTGACGAGATTTGCCCGCCCAGATATTGTTGTTGATCACTGCACTGGACTCTGGCGCTGGTTGTTGCGAGGCCGACGGATGCGTGAAATGAGTTGCTGGTTGGTTGCGTGTGCGCGGCGAAGCAAGTCGATGCGTTTGTGGTTGTGTGCTTGGATTCTTCGCCAGTGGATGGTGTGGTCGTCCAATGGTTCTGTTTGGCTGCAAGAAAAAGAAAAACACATTGCGGAATCACGAGAGAAGTGGGCAAGGTGCGAACTCGTGCTTCAACAGCGTACCTTCAATCAGAACTATGGCGCAGATAATCACTAGGCTGTGTAGGATTCAACGACAAAACGAAGAAGGTTATCTTACCTCGGGCGGTCCACGAGATATCCATAAAGGGAAACGTAATGGGTGATGTGCCAAAATGGCCTCCGTACCAAGAAACCGATTAACATGACAGTGAAACAGCGTCGTATAGACTTCTACATTGACTGAACGGCTTCAAGACCAAGACTTCGGTTCGGGAGCCACGCGCGGCAAGCGCAGCGACAAAGCTACCGCTGACCGTTAGGTCCTTTCCTCGGATACGGGCATTGATATCTTAAATCAAGCCTCCAGTACATTCGTCTATGCCACAAGTTTGGGTACTCGAAAAGGTTTCGGTTGGAAAATTGTGGCAAGAATTGTGCGATGAGAAATCATCATGGCCGCGGAATACTTCATTGATTGTTGTTCAAAGTACGTACCTCGCCGCTCAACGTTAGGCTTTAGAGAAGCTGCTTGGTATTTCTTACAATAGAACTTAGATGCGGACAATTCCGGCTTCGTAAAGCGCTGGCGGGTTCGACCGGACAAACACTCGAAGGATTCAAGTAATACGAAGCTGAGTAAGAATAGGGCATTGCGGCGCAGCTCACAAGAACATGTCAACCTCACTCAGAGCTCTACAGCACGCTGACAGCAACCCGGCTCACATTCCTGCCAGACAGACTCGCGATCCGATTCAAGATCATGAACGCAACAGTATCGCGACGCTTTGCTTGCAAAGCTCTGCTTCAGAGCGGAGCCACACGGCACCCAGTCACCTCTCCGCGGCACATTCGTCTGAGCCATCCAGAACTCTCCTCCGCATTCTTCACCAGGCGCGCGATCCTCAATAAGACCTGGTTCTCATCAAAAGAGCCGGGGCGTGGCAGGCCATCATCGAACGACCCGGAATACCCGGCTTTCAGCTTCGAAGCCCTCGGCATGACCAGAAACATGAAAATCGGAATCATCACTGTACTTTGCGTCTTTGGCACAATGGAGACTTGGTTCTATTGCCAGTGGGCATGGCGCTGGTGGAAGGGCGATACCGGATTGAGTGCTTCAGCGTAGGAGGGACGCGAACGTCGAAGGTGAGGGAAGAGTGTACGACGTCCTGTATTGTACGATACCCCTCTCAGCACTTTTTGTATCCAAACCGTTCTCCGCTTTTATCCTCTGTGATCCCCACCAAGCCATGTGGACAGGGGATCTCCGTACCATGTGATGGCCTCTGAACACCAGCGCGAAGATTGACCCGCGCAGATGAGCTGCATGCCCGAGACCGATTCGATTTGGCAGCCCCACAGACCCTGCAGTTGCCTTCTTTCCACTTACACTGTTTATTCAAGCCTTCTTTGATATATCGTTGCCGCCAGCACTGCTCGTATTCTCGCGTCGCGCCCGTCCCGCGCCGTTCCGCCACTAAAAGACCCGCTTCCAATAAGGCGGCGCAGCAGCATTGTGGAAGTACAGAGCTTTCCCCGAAGCGAGCAGTCTTCACGAAATGCAGTGGGGATATGCGTGACCGGAGAAATTTCTCAGCTGAGCTGCCTACAGCGTGCTCCTCCAACCACGTCACCAGCTGAGGTCCGCAATATTTTCGGTGGCATACAAAAACCGGTATAGTTGTTGTGCTAGCCTTTGCGGCACAGCAATAGGTAGACATCGGTCTTCTCCGGCGGAGGGGCAACACTGCAAAGCCATGACTCGAGCGCACATGCCCATCGAAAGCTGAGCGCCTGCTGCGGGGCCCTGTGACCAGCGGATCTATGGGTCTCTGCAAAGCGCTTACGGCTTGCTGCAGGATATAAAGCGCCAGAAGGCGAGAAAACAGGCAGAGACGTATTTATTACCCGTGCAACCTCCCAAACAATACACCCAACCAGATAAAAAAAAGAAGAAGAAATGCGGCTCCCATCCACGCTCCTCCTCCAGCTAGCCAGCTGGCTCCCCAAGCCCGGCCCCACCCCAGCAGCCGACGTCACCAACCAGAACGTCATCCCCGCGGCCGCTTCCGCCGCCTCCGCCGCCGCCATCGTCGAACCATCACCACCACCACCCCAATTCTCGTCACCACCACCACCACCACCATCAACAAACTCCACGCTCCCCTCCCCCTCCCCATCTCCCAACTCCCTCCCCACCTGCCCCTCCCTCTCCACCCCCCTCGCCCTCTCCACCCTCCCCTCCCTCTTTTCCCTTTCCCTCCCCACATCCGACTCCACCCTCTCCCCCTCCGCCCTCACATCCATCGCCCAAATCAAGCAAACCCTCACCCTCTACGCCCTCGCCATCGACGGCCGCGACTTTAGCGCCCTCGACCGCGTCTTCGCCCCGGGCGCGTCGGCGCACTACGGGCCGCCCATCGGCCGCGTCGCGGGGCGCGAGGCCATCGAGGCGACGCTGCCGCCGCTCCTGACCGTGTACGCGGGGACGCAGCACGTCTTGGGGACGGTGGGGGTGGTGCTGTGCCAGGGTGGTGAGAGGGAGGGGGATGGAGAGGGGGAAGAGAAAGAGGGCGCGGTGAGCGTGGCGTATTTCACGGCGACGCATTTTGGGAAGCAAGCGCCGAGGGAGGGGGATGAGGGGGTGGGGGGCGCGGCGGGGTGGGAGGACGTGGTGGTTGCGTGGGGGCAGTATCAGGATCGGTGGGAGAAGGGGGAGGAGGGGTGGAGGATCGTGCACAGGAATTTGGTGTATATGGTGAGTGGGAGCTTTTTTTTCTTTTTCGGTTTTTTTTTTCTTTTTTCGTGTGTGAGCCTCGGGTGGAATTTTGCTGACGGTTGTGAGTAGGGTCCGTTTGTGTCTGGTGCTTGATGGATATTTAGGAAAAACGTTGGGATTTTCTGTTTGACGGCCGGATATGATGTATGTATGAATGAGTAGGAAGGCCCTGTCTAGAACAAGCGTCTTTCGTCTATGGATTCATGATCTCTTCCTTTCGGTTCGCTCGATGTGATGTGGCGGTTCACTGGAGATTGGCGAAACAATGCTCTCAGCCCACAGAGAGCTTCACTTACTGTCCGTCCCCCTTTTTCTCGACATCAAGATCCTGACCGATCAGCTCATCAACCATCAGCCGACAGCATCCCAAATACTTGGTCGGATCGCACAGCTCAGCCAACTCCTCGCTCTTCAGATGCCTCATGACCTCGGGTACCCTCTCCAAGCTCTCCTGTAGCGAGACGTCGCCCTCAACCGCCGCCACACACGCCTTGTACACAATCTCATGCGCCTCCCCCCTCCCCGTATGCACCGCCAACCCCATCATCACCGCTTCCGCCACAATCAAACCCTTGGTGCTCACCAGATTCCTCATCATGGCCCCCTCATTCACACACAGCCCCCCGATGGCGAAATTCGCCTGAGCCAAGCTCCCCACGCACGCCACGAAGGCCGTCGGCAGCGCCACCCACTCCAGATGCCAGGGCCCGCTCGCCCTCTCGAAATCCGCCACCATGGCATCCAACGCGAGGCCGGCCTGGGCGCGCAAGATCTTGGCCTGGGCCAGCATGACCTCGGACGAGATGGGGTTGCGCTTCTGGGGCATGGTCGACGAGGCGCCGCGGTGGGGGACGAACGGCTCGGCGACCTCGCCCAGCTCGTTGGATGACATGACGGCCAGGTCGAGCGCCACCTTGCCGAGGGTGCCGCCGACGAGGGCGAGGAAGCCGACTGCGTCGGCGACGCCGTCGCGCGCCGAGTGCCAGGTGATGACGGGGTCGGCGAGGCCGAGGAGGGCGGCGAGCCGCTTGCGCACGGCGATGCCGGTCGCGGAGGCGCCCAGGGAGGCCAGGGTGCCGGCGGCGCCGCCGAATTGGGCGAGGAGGGTGGTGGGCTTGAGGGCTTGGAGGCGGGAGTGGTGGCGGCGCAGGGAGGAGAGCCAGACGGCGCATTTGTAGCCGAAGGTTATGGGGAGGGCGTGTTGGAGGTGGGTGCGGCCGGCCATGGGGACGTCGCGGTAGCGTGAGGACATTTGGGTGAGGGTGGAGGTGAGGGTGGATAGCTGGTGCTCGACGATGGCGAGGCCGGCTTTCATTTGCAGGACCGAGGCCAGGTCCATGATGTCTTGGGTGGTGGCGCCCCAGTGGATGTAGCCGGCTGCGGTTGGGTCAGGACGCGGGATCTCGGACGTGGGAGGTTGCTACTCGCCGTGCTCGTCGGGGACCCATTTGGACATCTGCTCGATCAGTGGCAGCACCGGGTAGCCCACGATCTCGGTCCGGGCGGCCAGCAGGTCCCAGTCGATCTTGTCTACGCTGCTGTGCTCGCGGATGGCTTGGGCGGCGGCGACGGGCACGACGCCTTCGTCGCTCTCGGCCTGGGCGAGGGCGCACTCAGCCTCGATGAGATTGGCGACGTAGGTGCGCTCGGAGAAGCATTGTCTGATCTCATCGGTGCCGAAGATGTTGCCGAAGAGCTTGGAGTCGAACATGGTGTATGTGTTCAGGCGACAGCTGCGGCGAAGGGGCTTGGGACTCCATTCTGGCAGGCGCAGCACGAGGGCAGATTTTTGTAGCTGGTCAAGCGTGTTTGGTCTTCGGGATAGGGCCATGACGGCTCGGAATAGCGGAATATGAGCACGGGCCATGTCGCGTCTCTCAGACCACCACGCGCTGATTGGCTCCGCCTCCTCCCCGCCCTTTCGCGCCCTCTATTGTCTACCGTCCTCGTCCGACACCGGCCAGTGACACCATGACCACGCCTGTTTCTTCAGATGCCTCGGCGCTCGCACAGGTTTGGTATGCAGCCACGCAGAGAGACGAGGGGCCCACCCACAGCGCTGATGGCTGGGCTGCAGTGATCGTTGCCGCCGGTATCTCACCCTGCTTCCCTCTCATACATCCAAGACTGATGTACCGTGTCCAGGAAGAAGGTGAGGTGCTATGGCGATGGTGTAAAGGTTAGCAAATGCACCCCAGTCTCGAAGCTCGTGGCTGAACCTGACTGGCCTTGGGTCAGTGTGCTCCATGCCTTGCAGCCGCCGTGCCGTGCGTGAGAACAGCAACACTCCAGAGGAAAAGAAAGCGCAAAAGGCACCATCCTCTCTATTCTACTCTTGTTGATTCCGTCTGACCATAAAAAACAGCTTCTACGAAAACGAGGCTGCTGGAGAGAGACGTGTCCCTCTAACAACATCCTCAACATGGAACCAGCCTGAATCGGCCAAGAGTCCACCCGCCGAGCCTGTCATCGGCCACATGGGTCGACTCGTTCTGAACGACCAACAGGTCCCCATGTTTGCAGGTTCTTCCACCGGCGTCCACTTCATCAGCCAGGCCGAGCAAAAGCTTCAGATGCTCAACATCCACCCCGAGTCTTTGCCCAGCCGGGTATACAGTCTGTACCTGAACAGCGTCTGCAACGCCCCCCCAACAGATCCCTCCCCTCACCTCGCCGCCAGCTTCATCGCCCACTTCCCACCCAACGCCGAGCACATCATCTCAAACGCAATAGACCAGTGGACGCCCCTCTACCCCATCGTCCACAAACAATCCACCCTCGCCGCCTTCCGCTCCCTGCTCCAAACCCCAAACACCGGCGACCACCTCTGCACCATCTACCAAACCCTCATCCTCCTCGCCCTCGGCAGCGTCGGCTCGCCATGCAGCAACCCGACCCCCCACCCCCACCACTTCCTCTGCTCATCCGACCCCTACTACGCCCTCTCCACCGCCCTCACCGCCAACCTCCTCGAACACCGCCCCTGCCTCCCCGCCCTGCAGGCCCTCGTCCTCGCCCAGATATACCTGCAGCTCTCGGCCCGCTACCCGGCCGCTTCGCACCTCTGCGGCACCGCCGTGCGCCTGGCCCAGACGCTGGGCCTGCACCGCCATTCCGCCCGCTTCAAGTTCGACGCGCCCACGACCGAGGCCAGGCGGCGGGCGTGGTGGTGCGTCTATGCGCTGGATGCGTTTGCGTCGGCGCACCACGGGATGCCGAGGCTGATTCGCGATCGGGACGTCGATGCGGACATGGTGACGAGGGTGGAGTGGTATCGGTGTGAGGGGGAGGGGGCGGCAGGGAGAGAAGGAGAAGGAGAAGGAGAAGGAGAAGCAGCAGCGCGCATCACCGGCCCGCGGTCTCACGAGCCCGCAGGTGCTTCGTCGTCGTCGTCCTTCCCCCTCCCCGGCGAACACACGCCCATCGACTCGGCCATCGCCCTCTTCAAGCTCGCCGCCGTCCTCGGCCACGCCCTCGAGCTCCTCTACACCACCACCCGCCGCCGCGGCAGCGACGCCGTCCGCACCATCGCCCGCCTGCAGGCCCAGCTCGACGTCTGGGAGCAGCACCACTTGGCGCCTCTTCTCCTCCTCCGCGCCACCAGAGGCGGCGGCCGTGACAGCAGCAACAACAACAACGTCGTCGACGACGACGACGATTCCCCCCCTCCCGCGGGAGGCCGACCCGCTGGTGGTGGTGCAGACGTCGTGAGCATCGTCGCCACCACCTTCCTCCGCGCCGCCCTCTGCAACGCCACCGTCCACGTCCACCGCCCGGCCCTCGCGTTCACGGCGCCGCATCCGCAGTTTGCGGATAGCTTGCGCGCGTGCGGGCGCGCGTCGGCGGGGTTGGTTGGGTTGTTGGATGGAGCGTTGGGCCGGTCGGCGTCGACTGTGAGTGGAATAGGAGGCGGCGGCTCTACCACCACTGCTGTTGTGATGGCGACGCTGCTGTATCCGAATGGGTTGCACATGCTGTGGCAGGCGGGGTTGACGGTGTTGTTTGCGTGGTGGAACGGGGTGGGTGGGGATAGGGCGGGGGATGAGGCTGTGGTGGTGAAGTGCGCGGAGGTGTTGAGGAGGTTGGCGGCGGGTGCGAGCGGCGGTGGTGGTGGAGAGGGTGATGATAGCGTGAGGAAGTGCGCGGACGTGTTGGATGTGCTGCGGGTGAGGACGTTTGGGGACAAGGCGCGCAGGAAGGAGAAAGGGCTGGGAGTCTTCGCCGCCGCTACTGCTGCCTCCGCCTCAGCCGCTGAGACGACGGGGTCCCGGCCAAGGAGCCCGGTGGAGGAACTGCTGCCGCCTGAGCAGCAGATGCAGTGGAATGTGTGGGATTGGCCGATGGCGAGTGCGTTGGAATTGGCGAATACGCTGGACGCGATGCCGCTGGATTTGGACTTTGAGGGGGGTGATCCCTCGTGGTAGGACGGTTTGATCAGGGATCTTGTTATTCTCCGTTTCGCTGGCAAACAGTGTTTACAGTGCTGGATTACCACAGAGGTCAAGCAAGACCAACTAAAATCTCTACGGAAATGCGGTCCCACCGAATATCACTACACACATTTATCCATGCCTTCCACGAGTTTCCTTGCCCCTCACAATCCAATATCACACCTCGGCCAGGAAGCCTCATCATTGACCTCTCAGCTCCGCCGAATCCGGCGGGAAGTACTTCTTGGCCCGATACCCCTTCCTCCGAATCCGCTCGAAGAAGTCCCGACACCGTTCAATCTCCCGCGCATTGCCCCCCGGATCTCTGCACAGCGTCCTATACGCGGCCTGCAGCGGGAAGATGGCCGACGCCGGCCCGAACAGTTTCATCTCATCTTGCACCAGGTACTCAATGCTTCGGGATACCTTGACAGCCAAGTCGACTGCTCTCGACCGCAGATCCCCTCCCAATCCTCCTCCCCCTCCCTCCTCATGCGACCGCCAGTACCCTCCAGCGTCATCATCATCACCACCACCATCATCGACAAGACCTCCACCACCCCACCCCCTCTCCGCCGCCGCCCCCACCGCCGCCCCCACCGCCGCCCCCACCACCCGATCCACCCTCTCCACCTCCTCCAGACAAACAATCCCAAACGCCCACGCATGCACGCTGACGTTCGCGGCCAGCAGGCTGGGGAACCGCGGAGCACAACAACAACAACAACAACACGAGCCGGCAGCACTCGTCGCGCAACACGGACCCGATCGTCCGTATGAGTTCTCCCGATCATGAGTGGCACCAGCGTCGCCAGGAATATGGGGGGAAAGGTCAGGTAACACCGTCGTCGCCGCATTTTCGCTTTGGAAGCGATGGCGGTTCCATGTCTCGAGGCGGGCGAGGACGCGGTGGAGGCGGGAGCGGAGGTTGGCGGCTGCGGCTGCGGCTGCGGTGGCGAGTGACGCTGTTGACGCTTCCGTTGCGCCGTCCTGCGAGTCTGGTGTGCGTACGAGGAGGAGGAGGAGGCCGTCTACCTCGTGTAGGATCGACGGGAGGATGGCGACGTCGCTGAGGAGGCGCTGCATGTCCGATGCGGGGTGGTGGCGGAACGGGGTCGTGGTCCAGGGGCGCTGGGAGAGGAAGGTCGGGGTGCGGGCGGTGAGGGCTTGGAAGATCTGTGGTGGGGTGTGGGGGGTTAGACGATGGGCTGAGGGTGGGTGGGTGGGAGGAGGCGGGGTGGATTTGTGGGACGTACGAAGAGAGGCCTGGTGCCGACGAAGACGGCGTGGAAGGCGGTGTCGGAGGCGAATGCTGAGGGTGGGTGGGATTGGATCAGGGCGCCGAGGCCGTGGAGGTGCGTGTCGAAAGCTGTTTGGGATGTTGGTAGCAGCAGCTGGGTGGTGGTGATGGTTAGCGAGCTTTTACTTTCTTGTTTCTTTCGGGGCAATATGCTATATGATGATGGGGCGAATGCTCACTTCGGACATGGCTAGGCAGCTGATTGCAGCTGCGGTCTCGATGAAAAAGCGTTTTGGAGATGACAAAGCGTCTTTCAGGTGATAGAGGGTCGAGTTGTAGTCTTCGAAGTTTTGGGAGGTGAGATGTCTTCCCTCCGGGGTTCGTTCGAGGATGGCGGCCGCGAATGTCTTCACAGCCGACGAGATGAGACTGCCGAGGAATGGCTTGTCGACCAGCCGGGGAAGTATGTTTACCCAGGCTCCACATACTTGCGTAGTGCTCGTATCGGCAATGGAAAGGTTATGTTTGTTGGTGGGAATGTAGCAGTTGAGAATCACAGTCGCGAACTCCTGGGCGGTGATGCCGTTTAGAGAAGCGGGTATAGAATACTGGCCAATTCTCTGAGTGATATGCTTTTGTTTTGCAGAGGATGCCTTGGCAGACGAGACCGTTCTGGGGGTTCTCGGCGATGCAGCTGCCGAGTAAGAAATGAATACCGTTGCAAGCTGGTAGCCGGCACAGTTCCGTCCCGTAAACGAACACTGGGAACATGACGGGCGCTTTCCGTCGCACTGATTACGTGATTAGAAGTGGAAATTCGAGGCGCTGTAGGGTCCTAGAACTCACACCTATTTTGTGGGCTCTGCAAGTGCCACAAACTCTGGTCTGTTTATACTTCATCGTGTCCGTTTGAACGTCTAGCACTCAAGTACTGGCTCCTGCTCAAGTGTCGATGCGAGGGAGAGGAAGTGTGCTGAGGTCTAGAAGGGTAGAACACCCCGCGGAGATCCGTCGGGTCTTGGCGGAATACGCTGCCTATTCGGGATTAGTGGAGCAATGGTCTGGAGCTTGTGTGTACTCGCTGACGCTACATATCATGTTTCACATGCTGACTTGCTTGCTGATTAACAAGGTTCTGCTTGCCCTACTTTACGTCAGCTTCTCGCCGCTGGAACCGTTTCGGACATCAGACATGGAGTGGTAGCGCTCGCCGAATTCCTCGTGGGCCATCGAGGATAGGCCGATAGTGCTAAGAACGATCTTTATTTTGCCTCGACCAGTTTCAGTGGTTTCGTGGGTCGCAAGGACCACTCCACTCCACTATCTTCGTGAAGCTCTCTGATGGTCAACTACGCTTTCGCCGAAAAAGGGCGTTGATCGTACCTCCTCTACTGGCCCGGGGCTTGGGGCTAAGGTTGAAGTCTTCTCGATAATTGTCATCTGTACGGATTCTCTGATTTGGAATGAGGCAGGGCCCTTGTGCATGGAAGACAGGATGTCTTTTTATTGGTTTTGCCAGCACGCACTTCGCAACGCTTGTCTAGAGAAGAAGGTTGCTAGTTGCAAACCGTATGTCTCTGCATAGTATCAGCATGAGGGATCCGAATGTGGCTTGCAATTATTCAAATCTGGTCGGCAAGCTTCGCTGACCTCTGCGGCGCTAGCTGCTTTAGGGAATTCATCCCGCCAAGAGCTCACCGATGGGATCCTTACCACAGCCCTTTCTCTCCATCTATTGAATGCGCATCATCATTTTGTAATCGCAAGGCCGTTAATTCCGTCTCAGCAGTTCTGTATAAAAAGGGACCCATCTGAACCCACCGACCACATCCACCACCACCACAGCAAACCACCCCATCAATCAACCACTCCAACACCCACAATGTCCCCCTCAGCCCCCACAAAGACCAAAACCAGCCTCTCCATCACCCACATCGGCACCGCCACCGCCATCCTCTCCCTCGACGGCATCAACCTCCTCACCGACCCCTTCTTCTCCCCCGCCGGCAGCACCTGGGACATCGGCATCACGCTCGCCGTCTCCGCCAACCCGGCCCTCTCCCTCGCCCAGCTCCCCCCCATCGACGCCGTCCTCCTCAGCCACGACGACCACGTCGACAACCTCGACCCCCCCGGCCGCACCCTCCTCGACGGCCGCCGCGTCCTCACCACCCCCTCGGCCGCGCGCAACCTCGCCCCCCGCCCCGGCACCCGCGGCCTCGCGCCCTGGGAAACCGTCACGCTCCGCCTCAACGGCAGGGACGTCCGCGTCACCGCGACGCCGACGCAGCACCTCCCCGGCGGCCAGTGCACCGGCTTCCTCGTCCACCACCCGGACGGCAGCGTCGACCGGGCGTCGGGCCTGCCCAACGCCGTGTGGTTCGCGGGCGACACCGTGTACCTCGCCGAGCTGCGCGACGGCATCCGCGCGCGCGCGCACGTCACGGCCGCCGTGCTGAACCTGGGGGCGGTGTACATCCCGGCGGCGGTTGTGCATGCGTTGGATCCGCGGGCGGCGGGGGCGGAGGCGGAGGCGCCGGTGGAGGAGGGCGCGGCGGATGTGCAGATCACGATGGATGGGAGGCAGGGGGCGAGGATTGTGCGGGAGCTGGGGGCGGAGAGGCTGGTGCCGATGCATTATGAGGCGTGGACGCATTTCACGCAGGGCGGGGAGGGGTTGAGGAGGGTGTTTGAGGAGGAGGGCGTGTTGGATCGCGTCTGTTGGCTTGAGCCTGGGAAGCCGGTGGAGGTGTTGTGAGGAGGGGTTGTATGGTTGTAGTTCAGGCAGCTCGCGCAATATAATCACCGACTTGACCCGCATTTACAGCATGACCCGCTAACTTTCCCCGGCACAGCCGTGTCTAACTACACTGCCCTACTCTCAACCCTCGACGCTCTCTGGACTTTCGACCAGCTCCACCCCGTCGTTTGCCCCTTCATCGCCCAATGTACGTACCTTTTCCACCACTTTCGCCGGAATATCTGTTTTGATGTTCGGGTGCGCAGACTTTACGGTGGTGATTCGGGAGATGGGAGTTTGTAGTAATGTTACGTTTGTGGAATAGATGGGGTCGGTGACGGTGAATTTGGTTGTGAGGAGAGTGTGATTTTGTGCTGTTGAATATGGTGGGGCAGTTAGTGGAAGAGGAGGTGGGGACGGCGTTGTGGTGAGAAATTCCGCACGTCTTTGTTGGCACAGGCAAATCAGATATGTGCAAGAACAGACGAGTCGCTGTGCACAGGCCGGCAAATAAAAAAAAAAGATTGCAAAACGTACAACAGCCGGGATTCCCCAATGGTCACCCACTTGAGTACTAATCGGCCGGTTCGCAGCTTGAGTACGGCTGAGCGGACGGGAAGCCCTATATTCTGCGACCTATGGTCGTACGTGAAGGGGAAACCCGCAGACAAAGCTAATGACTACAAGTTAACGGGCTGTTGACTGCCGCTCGACTGCGACGCTGTCAACCAGTGAAACTCGCGTAAACAAAGGTCTATTGTGGCTCGCTATTGCTGCCTTATTTGCCTTGGTATATGGTTCGTTCCATCTGTTTGATTGGTCGTTCGGGAGCATCCCTCGGTCCACCTCTCTCAAAGTTGGCCGTGGGATGGGAGCCTTGTCTCTAATCATTTCTACGAGCATCACACAACCGATTCTTTCAACTGACTACCGGCTTCTCAACAATCCCATTACCTCTATAGCTGTCTTCGCACTCTTACACTACCTTGCTTCCTGGAGCTTATACTTCGGCTCCATCAGAGGTTGACGTATTGAGACCGAGCTTCTTTCCCCAATCAGGCAATCTGTAGGCAACGGTCCATCCCCGATGAGGTCTTTGAGCCGGGTTTTCCCCGAACGGACTCACCGCCCGGCCGGGGTGCCTAGTGGGGTAAAAATCGAGCCACGTTTTGACTGTTCATCCAACACCGACACACAATACATCACCTGACGTCATGGCGAAGGCAGAGAAAGACGACCAGATCATTGAGATCGCACGGGGGCTGAAGGGAACCCCCTGGTGCGACGAGTACGAGCGCATGATCTCAGGCATGCTGTAAGATCAGTCCGCCATCTTCCTTCACACCTTCGTTTTCTCTCTTCCACTTGCCGAAATCATGTACGGTATTGACTGTCCCACGCAGCTATGACCCATTGCATCCGAAACTGCTGGAGGGGCGCCACCGGGCGCGTTGCTTGGCTTACAAATACAACAACCTCGACCCCAACACGGCACCATACGACAAGCATGGTGAAACCCAACATGCACTGCTCAGCGAGATCCTGGGCAAAATCGGACCAGGAACCTTCATAGAGCCCCCATTCGTGCCCGACTACGGATGCAACGTCAGCATCGGCAAGAACTGCTTCATGAACTTCAAGTACGTAGCACGCCCGCCCCAAGCCAGAGGTACGGAGCCCGCTAACGCACGCTTGAAGCCTCACAATCCTGGACACCAGTCTGGTCATCATCGGCGACCGTGTCCAGATGGGTCCGAACGTGAGCATCTACGGCGCCGGCCACGAGACAAGCGTCCTTTCGCGGATCAAGTTTGTCGAGTTCGGGCACCCCGTCAGGATCGAGGACGACTGCTGGATTGGTGGGCAGGTCATCATTCTTCCGGGCGTTACCATCGGTCGGGGATGCACCGTGGGTGCGGGGGCCGTCGTCACCAAGGATCTTCCTCCGTACTCGGTGGCTGTGGGCAGCCCGGCCAAAGTCATCAAGACGCTCCCGACTGTCGAGGAAGAGCGCGCCGACCCGAACAACCCGTTCAATAAGATGGATGACCGCGAATAGACACGTAGACCCTGCCCTCTCAATACATCTCCTTTGTCCCAGCCCCGCATCTAGATTGAACATGTGGTCTCCAGTTCACTACAAGATGGTGTCCATGTGTGGCTTCCCATTGGAATCTCTTGCCCTGGTCAGCTAGTATCGCAAGATGGCCCGATGAGGTAATTGCCTATTCGGGTAATATCTGCTGCGAATAAGCTTGGATTCCAGGCCACTCAAAGCGGGCCGAGAAAGACGATTGCGCGAGCGATGGAACAGACTCAGCGCACAGCACGAACCCGATCATTCCAGCTTGACAAACATCGGCCTCGGCTGCGCCTCCACCCAAGCGTCTTCATGCACGATCGCCACGCCCAGCCTCCTCGCCACATCGCCCCTCCGCTCAACCATCATCACATTCAGCAAGCAAAACGCCCTCACCTCAAACCTCGCCTCGTCGAAATACACGGGCTGGAACTGCGCCGCGTGCGCCATCGAACCCATGAACTCGCCCCGCGACAGGAGAATGAACTCGAACGCCCTCCTGCCCGCCACGTTCTCGGCGACCCACCCGCGATCCAGCATCATGGACCCCGCCCAGCGCCTCCGCCCGTCGAACACGGCCATGTTGCTGCCGAACCGCCACAACTTGCCCTTGCGCCCCAGATGCCGCACCTCGCTGGCGATCAGGGTGAAGGTCGCCAGCATCGTCTGGCAGGCCAGGTAGCGGGGGAAGCGCCAGTTCTCGGACGCAAAATCCACCGTCTCGCGCGGCACGACCGTGTCGAGGAAGTCGTCCGGCGGCGGCACCTGCGGCCGCACGAGGCGGTTCGCCGGCGTGAGCTCGATGCTGTGGAAGAAGGACGCGACGTGCAGGAGGAGGGCTGCCTGGTCGCCGCGCCGGCTGATGGCGAACCAGGGCACTTCGCTGGTGCACGACGTCATGTAGAAGTAGTTGCCGAACTCGACGCTGGAACGCCACCCGGTCCAGGACCAGGTCGGGCCGTGCATCTCCTCGCTGCCGTCCGCGCTGGTGTGGAGCGGGTGGGTTTGGCGCCGGGGGACCCCGAGACATGTCCATAGCAGCGCCGTGTCCAGGTATCTCTCCGGGAGTCCGTACCAGAAACGCGTTTGCATGGAGCTCTTTAGTACGTTTTGGACGCCTTGGAAGGCGTTGAGGATGTCGCGAGGGTCGGAGAGCGCGCGGCTGCTGTAGTCGCCCATGAGGTCCTCATAGGCGCGGGTCGCTCGGGAGTCGTCTGGGTAGGGGCGCCGAGTCAGCTTTGAGGCTTCGCCGTGGTTGTCGATGAGGACTTGGGGACCGATGTTGTTCCATAGGTTTGTGCCGCGGTAGAATTTCGTATGGAGTTTGGCGCCTTCGCCGACGGAATCCTCGCAGAAGAGACAGGAGGCGCATTGAAAGTACGCCTGGTCATCGGTAAAGTAGAGACAGCGTTTGGCGAGCATGGACTCTTGGAAAGTCCAGGCTCGGGAGTTCCAGCGCGTCTGACCGACGGTGTTGAGTAGTGTGTCGAATGGAATTGCAAGGTGATGATCCCGGACCTTCTCAATCTGCTGTTCGGCGCTCCGAGTCTTTTGTCGGATACCAGGCAATCCGCGGCAGGGTTCTGACTCGCCGGGAGGAACGCGATAGGCTGATACAATGGTAAGCACCGACTGGGCATATATCGAGTCCATCCGCATGATTTGTTTTTGCTTGTGCTCCTCGCTGTCTTGGATGATGCACAGGGCATCGATCCACAAGTACTTCTCGCCCATTTCTTTCACGAGACGAATGGCATCGGTGATAGTCCCCGGGAGCATGCCGAACTTTTCTTTCAGACACCCAGGCACCCTGAGCTCCGCCAACGTCGCAGACGTGTTCGTCAAGCCCGGAACTGACGGCCAGCAGTAACTCAGTGTGATGTACCTTGTACCGGGCGAACAGTCGCGAAGACAAAGATCTTCGACGTCGATAACAAGCATATCGCCAAGGTTGGAAGCTTCTCCCGGCCCATCTTTCCACTCTCCGTCAGGGTCACTGCAACGTTCTCCGTGAGCCGTCTCGCACAGACGAAGCCAGCTCCGCGCCATGCCTACATCAAAAAGCTCGTTGACGCGTCTGCCGTGAAACTTCGCATTGTCGCAAGCACTGATGCCATCCTCTGCCACCAGCTGAATGTCTCCAGCGTGACACTCCGAAGGCGGGGTCAGCATACGGCCTCGCGGCATGTGTGTGGAGATAGCAATGCGGAAGGTATCTTGGGCGGGCGACTCTGCAAAAAGGTAGCTGTACATCCAACATTGCATGGGTTTCCCGGTCGATCGGCTTGACGCGAGGACAGCTTTGGGATCTTTGTCCGAGTAGTGGCGGCGGTGGCATATCGCTTTAATGACGATGCGGCAGAAGCTGCACTCGACGCTTTTGTCCAAGATGTCTTCCAAATCGCCCAGCGCAACCGCATCCTGAGTTGGGGCTACGAATGACCCAAGTCTGCCTGTTCTGCAATGGATCGCTTGTCGGAAGTACGAGTAAATGTTGATTTTGGAGCACGTGTCGCAGAGTCCGTCCGTATGGGTTTGAATTGTCGTCATTGCTATGGGTGTATGTTCTCAGGTATCCCTCAAGGCTGTCAGTTGAAGTTACGCCCTGCAGTGTGGGGGCGAGGCGCATGCATGTATCTATATTTATACATCTGCCCTGTAACAGGCGCATAGAAGCGCCTCAAATGTATGGTCATACAAGCCCGCTTACGGGCCCCCATATCTTACCAGCACCTCAGCTTCCGTTGCGCCTAGTCGGTAGAGCCGTCGTCCCCGTACCACAGTGCGGCCACGTTTGCCAGCGAAACAGCGTAACGAGCCTGCCCGCCTGCACATATGTCGCGCGCGCTCTAGCGGGTTGAAGATCATGGGGAACGGGTTCATCGAGTCTTGCGTCAGTATCACCGTCGTAGTGGTTCTCTGGGAAAATCGGCAGCGAGCGAGCGCCAGGGAATGTGGCGAGCGCGTGCGAGCAGGTGGCAGATTGAGGCTGATCGAGTCGTCTGCGCAGGGGTCAAGCAGCGGGGGGTAGCATCTCGATCGTTTGCGCCGTGACCACGTGGTTGGGGGCTGGAGCCGGACCGAGTGGCATTCGTGGGTGTCCGATCGTACAGAACTCCGCAATAATCTGTTGGGCGACATAACGATGCGCTACGGAGACGAGTCAACGGTCTCTTGTGTTGTCTTAGCCGATCGATGATCTTGCGTACTGATTAGCCTCAATTCCGGCCTAAGTTGAATTTGTTTGATGCTCCATTTTCGTGTGTGTCTCATCCGACCGGTGGTGGTAGCATGATGTTATTGGTGGGGAAAAGCAGGCAAGTTGAGGCGAGAACTACCCCGTATCTCAAGAACCCAGGCCTCAATATATCCATAAAATGACTGCAGATCTGACATGACGGATGAGGAACTTGACTTTCCCAGATCCATGTCTTTTAACAAGGGAAGGTTTGTCCACACCACATCTTCATGTCCAAGCGCTGGATCCTTCGAAAATCCCTCCAGGTCGCTGCAAGGGCCTCTCCAGAGAACGTGCGAAGCGGATCCCCGGCAAAGCAGGATCCCCGGCAAAGCAGGATCGTCCCAACATTTACCAACAACGGCCCCTTCCTGTACCAAGTTGAGACTGGCCTGTATCAGGCGTAGGGTTTGGAGTCACTCTGCGTGGTAAGCTCTGGAGACAGTCGGGCACTCATTTGCATAGCTCGACTCCGTGTCCATGTCGGAAATTTCGAGCCCCGGAGAACCTGCATTGGCGTAAAGTCACCCCAAAGGAAGGACGTCGGCGATGGCACAGTGAGAAGGCTTTCCAAAGGTGGACCTTGATGAGAGGATGGAGAATGGAGATGCCGCAAACCATGCAATATGAGCCTGCGACGTGGATGGGTCTGAAAGAGGCCCCTGGTGCGATGTTGCTGCAGATTCCTCGGTCTAGATGCATCTGTGGAGGCTCAGGAAGATCTGCACCAAAGCATAAAAGATCCATGCCACTGAGCCTGATACAATAGAGCACCGGATTTGTCATCCCGAAGACATGGCAGGCAGATGTGCAGGTACCGGCGAATCGGACCCTCGGAAAACAATAGAAGGACCCCCGTCGGAACTCGGGGGCTCTCCACAGCCGTTCGCTCGTATAGATGAGCCATCAATGCATTGCTCGAGCACAAACGTATTTTGAATTGAGTGTGAAAATTTACGGGACCGGACTCTCTTGGGAAGTACTACCGCTTCGGGACTCGGTAGTTGGCGGAGCTGGCCGGTCCAAGAGGGCTTATCGAAATGCGGTTCTACTGACCAATAGCGGCGGGTACGGACGGAGGCAATTGTGGTCGTTGCCACCTCGAATAGCCTGTCAAGCGCTTACACGAGGGCTTTCAGAGGAACGTGTGTTCGCCTATTTACCCGCAGGGCATCCGATCGGGATAGGCGGAAGAAGCGGGACAATGAATAGAGACACGGGAGTCCCCGATGTTTAAGGTTTTGCTGGAAGCCAAGGTTCCCTTGCTCGAGCACGGCAAAAGAAACAAGCGGACTCGTTTCCAAACGCGAAACACGAAGAATTGTGGTTGGTTGAGGTTGGGGGAATGCATCAGAGATCAGTGTCCAAACGGGCAAAGATGGTGATCCGAAAGCAGATCGGAGAAGATGGTGAGCGGTATTATTGCGAGCCTGGATCTCAGATGTCAGCTTATTCTCGCACGCACTGAGTGATTGGAAAGCGTCTGCTTGGCCGGCGTGTCGCCCTAGAGGAGAAGTGGTGCTCGCATCAGGAGAAAGCGGAGCCGCTTAGACAAAAGGCCGAGAAGACCGGCAACCGGATTTCGTGGCAGCAAAAGGCGCAACGCGCTTAACTCGCTTGCAATCGCCAGAATGGGCGGGATCCGCGGATCGTCAGGCGAGGCGCCGAGCATTTGCGCTTGCGCTATGGTGCTGAGATACGGATGATCGGTATAGGGAAGCCTGATTATCAGCAGCAACGGCGAATGCTTTCTTTCCCACGGCGCCATCGGGTGTCGTAATCCTTCCAATACGGCGGACAGCCGGTCGGGGCAACGATCAGCCGTCCAAGGCGCATAGGGCGATAGATAAAGTTTACGCACGAACTGGGTCGGCGCAGCATGGCTGGAACATCATACTGCTAATAAGGGACAAGGAGTAGCGGTGATTTGCTTACGCATCGCCAACGCTCTGCAGGGCGATCACCGCGGCCGGGGCGCCCGATCCTGGAGCGATCGTCAGTGTGAACTAGCGAAAAGCAAAAGCGCTCTGCCACGCAAACGACGTCAGCGGTTCCGAGCAGCCTGGCGGCGTCTCGAGGCTGGCTGGGCAGATCGAAATTTGCGGACAGCAGCAGGCGCCGCATGCGGTGGCTCCGGGTTGTCGTTGGGCGTGTGTGGTTGTGGGGTCGCGGACAGCGGGCAGCGGGCAACGGGCAGCGGTTCGACGCGGCGCTGCAGGAGCGCAGGAGCCGAAGGGCAGTGTGGCATTCTTTAGCGCGTGGCCGGCAGTCGGGGCTGTTTAGGCGAGATTGTGGATGCTGGCGGGAGAGAATCAACACAAAACGGCTTCCCACATGTTCGCGCTGCGGGCGGAGCAGACTCCGGCCCCACGACGGCAGCACCGCAGCGCAGCAGCACCGCAGCACAGCAGGCTGCCAGCCGGCACCTGTCACGGCGGGAGGTCCGGGCCGGCCAGGAGAGCGATGAAGCCAGGGAAGCCAGGCCCTGCAGGCGCGCAGGGTGAGCCGGCCAGGGCGAGGGGTGCCTGGGGGCCCCTGAGCAGGCGAGCAGGCTGAAGAGGGGCGGCTGCAGGCAGTCAGCAACGGGCGGGCCGGCAGCGCCATGGAGGCGGGACAACGGCGAGCGGGTCGCGGGCCAGAGCACATCCGGAGTATAAGACAGTGCCAGGTGCTGGAGCAGGGCAAGCGAGCGGCGCGGCAGTGCTGGGCTGCTGGGCTGCTGGGCTGCTGGGCTGGCGTGGTGTGCGTCCACTGACTGCGTCCGCTGCGTCCACGGTGGCTGGCGGCCGCCAATGGGGGCCTCGGGCCGGCTCACCAGCGAAACAACATCTCGTGGTCCCCGCCGTCGCCCGCCGACTCAGGCCAGTTCAGGCCAGTCCATCGTCAATCTCTCCCGCCCCGGCTCGCCTGCGATTTGCACCCGCCGCTGACTCGCCCCGAGCCACCGCGCCCAGTCGCTATTTATGCCGCCTTGGCCTCCCGCTGCTGCGCCTGCGCCCGCGCCCTCGCCCGCCGCCGCGTGACGTGCCATGCTGCCTGCCTCGTCGCTCTCCTCCGCGCCCTGTATATCTCTCTCCACGTGCCCGCGCCGCATCCCGCGCCGCATCCCTCGCCGCCCTTGCATGCCTGCCGTCCGCCTCCGCCGCATCCATGGTCGGCGTCCCGGGCCGCAGCAGGTTGGTCAACGAACGCCGCTCCCGCCCGACGACGACAAGTCATGCTAACCCCCGCCCAGCGGCTGCCACACCTGTCGCGCCCGCCACATCAAATGCGGTGCGTGCCCTCTCTCCCGGCCCTCTCTCCTGGCCCTGAGCCCTGAGCCCGCCAGCTGACAGCAGGCTGCCCAGACGAGCGTAAGCCCACGTGCCGTCGCTGCGAGAAGTCTGGCTACACCTGCCAGGGCTATGAGAAGCCCATCCACTTCCTGATCCACACTGCCGCCGGCCAATCATCGTCGTCCACTTCCTCGGCTGGCGCCACGCCCTCGCCCTCGCCTGTGCCGCTCGCTACCCGCTCAAAGGCCCTGGCCAAGCCTCGCCCTCAACCCCAGCCCCAGCCCCAGCCGCCGCCGCGCCGCCGCGATGCCCAGGACCAGCGCGTCGCCACAAGGCGGAAGCAGCAGTTCGCCTACTACTTTCCCGCCGTCCCGCAGGAACTCGGCTTGGATGGATTTGTCGACGACATGGCCTTCTCCTTCACCTTTTCAAATCTTGTCTACAGCAGCTTTGGTCGACCCTGGCTGCAACTGGCCGCCAAAGGTGCCGTTGATGACATGTCGCTCTCGGCATGCAAGGCTCTTGCCCTGGGCTTTTTCGGCAACTCACAGCGTCAGAAGAAGGTCCAAGACAGGGGTGCCGGCGAGTATGGTGTCTCACTGCGGCTGCTGATTGAGGAGCTGTCCAAAGTCGACCAAGAGAACGCTGGCAAATACATCATTCCCGTCATGGTAATGCTGATGTACAGCGTGCGTTCCATCTCCTCGGCTTGCTCGTTGGCATGGCGTGCTGATTGGTCCTCTCAGTTCTCCGTGGCCAAAAAGGCCGATTTTAGCCACCACGATGGCCTCAAGCAGTTGGTCCTGCTTTGTGGACCCGAAAAGTTTCAGCACCAGCCGTGGCTGAGTGCATTCGAAGCCACAAGAGATTTACTGGTAGTTCACACATGTACGGATGCACATGAATCACACTAACGGGATGGCATCCCGTAGATTTCGAAAGCTCTCCTCGAACGCAAACGTACCTTTCTCGAGGAGTTTAGGTGGCGGACTACTCCCTGGGCGCTAGATCCTGCCGCGAAAAGCCCAAGTAACGAACTCATGGACATCCTTTCCGAAGTCCCTGGATTTCTCGAAGACGAAGCGACTTTGAAAACGACCGACGACACCCCATTACGTATCGGCCTGTTGACTCGTGTCGAAAAATGTCTGCAGAACCTCTATCATTGGCGCTGGCGCTGGGAATCGAAGAATCCGAACGCCGTTTTCGAAGTTACGGCCAAGCCGCCAGGCGACATGAAGATGTCCGAAGTCCCCCCAGGCCTGCAGACGTCTCTGCGTTACCAAAAATGGCTCCAAGCCAACGAAATATGTCTCTATAACGCTGTACTACTGTGGATTCTGCGATTTCTTGCGGAACTGCGTCCTACCGCTTTCCCCTACCCCTCTCCCTCACCATCATCCCAGCGCTCTTCTCCTGCTGCATCGCCACAGTCTGCCGATAGCCCTCAGTCACTACAGTCTTCAGACGAATACACTTATCTTCAAGATCATATTCTCGCTAACATGCCACGAACGCCACTACTCCTCCCGGGTCAGGCCCGCAGTTTACGCCAACCAGCTATGGAAATCTGCCGATCGTTTGAGTATTTACTGGAAACTTTTGCGAAATCAAATGACATTGCGCTTTCTTGGCTTATGCCCATCAGCCTTGCGTACTACGTTCTCCAGGACGACCGAGATTACGCTCGTTGGGTTCGGAAGAAAGTAGATGGGTTTGAAGGTAAGGTTGAGCCTCCTTTCTCTTGTTTTGCTTTGAAGATGAGATACCGAGACGATGAATGCGGCAACTGCCAGCTCAAACGGAGTTTTCGAAATACATCAAAGCCAGGGCCATGGGAGCGCGATGGCCTTTGTTTACATGATCGTTTTCTCACACCGCACCGGTCTGGTATGTTTGGTTTCTCTCCCCCGAGCAAAGGCTTACCCCGAGCGTCTACCTTTAGATATCTGGGCGGTGCTCCAGAACACCAACCCTGATAGCGTCTATTGGTGCGCACATGCATTCTTGCTTCCCAATCCCCTTTGGCCATCAACTAAGTCTTTCAAAAGGGTCGAAAGACGTTCGGATCGATACGAAGCCTTCCCTTCACAATTCGGCACACAGTTTCTTCAGGAGTTTCGAGAACCGGGATGGCGATTGCCTGTCCGTCTACGAGACACGACGCCAGCAGACGATTCCGGAGGGAGTACTTGATTCGCGCCGGCAGCATTGGAAAGCAAACGGAACCCACGCATATTATTGGGATGATACCAGATACCTGCATACTACAGCATACCCGTTTAGCGTTACATTACGCGTCACGACCGCCACGTACAAGAACATCCGGAGTTGGATGGACCAAAAATCATTTCATCTTCTCATTCCGCATCTCAGGCGTTTTGCGTTTGCTTTCTCATCGCTCTGTTCCAGCTGACTACGGTTGCTACAAAAGGGACGAAGGACTTCCCGCTCCATCAAAACTTCTGGGCTCTGTACACCGAAGCTCACACGGTCAAATGTGTTGCTGACGCGAAGGCTCCAAGATAATGATGCAGAGTCGTTCTTTCGCCCTGCAACTTGATGTCGCTTTATATGACGAATGAACAATTGGACGTCTAAGTCGGCTGTCCGGTCTGACTTTGGATCCTTCCTTTTGCCTTCATGGCGGACTAAGGCATGTATTGAAATGGCAAGGCGCTTTGGTTTCATGACCCCCATCTACATCATAAGGTATCTTTATTTAATCGAAGCATCACTACACAGATGCCGCCACGCGCTCTAATCACGCTAAATGAGTTATCACCACGTACATGTATCTCCGCGGCAACCATCAATTGCATAGCAACCATTAATCATCTATTCGCTCTAAGCCTCGTCATCAAACAAACACGGCCGGAAGCACGTCACCGGCCACATCCTCCTCCACCCCCCGCAGCAGAATACGAAAACCAACACAACACCATCCCTGCGCGCTGACCCGAGAAAGGCTCGTATTTCCAATCAACATTCGCACGACTCAGACCCGGCAGGCAGCCAGCAACAACAGGGTCGCCGCACCGGTTCGCCCCGCTGCCGCTCGCCGCCTCTCACTCTCCCGCCTGATCGGCTCCATCACTTCCAGCCCCCTTAGACGACGACAACACACGGCACCTCCACCGCGCTCGCCTCCCCCCCATCCGTCTCATCCGAGCAAACCGCCACGAACTCGACCTCCGCGCACCCGCTCAGCACCCGCTGCCCCGCATCGCGGTACCCCACCACCACGGCGCCCTCATCGGCCGGCACCTCGGCGTTGAGCGTCCCCGCCGGACACGCCATCCACCCGCTGCCTTCCTTGCCGTAACGCAGCACCGGCGTGCCGCTGCCGTCATCCTTTTGCACTATCCCCACGCCCTCCGTACCGCTCGTCCCGCAGTCGACGCCCACGGCGCGCGCGGCGGGCACGGTCGCGGTCCCGCCCGGCGTGACGACAGCGCTGAGGCGCTGCGCATAGCCGGTGCCGGTTTGGAGGGTGAAGACGGAGGGGGTTTCGCTGTCGCTGTGGAAGAGGGCGCCGTGGCTGGCGGGGGAGAGGCCGAGGGCGTTGGCGCAGGAGGCGTCGGTGGAGGAGAGGGCGAAGGGGTTGAGCTCGTAGGACTGGATGGAGGGGGTGAGGTCGGAGGAGAGGACGTTGGCGGTGAGTTTGATGGTTTTGGATGTGGAGAGCGTGGAGGTTGTGGGGGCGGCGAGGGTGAGGGCCGCGGCTGGGAGGAGGAGGGCGGAGAGGAGGGTGGGGCGGGTGTGGGAGAGCATTTTTGAGTTTGTTGGGTGGTTGTTTGGTTGGTTGGTTGTGGTGGTTGTTTGGGGGGTTGGTTGGTTGGTTGGTTGATTGATTGTTTTTTCGAGGTGGTTGTGTTGGACCTTTTTTTTCCTTGAGGTGGGGGGAAGTGTCTTTTAACAAAGAAGAAATCCAAGCGATGGTAGTGGTGTGGAGTGATGGGCTGTGAATGAATCAGTCGTCGGTGTCCGTCGCACGAGGGTTATATACGGAGTAGGGCAAGCCGCAAACCGCCGCCGCCCGGCGTAGGATCTTGTTTTCTTCGTCGACGGATGAATGAATGCGCACGTACCATCTCCACTCCTTCCCCCTCGGGGATACGTAAGGAACAACTCGCTGCTGGCAAGGCGACCGTCAGAATATGGCAGTGTTACGAGAGGGATCTGGTGGCGTTCTTCGGTAGGATTCAGAGAGCACGCGCGGGTCTTGGGTGCTCGGGGAGGGCCAATCATCTGCCTTGCTTTTTTTTCTTCTTACCGAGCCACCGGGGTGGCGTGCCTCTTTCCGCACCATGTGTGTGTGTAAGGCGACCGGCGACCGGGGACGCCACAAGAGTAGGATTCAGGTACGAAAGGGGAGCTGCTACTTAGTGCCGCCAGGAACAAGAAAGTGTGGCTGTGTCGTTTCGTTGGTTTGCTGGCCGGGGAGTGATGAGGGATCGATCGGCCCACCGAACGGGACGGGGGCGCATGCCACGCAAACTTACCTGGCCTGTGGAATGTGGGAAGTGATAGATTACCTTGCGCTAGGCACCGCTACATTGGCGCCGCCGCCATGCATGCATGCATGATGCGACCCTGCGGAGGAACCTGGTTGGGCCTAGCGCTGACGTCGTTTTGCCAGATGCTGCGGCTGTGGGCCATGGCCGGTGCTACTACTGACATGCTTGCGTGTGGTGGCTCCAGCATCGGGCCTGTCTGTTTTAGGTAATATTGAGAAAATGGAAGGCACCGGGCTTTTTGGCTTGTGGGGAGTCGCTGTGAGGAAGAGGACGTTTGTCTTTGCTGGTTATTTGTTTGTTTTGTCTTTTGTGTTTTACTTTTCTGTCTCCTTGTTTCTTGCATTCCGTTCAAATGTCTCGGTGGTTTGCGTGGTGTTGGTATGGATATTTCGTCTCTGAGGCGGTGAGGGGCTGGCTGGCTTGGAAGGCCGGAGTGGGGTGTGTGCTATTTTTGGTTACACTTTGTTCGGACCGCTAGCGTTACACGGGTCCAAAGGACTGGCGGTAAGCAACTCGCGTGGCCTTGTGGCTCCATGTCCAACGAGCTCTACTCAGCGCGAATACGGGGTGACGGCTTCGAGAACGACGGTAGCTGAGCAGGACCGAGTATTGTCTTGTGATCGAGAATCATCACACGGCTAGAAAACATGGTCGTGATCCTGAAGGAAAAGGAGGCTGACTGTTGGTGGCGGAGGAGCATTCGGGAGGACGAGATGCCGTTCCGGCAAGTGCGAGAATAGGCGCGGGAATGAAGCGGAGCTATGGTCTCGCTCTTCATGGATCACGCTGACGAAGAGCAGGTGTCGTGTAAGAGTTTAGTCGTCCCCGGGAAGAGCGACTCGATACGACTCAGCTGCATGGTCAGGTCGGTGGGCTTGGGACATCTTCCATGATAATTTTGTGATAGTGAACACAAGACTCCAACGGACAATACTGCCGAGGCCTCAAGACATTTGAATTCTCCATTCTTCAGTTCAGCTCCATAGATGTGGTGTTATTTTGTCTCAATTGCCACACTGGGTTGCAGAGAAATCGCCCAACGGCGACCTTTGATGTGTGGAGTTGAAGCAGATGTTTCGACGTAGATGTAGGTCCAAGCAACCTTCCTTTGTTGATAGTTGAAGCGCATACTCGGACGTAAACACGAGAGTTAAAGCCATGTAAACCCATCGATAATAGGGTCCCATTGCATAGCTGATATATGCAGTAGGCTAACTATCTCAACCCACTGTGTTGGGTAATGACGATCTTCCAAGAATGCCTAACTCACCACAAATCAGGACTAGCGATTCTGACTCGAGCAACCAATGACATGAGTGCAGGTCATGATTCGGTGATACTTGTCAGGCAAGGAGAGAGGCCCTTTGCCCCGTACCCCGCATTTCGGTCAAACCCCGCCCGCTCTACCTTCGGCTTCCCATATTCGCCTGGATTCGAGCATCAAGGCTTGATCCACGCCAAGAAAGCTACTCTAATGCGCCGACATGGCCGGCAGTTCCTTACTGACTCTGCCGGCGGTGCGGCAACGTCAATTCATTCGAACGACCGGCTTCCAGTCCGGATTGATGCCTGTTCTGGCAATGCCGAACATATGACCTTGACCGGGGAGTATAAAAACTTCTTCCTGCTCTGGAACAATGGGCACAGATTTTACTGCTTTGTTGCATTCTCCCTTGTCTATCCGATAGACGCTTTCTCGCCATGAATTTACTCGAGCTTCGGGGCCGGCCTCTCGTCACCTTGATCTTAGCCGTCTCCGGTATTGACTTCTTACTGTTTGGTGTAAGTCTGTACTTCCGCCTTCATAGACCCGTCCTTTGCTGACTCAAGATACACAGTACGATCAAGGTATGTCCGATCTCTCGGTGTGTCAGCAAAGAGGATCTTATTGATAGTGTGCAGGTCTTTTTGGTGGAATCCTTGCCGGTGAAAGATTTCAGAATATGCTCGGAAACCGTAAGTGACGTGATGCGTATCTCATCTGCCCTGCTTGTGCTGAAATTCGTCCCGCAGCTAGCTCTACCATGACTGGACTCGTTACGGCCATCTACGACATCGGCTGCGCAATCGGAGCCGTTACCGCCTTCATTTTTGGCGAGCAATTGGGCCGTAAACGTTCCATCATCTTGGCAAACATCATCGGTAACTTCTTCCCTGCGCCGACTACGCAGCCAGACGTCATCTCACTCCCAGGTGTAGTCATCATCGGTGCAACCATTCAGACTGCGTCCTACAGCTATGCACAGATGTAAGTGCATTGTAGAACAGAGATTTAGTGAATCACTCCCCGGCTGATCCATCGACACAGGTTCGTTTCCCGCATCATCGCAGGTGTTGGCGTGGGACTCAGCACCGTTGCCGTTCCAATCTTGCAATCTGAGACTCTGCCCGCGCACAACAGAGGCGCTCTTCTGGTGGTGCAGTCCGCCCTCATCATTATTGGCGTGGCCGTGGCATCCTGGCTTTGTTTCGCAACCCTTTTCACCGAGAGCTCAATGCAATGGCGTTTTCCCGTAAGTCCATCCATCTCTTGCGAATGCACCGCTCCGTTGCTGACGCCATTGTGCAGATAGCCTGCCAGATACTATTTTCGTTGATCGTCCTCGTACTGTGCCCTTGGATTGTAGAAACCCCTAGATGGCTGGCGAAGCGCGGCGAGGTGGATAAGGCGCGTTACATCCTCTCGCGCCTGCTCGATAGACCTGACGATGATCCGGAGGTGTCTGGCCAGCTGAACGAGATCCTGGACGCCATCGCTCTCGAGGAAGAAGATGGCGAGCCTTCTTGGGGCGAGGTGTTCAGCAACGCGACAAAGTCTCGGAACTTGCAGCGAGTGTGCCTTGGCATGGGCCCTTATATGATGAACCAATGGTCGGGCATCAACGCTTTGTGCTAGTGAGTCTACCGCCGCAACAAAGTCGGAAGGTTGCCTATCCCTGACGACCTTGTGCAGCTATCTCGCCTAAATTTTCCAAGAGTATCTCGACTACTCTCAGAACTTCTCCTTGATCCTTGCAAGCGTCGCCTTCACTCAATACGCCGTCTTCTCGTGGCCTCCATACTTCTATATTGACCGCATCGGTCGTCGTTGGAGCATCATGCTGTCCTCGGCCGGTTGCGCCATCTGCATGGCTATCGTGGCAGGCTGCCTCGCCGTGCGGACGTACACCAATGCCGCCGCGGCCGTAGCCTTCATGTTTGTACGACCATCCACCGCCCCTCACCGGATGAAACATACCCACTAACGGCCGCCACTCTTCCCCCACAGCTCTACCTCGACTTCTTCACTTCCGGCATCCTACCAGTATCATGGTCCTACTCGGCCGAGATCCAGCCCCTCCGCGTCCGCAACAAAGCCACCGCCGTCGGCGTCTTCTCGCACTGGATGTCAAACTTGTAAGCAACGCACCACACACACACACACACACACACACACACCCTGCACCATCCCTCCCTCCTCCCTGCCATGCCCATCACCGCGATCGCTAACATGCCACGCTCCAGCGTCGTCGTCATGGTCACCCCAATCGGCCTCGACAGCATCGGCGGCCACTACTTCTGGATCTGGGCCATCATATGCGCCCTCTTCATCCCGCTGATCTACTTCGTAAGCACCCTCCCCTTCCTTTCCTCTCCCCTCCCTTCCTCTCCTCTCCCCTTTTATTCTTCGCACGCTCCTTGCCTTGCCCACGGTTTCACTAATGCAGGTCTGCTTTTCCGGTAGTTTGGCGTCGAAACTTCGGGCCGCTCGCTCGAACAAGTCGATCAGATGTTCTTTGACGAGCCGCGGCTGTGTATGGGGTTGAGTCCGAATCATCGCCGCGTTATACGGTCGTCGGCGGAGGATGAGGAACAGAGGTACTCGACGTTTGAAAGGCTGCATGAGAAGGTGAAGGGGGTGGAGGTGGTGGAAGATGGAGCGACGAGGTGAGAAAGGGGTGATGTGTTGAGAGGGAGGTGGCCGTTTGGAGGTGGGGTAGGTCGTCAGTGGTGGAAGACCATTGGGTCATCGTAGGGTGCCTTTCATCGTGTTCTTTTCTTGCAGGATTGGTTCGATTCTTAGGGAAACTGTTCTGTGGGTTTGTCTTCTGGTGGATTTCTCCTGGTTCTTTGATTCGAGTGGCATTTGTTGGTTTGGTCGTGGTATCAAAGAAACGTTTGACGATAGAAACATACATGCCGCGGTAGATTCGATGGCATCTGCTCTGATGACAGGTTTCAATAAGTGGTGACGGTTCGCCCGGTATAGACAGAGGCGATGTCGAATCGACATATTCAAGATACCAATCGTGCTCATGCTTCCTATTCAGCGGAATAACACTGTTGCACCATGAGGGACGAGGTTACCCGCGAAGATTACCTTTTGCCTTTATGATTTTTGTTCACTTGCAGAAACTTTTGAGTCATAGTACAGCTCTTTTGTCAGAAGGCTAAGCTCAATTGATACCATGAAAGGCCCAAAGACAGTCACGGGAGGTCAAAATATGAAGATATAATGTACGCAAATTTTGATACTTATATCAAGTAACTCAACGGCGTTGTGGCGGAGTGGTTATCGCGACAGACTAGAAATCTGTTTCCTTCGGGAGCACAAGTTCGAATCTTGTCAACGTCGAGCAACTTGTTCTTTTGTCTCCCTTGCATGTAGGCCATCGTTTTGTCCATGAAAGGGGTGGGCGTTTGGACGTGGAGAAGAAATTTTGCCGGGCCGAGACCGTTTCAGGGGCTACATCTCCGAGCCGACGTTTTGCCATGCTACATACCACCAGTATGCAAGGTGCCACAGCTCTTTGCGAACTAGTGCATTCCTAGTGTTCCTCTGTTGCTTTATTCTCTGCAGCTGTAGACGACAAGAAGGATACGAACAATTGCTTTTTCGCTACTTAATGAGCGCATAGTCTTAGAATTCAGTGATCTCACGTACTGCTACCATGTTGAGATCTACTGGCATTGGTATTTTATTTCAGTGTTGCCGAAAGTGGATTGCTTACCATTGAGCCTGATGATGCTGATATTCTCGTCTGGATGTCTTTTCGTGCGACTCTCCCGTTAACCTCGTCACCCTGAAAGCCATTTGGTTTGCTCAATCATTGCAACCCTACATGAACCGATCTTGAACAAACGTATCATTCCCACTAACGCCACAACTCCAACCATGCGTCCCAGAAAATCCCGTGTAAAACTTCCCCACAGGGCCTCCTCACAATTCCCCTCCATCATAGTCACTCATACCCTCCTGAACGACCTTGTCCACCTCTCCCGCCGCCCTGCCAATCTGCCCACCCTCCTTCTTCGCATTCTGCAATCCGCTTTCCACGGCCGGCTGGATCAGCCTCGCAAAAACCTGCTGCCTGCCCTGCCTATCCATATACATCTGCCCGTCCTCGTCCTTCGGCGCGCCAAACAGGTTCAGATGCGCAAAGCCGTTCACGCCCTGCCCATGGCACCCCGCCTGATGCAGCGGGAACCACCCGCGGGCAGCGCAGGCATCCGCGGCGGCGGCTGCACGCGCCGCGTCGGCGTCGGCGGCGATGCCGGCCCGGATGAAGGCGGCCAGCGACACGAGCTGGTGGTGGCGCAGCCGCTTGAGCTTCTCGGCGTTGGCGTGCGAGGACGAGGACGTGGTGGCGCCGGAGGCGGTGGTCCATTTCTGGGTCGACGCCGTCCCTGCTCCCGCTCCCGCTCCCGCCGGCGCCCTCCAGCCGAGCACGCTGGTGAAGCAGCGCAGCGTGTGCACCCAGCCGCCGGCGCAGCCGACGACGTCGCCCGGGTGCGTCGCGAGCAGCCAGTCCAGCACGTCGAACGAGGTCGTGCAGACGTCGGTCGAGAGGCTGGTCATGCCGGCGCGGGTGCGGCGGAGGAGCTCCTCGACGTGCGGGCGGACGTCCGGGGCGGGCAGGGCCTGGAGGAGTTTGAGGAGCTGCTGGCGCACGCTGGTGGAGGTGTCGTAGATGAGGGAGAGGATTTTGGGGATGATGACGGAGACGGGCTGGGGGAGGGGCGCGTTTTGGCTGCGGGCGGCTATTACGGCGTTGGTGAGGTAGGAGAGGGATTCGCGTCTTTGGGTGTCGGACTTGTGGGTGAGGAGGTTGAGTTGGTGGGTGAATTGGGCGGTTATTGTTGGTGCGGTGGTGTGTATGGACTGCTCCTTGACGATGATTGCTAGGTTGTTGTCAGTATACGATATTGCTCTGAGAAGACATCGCATGATTGTATACATTTGACAAGGAAAGAAGTTGAGAGAACACACTGCCGCACATGTGACTTGAGACCAAAGAAGGGAACGGAGACGTAAAAAAAAAAACCAAAACCAAAAAAAAATCAAATGATGAACTGCCAAAAAAGGAGCAAGCGGTGTGAGAAGAAGAATTGTTCGTAAACTCACATTTGGCTTTGAAGCTGGTGTCGGTGAAGTTGTCGGGCTTGGGTCTCGCCTTGCCGACCTTGAGCTTCGGCTTCTGGAAATCCTTCTTCTTTTCCTTCTTCCTCTTTGCGCTGGAACCCATCTTGTCAGCCGCTGTCGAGTAGCGTCTTCCGTCGTCGTGTGCGGCACGCGCTGGTCAGAGGCGGCAGCATGAGGTTGGCGCAGTGCAGCCATGCAACCAGGGCGGACGATTTTTGTGACTTTCTGCGGCTAGCACCCAAACGGGAAAGGCGCCCGCGCCAAGACCAACCCGCCGCTCCTGCGCGCGCGCAGTCCGCCGTCGCCCAGCAGCTCTCCCGCTCGTTGTCAACACCACCCACCCCAGAAACAGCTGTCGCTGCGCCGCCTTGTGCCTGCCATTTCCGTCGCCCGCCATGACGCAAATAGTCGTACGCTCGCCGCCCGCCCTACACCCTCTTCCGAGCCCGCAACTGACCACACCCCCCATGAAGCCCTCGGAAACCCTCTCCCTCCTCACGCGCCTGAGCCAGAAGCCCGGCGTCCAGAGCACCCTGGTGCTCGCCCGCGACACCGGCGCGATCGTCCACACCTCCGGTTTCCTCTCCAATAGCGCCGCAGCGAACCCCAACACCACGCTGCCCGCCCCCGCCGACAACGCCGCCAACACCGCCAACAACGCCGTCGCACCTGGGGTTGCCGCTGCTGCTGCTGCGCTGACGAACGGCAAGCAGGAGACGGGCATGCGCAGCGCCGAGGATGTCGCCCGCATGGTGCATGGCTTCGTGGAGGCGGCTGGGGAGCTGGTCAAAAATCTGGAGGAGGAAGACGAGGTCAAGCTCCTGCGCCTGCGCACTAAGAAGAACGAGCTGGTCATCGTACCTGGTAGGTCCCGAGAGCGCTCAGGCGTGGCCCTGGACGGGGGCGGCAAGTTGCATACCAGAGCTAACGGCGACGCTCCTCTCCAGACCCCCGATTCATGATTGTCGTCGTGCACGACACACCGCCTACGCCTTAGACAGTGGTCTCGCAACTTCTTCTAATTCACACATCCCCCCGAGCGGGCTTTACCAACGATACCCCTTTTGCATGGTCGGGCGTTACAACATAAAGGAAACTAGGGAAATCAGGAGATCCCCGAGGAAGGACGGAGCGCAGCACACACATCATAATACAAAAGACAGAAAAGTATTTGCATCGAAAGAAAGGCTGTCGCATTCACTCTTGTTCCCCCAAATCACCAATGCTCCTCCCCGATCTCCACCGTGTTCACGTCGACGTCGCCCGCGAACCAACGCTCGCCCTCGCCCAACTCGACGTCGTTGCCGCTCATCTGCCTTTTGCGCATGCGCCCGTCGACCGCAAACGTCCAGTCCTCGAGCCCGTAGCAACGCTTCCACTTCATCCCGTCGTGCGCGTCTTGGTACTCGTACCAGAATTGGACGGCGATTTTGTCGTCGGCGAAGGAGAACTGTACAAAGAAAGCAAGAGGAGAGAAATTAGAACACTGCATAATGAAGCACGGGACGGGGCTTTTTGAGGGGCGAGGAATCCACTCTTGGGGAGACGAACCAGTTCCTTACGCAGCCGGTAGCTCTTCTCCTTCTGCCACTTCTTGGTCAGAAAGTCGACGATCTGATCGTGGCCCTTGAGGAACGTGGACCGGTTGCGCCAAATCGAGTCTTCGGTGTACGCCTTGGCGATCACGGCGGGATCCCTTTGGGGGCCCCCGAGGGGGGCGCTCATCAGCTATACCTGGGCGTATCGGAGGAAGGAGGGGGAGCGCGCGGTGTACGTACTGCGTGTTCCACAGATCCTGCGCCTTCTTGACCTTGACGTTCGCCGTCTCGCGAGTGAAGGGCGGGGCGAGGGACATGTTCACAGCTTGTTTTATTTGTTATTGCCTTTTCCGTTAGACAGATCCAGACTGTATTAATGAACTTTAAATATCGGCTTTGTCTGTGTTGCTCAATGCTTTTATAAGTGCCTTGCAATCGTCAGCCCTGCTTGTCCATCCGTGGCTGTCGTTGGGTGACTCAGCCGCTTGCCGATGCGGCACTTGCTTACCCTTGCGCAGCCAGTACGCTTTCTCCGCGGGATTGCCCCTGTGGCTGGGTGTAGATTGTGGTCGGAGTCGGACGAGGTTGCTGCGTAACAGGATGCTTCTAGGCCGCACAGCGCTTAGATGGAAGGTAGGTGGTTTGGTTAAGCAGTGATGCAATTGCGGAGGTTCTCGACCCCACATGCGCCTTAATGCAGATGAGTGAGATTTCAAGCCAACGAATGGTTCGACCACATCCACGGTGCTGTACATGACCTGCATCTATGACACTCGACGATGGCAAAGACCCATTTTGGAAGGTATGGGATTTTCGCCATCTTATGATTTTCTTCATATTCAGCCATGGCGGGAGCGGGTCAATGCTTAACGTCAGTTTTATATCAAAAGCGCATGCATCTGAAAGGATGCATGAAACTATAAGAAGAGAACAAGAAAGAAAAAGAACAAGAAATGCGTGAGTCTTGATCTATCATCTAGCATCTAACATCAACAACGGCATGCCCCCCAACCCCCTGTGCAATAAAGGAACATATACACTCATTCGGGTCATACACACCCCTCAACGATCTCTATCATAAAAATCCCGCATCTCCTGCAACACGCCATACCACATCATCCTCAGCCGCTGCGGGGGGCCCTCCATGCCGAACTTCTCATGCAACGTCACGACGCCGGCATCCAGGTCCTTCTCGCTCGGCCAGGTGGCGCTCCAGCGGGGGTCGAGCTCGCACCAGGGCATGGCGCCCGAGGTGCGGAAGACGTAGTTGAGCAGGCTCTGCTCCATGGTGTGCGGGTCGAAGCGGCGGTAGCGCCGGGTGACGCGCAGCAGCAGCTGGAAGAGCTCGGGCGAGGGCGCGGCGACCCAGAAGCCGGCGCTGAAGCGGTCGGTGCGCGGCGGCGGGTAGGGGTGGGCGCGCTCGCCGGCGAAGGCGTTGTCGGAGCGGGCGCAGAAGACGTAGCGGGCCGGCAGGGGCGCCTCGTCGGCCGGGATCTGGGAGAGCAGGTCGAGCTTCGTGTGGGCCGTGTAGAGGACGCTGGTGCGCTCGCCGAAGATGGCGTCGACGGGCGCGGTGAGGAGCGTGTCGGCGTCCATGAAGAGCACGCGGGCGTATTGCGTCATCTCGAGCAGGCGCAGCTTGGTGAATTGGTCTTTCCAGCGCTCGACGCCGGTGGAGATCCACCAGCTGAGCGCGATGTCCTCGGCGCGGATGACGGTGGCGCCATCTTGGGTGAGCTGGTCGACTTTGTACTGGGCGACTTCGTTGGTGACCAGGACGATGAAGTCTATCGAGGAGCTCCGGATGCGGGTCGACTCGGCGTGGAGCAGTTGATAAGTCAGGACCCGGGTGGCGGCGTAGTAGTAATCCGTGCCCTCTGGGTCTTGCGGGTCCGTGCTCGGGTTCTCGCTCAGAAACGTAGCAATCGCGAATCTTGATGATTCGGAAACTTCGTCCAATCGTCCGTAGGATGGGTCAATGAGCGGGGCAGTCGATGACCAGCGCCACAGGAGCCATAGAACAAGGAAGACCACAACGGCCGAGACGACATTTTTTCGGCGGACAAAGGCGTTCGGCGAATGAGTGGAAGGCATACCTGGCCGCGTCCTGCAATGGGTAGGCCTGGAAGCTCAATTCGTTTCGTGTTGGGAGTGATAAAGGAGAGAGATTAGAACCAAGCCTGGACATGTCGGCCCGAGTGCTGCCAAGCAACTCCGTGCTGATCTGGCGCTACCACGTATCCTCGAACTCGTATTGCCGAAGGAAGGCCATCCATCTCTGGCATCCGCCAGGCTTAAGATCCGGGGAGTGTGGGTGAATTGAAACACAGGCGGAAGAATCCCCGCGAGATTCGGCTTCGTTGTTCAGGGGCATTCATGCGGCAACGTTGAAGGGGAAACAAGTAACATTGACTTTGACGGTACGAATGTTTGAGATTGGCTTACTGGAGAAGTGTACCGGGGTTGTGCAATGGATCCTCGGTGTTCCTGTCATTCAATGATTTGTGCACATAGTGTTGCTTTTGGAATAAGGAGAGCCGCCAGTTACCCACGTCGTTGGCGAACTCAGATACATCGCATCCCGGCTTTGACGCCCGCCTTTGTCTATGTTAAAGCTGCGTGCTGGGGCAGCGACGGTATATCGGGCATCTTGACGTGCTGCACTGAATCCACGGAGAGCGCGGAGAACAAATCAGGGCTTAGTGGCCGTCGAGGCGGAAGGTGTGTGATTCTCCGAATAATGATTTGAGAGCTGCAGTTGGACATGTGGTCGGCATACTGGTATGCCACCATCGGGCCTACTCTAGAAGGTTCTGCTCAGTCAGCTTGATGGCTCCGTCTTCGGTGCAACAAGCGGTCCCGGCGTATCCGCAACAGCGACCGACGGTAAGAAAGTGTGAGATGATGCAAGAGTGGAAGAGAGACCACATTTCTGGCGTGTTTGTGAGAGTGATATTTTGGAACGCCGCAGTGAGTCTAGCCGGCTCGGACAGCCGGGCAGCGTGACATGCGGAGGATGAGCGGCCGTTGTGAGAGCTTGTTTTTCCCCCGTGCAGACCTTTTGGCACGTTCTGCCGTGGCTGTGCGACTAGGCTGTTGCACGCAACAGTGAACTGGTGCGCCGGAAACTCGGGACCGCCCATTGCAGCGGGTGTGTCTGGGCTCCGGCATGGATGGTGGTGAGTCGGGATGGGCCCGAAAGCCGAGATGGCGAGCTTAGGCATCGGCCAACCACGTCATCCGCGGGGCAGCGTGATTCCAAATCGCCGCGGTTAAGCTACGAGGAAGCTCCCCTCCAAGGTGTTCAAATCAGCCGCCGCCGCACACCCCGCTCGCACATTCTTCATCCTCTCGCCCATCTTCTGCTCCGTCCACGACTCCACGCCCTCCTACACAGCCAATTGATCCTTTCTCTCTGCTCAATCAACCACCATGGCTCCTCTCAAGGTCGGCGACAAGCTCCCCGAAGGTGTCAAGTTCACGTACGGTTACCCTCCCTTTGCCTGTCGGCCGCTCGTCCCCCACCTGAGACCAGCTTGAATCAGTTCAAAGGGCTAACGCTCTACAGCTGGGCTCCCATTCTTGAGGAGGACCCCACCGTCTGCGGTCGTCCTCAGGAATTCGACGCCAACAAGGAATTCGCCGGCAAGAAGGTCGTCCTCGTCAGCGTTCCCGGTGCGTAACCCTCACACGATCCGGTCCTCCGTCCATGAGCCCCCAATTGACGTGGTTGCAGGCGCTTTCACCCCTGGCTGCCAGGCCTTCCACGTCCCTCCCTACATCCAGAAGCTCGATGAGTTGAAGACCAAGGGTGTTGATGCTGTTGCCATCATTGCCTTCAACGATGCATTCGTCATGAACGCGTGGGGCAAGGTCAACAAGGCAAAGGAGCCTGTTGTAAGTTTGTCCTCTGCGGATTGCCAAACTTGTGGTTGACAGGTTGTTAGTACTTCCTCAGCGACGACAAGACCCAGTTTTCCAAGAACTACGGCTGGCAGGCTGGTATGGGTGACCGTAACGGCCGCTGGGCCATGGTCATCGAGAAGGATGGCACCATCTCTTACTCTGAGAACGAGCCCAACCCGGGCCAGGTCACGGTGAGTACCGCTCTTGCGCCTTTGGCGGACCCGCTTGAAATACGCACGTACGATTCTTGCCAGAAGAGAGTGACTAACGCCTGGTGTGTCAGGTTTCGGGCGCCGATGCTATCCTTGCGAAGCTGTAGGTTACTCGAGTGGTCATGATCGCATCATGTGGGCTCAAAGATGCCGATGATGGTCTGATAGAAGCGAATTTTATCACGCGTGATACCTAGCCTGGCGCCGATGGGGTCCGAATGGCTGGCCACACAATGTTACAATCTAGACATACTTAGAGACAAGCAAGAAACGCTGCATCCGTAAAACTGAGACATTGAAACTGACACTTGAGACGTAAGATCATCATGCACGAGTCGTGACGAGGTGTACGAGACGGAGTAGAGACAAGAAGCAACAGCTGCGAGGCACCTGCACCCGCATCCTGAAAGTAAGGCGGCCTACCGCCGCACGAATGTCATGGGCTCTTGTCAACTCTGTACGAACTTACATGCCAATGCCTTGACCATACAGTAGCTTCGCCCAAGGAGTTGAATGGTTTCCCTCGCGTCCCTGCGGAACAAAAGCAAAGGTGGCTTCGGAAGTATGTAGCGTCACAAACGAACCGCTTCTTTCAGGTGAAATCCAGAGCAGCAGATACAGGACGAATCGTGCGTCTCCCGCACTTCGAGAGGGCAAACAATGAAGATGCCAGACCTCCGCAACACTCATGTAAGGTGTGCTGCGGACGGAAAGCGCGGTTGAAGAAGAGAAGGAGAGTTTCCGCGTCGCGGGAATTTTTGCGCGCCTACCCGCTTAGTCAGCCCGCTAGCGCGACGCGACCGCCTCTTCTCCATGCTTGTGACCTTCCTTTGTGCACACCTCCGCTCCGCTCCCCACCACCGAGCATCCCTCTGTCGCCATGGAAAGCCTCAGTGAAACCCGCTGGGACGTGCTCATCGCCGGCACTGGCGTCGAGCAGTCCCTTCTTGCACTGTAGGCTTTCATCCACCTGCCACGTCCCTTCAAGCTATGCACATTCTGACTGACGCAGCGCTTCGTAAAGAGCTCTGTCGCGCTCCGATAAGAAAGTCTTACATGTTGACAAGAACGACTTCTATGGAGGACCTCAAGCGGCTTTTAGCTTGCAAGAGGTAGAAGCATGGGCGAAGAGAGTCAACGACGGTAAGTCTGCGAGCAAGAATCCGCGCCGCGGTAGTGCGACGTTTACTCATATTCGTAGATGAGACGAAGCCGTCCTCGTTGTTTCGCCATGCCTCCATAACCCAACCCACGCCGACCGACTCGGGTGAAGACGGACCCAAGCTTGGCTTCTCGAGATCGTACAGTCTTGCGCTAGCTCCGCAGCTGTTGTATAGCCGCTCTGCCATACTTCCTACGCTGGTGTCGTCGAAAGTCTACCGGCAGGTTGAGTTCCTGGCAGTCGGTAGCTGGTGGGTATACTCTTCGGATACCGAGTCTCCGGCGGAATCCTTGGATGCATCTGAAGAGGGCCCTCAGTCTGCTGGACGCTTGACAAAGGTCCCAGGCGGCCGCGAAGACATCTTCTCCGATGAAACCATCGACTTCAAGGCAAAACGGCTTCTGATGAAGTTTTTGCGCTTCGTCGGCGATTACGAGGGCCAGGAGGACGTTTGGCTGGATTATCGTGCCGTATCCTTCGCCGACTTCCTTTCGGACCACTTCAAGATTCCAAAGGACATGCACGGTCCGCTATTGGCATTGACTCTGTCTTTGGAGACACCCGAGAAGACTACCACGGAGTACGCGCTTCCGCGGATCGCGAACCATCTGCGGTCGATTGGCGTGTTCGGCCCGGGCTTTGCCTGCGTCATTCCGAAGTGGGGCGGCCTTGCAGAAATTTCTCAAGTCGCCTGTCGCGCTCAGGCCGTTGGCGGTGGTATTTATGTCCTTGGACAAGGCGTCACCAACGTCAATACTGACGTTGATACTTCCCCGGAGGCCACAGACGATGTTTCACAGGCCAGAGTCTCAGCACAGCTGACGGAGGGCGACAATATCTCTACGAGATGGATCGCTGGCTCAGATGATGACCTCCCATCTCACGTAGAGCCTTCAGATACTGAGCCTGTCGCGTGCTCGAGAAGTATCTCCATTGTCTCATCCACCCTGAAACAGCTCTTTCCGCCCTTGGCTGAAGGTGCTCCTGCTCCTGCCGGCGCAGTAGTCTCATTTCCTACTGGAAGCCTGAATGTGGACGGTAGTATTGAGCACCCGCCAGTGTATGTTTTCGTCCACACGAGCGACACTGGCGAGTGCCCAGTAGGCCAAAGTAAGTTATTTTTGCGCATCCCTTGCTCCCAACACAAAATAAGCCAACATGATGAACAACACGAATACTTATCTACATTGTCTGCAATTTCATTGAAGATAATTTCCTCTGACAACCTGACATTGGCTCCACCAAACACAACTGCGTTTCAAAAGCTTTGACAGAAACAATGCTAACAAAGCTTCCAGCTGTCCTTTATGCTTTCGCCTCCCCCACGGGCGAACGGGGCGCCAAGCTCCTCAACGCCGCTGTCGCCGCTCTCCTCCAGAGCGTCGACGAAGAAATCACGCCCAAGCTCCTGTGGTCTATGCACTACGAGCAGTGTTCGCGCAGCGGCAACGTCGTGCCTGCTACCACTCACGATAGCGTCTTTGCTTTCCCTCCTCCCTCATTGGAACTTAAATTCGACGACTCCATGCTCGATCACGTCCGTACCATTTGGGAGAAGATCGAGGGTGACGACGCCGACCCGGCCTTCTTTATGAGATTCGAGGATCGGGAGGAGATTGACGATGACGATTACGAATGATTTTGGGGGGTCGGATTTGACTTGAGATACTTTAGTGAATTTGAGCGTAGCGTTATGGCAGACATGTAGTTGAATGAAATAACATGAACACACTTATGGATTTTTTTACATGCGTTCAAATGGTGCGTGGGTGGAAAGGATGTGTTTCATCGAAGAGGTGAAGAACGCGGTGGAGGTGTGGGTGTAGGGAGGTGGACACAGGATGTCCTTCGTGGAGCTGGAGATTTCATATGCCTACCCGATATGCCAAAGCATCCTCTTGCGTTCTCCGGCCAGAGAACCATGCCCAGCTCGGTGAGATCCAAACACGCTGGGGAATCAGCCACACCAGCGAACGATGTCGAGAACACCTTCGACCTCGACTCCATGTAAGACGGCATCACCAAGCAGATCGAGAATTCCCATCATACAAAATCGTATCCATCACTGATTCGTTCGTTTATTCGGCCCATAACACCGACTGTCGTTCTCGACTCTATATCTCTTCTCATCACTCTAGTTATGGTACCAAGACGATGAGATCAGACCAGACCAAGCGGTAAGCAGGAGGCGCATCGCATGAATGACGCGCACACTCCGATTTTCCTCTCACCAGATAATAAAAAGAAAAGGCAAGTTTGTTGCAGAGGATCAATTCCAAGCACACCGAACCCAAAGCAGATTTCAACTTAAGCATCCAACTTGAGGCTATCCAGCAAGCGGTCGATCTTCCCAAGCAGGATCTGATAGTTGATGGCGTCCTGCGCGAACTCGTCGCCCGCAATCTCGCCATCGAGCGTCCTGATGACGGGAGCCTGCGCTTGCGCCGCCGCCAGGGCTCCACCATCCGAAGATGATAGGCTGAGATTCTTCATCTCACCTGTTGGCGGCGGCGGCGGCGGCAATTCTCTCCCTCCTGCTCCTGATCCTCCATCCTTCGCAGCAGCAGCGTTCGCAGCAGCGACGACGGCGTTCAAATCCAGCTCGCCCTGCTCATCCATCATTTCCTCGAGACCCGAGTCCTCGAACCGCAGGCGGAAGCGCTCCGAGAGGTAGTAGCGAATGTCGTCGATGAGCTCGACCGTGTCGGTTTCCTGGCGGGCGTGGACGCGGGCAGCGCTCTCACGGACGAGGTCGGCGAAGTCTGGGTCGTCGATGTAGCGCTCGAGGCGGTGGGCGAGGTAGCGGGCGCCGAACTCCTCGAGGCGCTGGACGCGCGTATCCCAACCGGCGCGGATGACGTCGTAGATGTCGAGAGGTTCCTGGTCCTCGTCGTCTTCTTCGGGGAAGGCGGTTTCGCCACGCGGGTTCTCGGCTTCGACAACGGAGGTGTTGCCGTTGCCGAGGGTGCTGATGATTTGCGCGGCGCGGACTTTGAGCTTGTCGAGCCAGAGGAGGTCGGCGATGAAGAGGACGTCGATGGCGACGGAGAGGGGAAAGTCGGCACGCTCCGTGTAGAGGAAGGTCAGCACTATCTCGAGCACCCGCGGCGAGCAGTCGATCGGGATCACTTGGAGGTACGGCGTCTCCTGCGCCTCGCGGAAACCGGAGCTGAACATGGTCTGGAAGAATTCGGAGCGGATGAGCATTGCGCGATGCACCGGGTAGAGAACGGACTTGCGCGGCTGCCGCTGCCGCGACGGCGAGCGCGATCGTGTGATGGGGCCAATGGGAATTCCATTGAGAGGACCGAGAGTATTGCGGACCTTGGGTTCGTCAGAGTCCGGGGTGGAGGGGGTTGGAGTCACCGCGTCGTCCTCGTCTTCGTAGTCCTCGTCTGCGCGGAGGAGCACGTCTGCGAATATCCGGTTATCCCGATCCCACTTCACGCTGTCCGCCTTGTCCGTATCAAGGGTGATCTTGTGCTTTAGCACGTGTTCATTGAACCAGCCTTCGATCTGGTCTCTCCCTCTGTTAACTTCATCCTGCCTTCGCTGACGAGCTAACCGCCGGTCGTTGCTCTCGAGGATGTTTCGGAAAAGGTGGTCGATTTGGAGCTTCTTGCCAAGCTTATCTATGCCCGTCAAGACGATCTGCTCTTCCTCTCCGTCCCCAAAATCCGCTTTGACTTCGGAGAAGTATAAATAGCGAATCACGGATTCTAATGATTGAGTGGCGATTTTCTCGGAAGTGAAGTTGGTTATCTTGGTGTCGGGGGCGTCGGCAAGCTTTTTCGCAAAGTAGGGTGATCTCGCCGAGAGGATGAATTTATGCAAAGGCAGTTCCCTATCCGCAGCAACTACCGTGATGTCTGAGGTGTTCGGCGTTTCTCGTGTAAGAAGCGAGGTAATGTGAGCGGCGAACGGCTGGAGTGGATCGGTAGACTTGGAGTAGTCGTAGGAAAGAAGCAGGTTCCGAATGCGGTCGTTCAAGGCATTGTAGAGGCATCGCTCGCCTTGGAATGTGTCACGCTCGCAGAGGGCGCCGGATTCCAGGAGATGGCGCACGACCTCGTAGTGGCCGCATAGACTAGCCTGAGGCAGTTTGGATTCAGTCAATCAATGATGGGCGGGGCATGTGGCAAGGCAAGTGGCGGGCATACCAGAATCAGAGGGGTATAATCGAATTGATCTCTAGCATTGATATTGACGCCCTTGGAAAGCTGCTCCTGGCAAAGCTTCAGGTCTCCGCGGCGGCAGGCATCGCACAGCAGCCGAAAATCGTCGCTGAGGTCGAGGGGATTGTCCTCCTTCAACTTTCCGGCGCGAATGGCCTGGTTCTCTTCGTGAAGAGCAGCCTCGAGCTGGTGCTTCGGAACGACCATTTTGACGGGAAATGCTGGCGCGAGAAAATGGAGATGCAGATGCTGCAGGAGAGCCGATGAGCGCGGTGGGATGGGTGGCGTATCGCGGGTCCGACGATGACATAATCCAGGACAGCACAGCGGCGCGTGGGCGAGCGGCTGCTGTACCTGACAGCCTGCGTGCGGCAGATCAGCCGGGACGGCAACAAAGCAGAGGTGATCTGGGGCCGGGGCCACGGCGCAGGCGGCCGGCTTGGTTGCAGCGCATGGTGGCGCTTCTGTTGTTGTGTTTTTCGTCGCAGCAGTCACGGCAGGCGCACAACAGTCGAGGCAGCGCGGCGTGGCAGCGACTTTCGGCAGCCCCGCCCATGACGCACGGCTCCGCGCTAGCGATGTTTGCGACGCAAGCGCCGTGCACGTGACCCGCTGCCCCGGCGACCGTGTTTACCAGCGGCCATTTGACCTCCAGCTGCCGTTCTCCGGCCCGCCGCTACATTTACTTCCCCAGCCCGCGTCCCGTCTCCATCACAACCATCCCACGACAGCATGTTTTGAGCGGCACCGTCCCATCTACTCCGTCTCCCTCTAACCGACCGTCAACAGCAATACCTCCACCCAGACACCATGTCTGACGACGACAAGTACGATGTGCTCGAGAAGATCGGTACGCTGCATGGAATGCTTCCACCCCTTCGATCCAATTGCTGATCCTCTGCAGGCCAGGGCTCCTTTGGCATCATCCGCAAGGTGCGGAGACGGTCGGACAACTATGTGAGCTCCCGCATTGCGCCCGCGCCTCTTCAATCGCTTGCTAACCCGTCGCCCAGGTCCTGTGTCGCAAGGAGATCAGCTACTCCAAGATGTCGCAGAAGGAGAAGGAGCAACTCCAGGCAGAGTTGTCCATCCTCAAGGAACTGCGCCATCCCAACATTGTCCAGTACATCGATCGCGTCCATCTGAAGTCGTCGCACGACCTTCACGTCTACATGGAATACTGCGGCAACGGAGACCTCGGCGCCGTCATCAAGCGTCTCAAAGCCAAGCGCCAGGTTGCCGACGAGGAGTTCGTCTGGAGCATCTTCTCCCAGCTGTGCACCGCCCTCTACCGTTGCCACTACGGCCAGGATCCACCCGACGCCGGTCGCAACGTCATGGGTCTGGGAAATGACGCCGTCCCGGTCAAGGAAAAACAAAGGCATATCATGATCCTCCACCGCGATCTTAAGCCCGAGAACGTCTTCCTCGGCGAGGACAACTCGGTCAAACTCGGCGACTTCGGTCTGTCCAAGATCATGCAGTCGCACGACTTCGCTTCCACTTACGTTGGCACTCCTTACTACATGTCACCCGAAATTTGCATGTCGGAAAAGTACACCGCCTCGTCCGACATTTGGGCACTAGGCTGCATCATCTACGAGCTGTGCGCTCAAAAACCCCCATTCGACGCCAAGACGCATTTCGACCTTATCCAAAGGATCCGCCGTGGATCATTCGACCCCATTCCTAACGTGTATTCTCCGGAACTGAAGAACGTGATTGCGAGCTGTTTGAAGGTGGATTACACCAAGCGGCCTGAGACGATGCAGCTGCTCAACCTCCCGATCATGAAATTGATGCGCAAGGAGCAGGAGGTCGTGCAGATGGGTCACTTGTTGAAGAGGGAGCGCGATGCGACGAGGCTGCTTGAGAAGGAACTTAAGGATAAGATTACTACTCTGGAGAAGGAGAAGGACGACATTCGCCTGTCCGTCGACAACCAGTTGCGTCGTGAGTGGGAAGTGAAGGCACGCCTGGAGATCGACCGTCATATCAACACTGAACTGGACCGTCTCCGGAAAACCTTCGATGACGAGGTCAACAAGCGTGCGGCAGAAGAGGTCGAGCGCCGCATGCATGCGTTCAAGCTGCAGCAGAACACCGCAACACTTGCCTCATCTACGCCTGCACTTGAAGCGGCTCAGTCCATCAGCACCGTTGGAGAGGCTTCAGACTTCCCGTCGCAAACAGATATCTCGTCTTTCTCCCTCGAAGAGTCGCCCGTTCGCCCACAGAAGCCCAGGGCAGCCACTCCTGAGAAGAGGCCCGCCAGATCTGGTTTCCAACGCGCGCACACCACAGCTTTCAACGAAGTCGCCGCTTCACCCATGGATATCCAGATGGCGGATCCATCACCAGGTCCCATCTCCCTGGCAGGTCTTAGCTTGAGCCCTCGTCGGAACGCACTGAACGCTGAGCCTAAGACGCGCCGCAACATCTTCGCTGCCGCCGAGCTGCGCTTGGAGCCCAAGAACGCGTCTGGTTCGGCCTCGCCCACTCGTTGCACCAGCCCCACAGGAGACGTGGACGAGATGGAAGATGACGACCTTCCCGCGTTGCCATCACCCACGCGCCCCCGCAGCACCAACGGTGCTGGCAAGAGCACCGACAACGATCCCTTCAAGGCCCTCGCCGCCAACAACGCTCCGAACCCGGCAATTGCGCTCCGCCGCAACTTGCTGACCCGCAACGGCCCTGCACCAAACCGTAACCCCTCGGCGCCTAACCTCGCCCGCTTGGGCGGAGCTCCTGCTAATCGCCCTCGCCCTACCTCGACCGTCCCCGTGGTTGCCACCTCTCCCGCCCGCAAGCGCACCAAGGTGCCCTCATTCGGAGAAGTTTCGCCTATCCGCAAGAACAGCACCGGCAGCATGGATGTTGCCGACGCTGGCTTCGCGCGTGACACGGCAGCGACCGCTCTACGTAGCAAGAAGGGCGCCAACACAGCCCTGCTCCGTCAGAAGGCCGCCGCTAGCAACTCGTCTAACCTGTCGGGCCGCACGCTGGTTGAGTTGGCGCAGGGCAAGGCGTCCTCGACGGACCGCCGTAGCTCCAGCTCCAGTAACATCACCATTGGCGAGCTGAGTGAGAACGTGCCCATGCGCAAGAACAGCAGCGCGCTTCTGGCGTCTACCGCCCCGCAATGGGACCCGGAAAGCGCGGACGCACCCAGCCCTTTCATCAAGAGGAGTACTGGAATCCAGGTTGCCGCTGTGGTGAGGTAGACGGAACAATCATGGCCTGATTTTCGACGACTTTACTTGCCCCTCGCCGCGAGGCAATCTAATGACGATTGCGGCGTCCGATCCCTACGGTGACAGCATTTCCTTTGTCATTTTCTTACCCACTCTTCTTTTCCAACGCGGTTTAAAAAAAGGAAACGAGGGGACATCTTGTCGATGAGGAAAGCTCCTTCTCGGAAGAGCGGAGCGCAGGAATCTTGACAAGGTGGTGCTTTTTGTCTTTCTTCACTTCTGCCATCAGTGGTGCAGGCATATGGGCTGGCGTCTTTGATTTTATGCAACCTCGCCTCAAGCTGAGAAATGGCTCGCTAGGCTGTTGAGGTTATTCTTTTTGACGGTTTCTTGGATACTCTCTAGTGCAGAGTTTGATCTTTTTCCTTTTTGGTAACGAGTCACGGAAGCTCTGGGAGGTTGTTTGTGCGGTTCTTCTGTACCAACCTTCCCTTTTTTTTCTATCCTATGTTTCCACCGTCCTTGCAGGTGGAGGGTGAGGCGTTGACGGGTACTGTGAATATGGGGATATGCGGGTGCACAAGGTTCACCCTTTTTTCTTTTTCTTTTCTCTCTGGAGACCTACGCTGAGTTGGGTATTACTACTCTCAAGTGAGAAATGGCATAGTACTTCAAAATCTTCTGGTGTGTGTGATCGCTGGCTTGATTGTTACTGGACTTCAAGCTAGAAAACTGCCTGTTCCGTGGACAATGGCGCAGCCAAGAACGAATTCAATCATAGTAACAATGCCTTGTTTATCAGTTCAAGGGATGGCTTTGGTAGATTGGGTCCAGAGGTGCTATTCGCCGTGGATCATCCAACTAAACCACAGAGGCAGAGGAGCCGATTGTTGGTGAGTGAGGTTGTCCCTATTCATGGCCCGCATCCAAGAACGAATCATCACCCCGCCTGCCACACACTTTCTTTACTCGTGGAGTGAGTCTTGTCGAAGACGCAGCATCCTCCCCTTCTCTCGGTATTTTCTTTAAATTTAATACCAGCACATATTTCACAGAGCGTATCGAGCCCTCCCGTTACTACTTTGACTGAGATACCGACTATGTTTTTGTTTACGACCCCTCAAGACTTCCCCAAACTCGAACCGGCCCTTTATCCCCTTTCCCCACAAAAGGGATCTACGGGTCATTATGTCATGGTTTCTTCCGCCGAGTTGGAATGTCTACAGCAAAGAGCTAAGGTTCGGCTCGATTGAGGAAATGCAACACAGCGCGAGTAGACAGCATCTCAAACTGAGACGTAAGAGAAACGGATCGCGAAAGGTCGGTGTTGTCTACTTTTCAGTCTTAGCAGACGAAGGAGTTTTCCGGCCTTTGTCGTATAATCCGAGTGTAAACGAGTCAGGTCATGGTTGAGTGCGTGAAAGGACTTTGTAGATTTGACTCCTACGTACGAACCCAAGTCGCAAGAGTGGATGGCATGCATTTCTCCAGCTTGAAAGAAGTACGTAATACATACACTCAATGCCGCGACGATGCTACTTGCAGGAAGCCGTGGATGGGAACTCCGTGTTCGCCGGGGTGATGGAGCCGCGCATGCAAGGTGAATCGATGGTCGAATAATTGTTAATCCTTGAAGATAAGGCAACGTGCTCCGGGAAACACTATTCGTGATTTGCTGCAGAGTGGTGCAGAGTGCGGCAGATGGCGCGGCAATTTACCGCTTGCATGAGGGTCAGATTGGAATGAATTAACGACATCTCCCGCGGGTAGGAGTTTTGGAAACGATTATGGGACTTGCCCTCTATTGCCCTATCAAAACAAACTCAATGGGAACTGCAATAGAGTACCATTATCATGCCGTGCGTGGTTCAAGAGGCCCTTTCGCCAGCGTGGTCGTGCTTTGACGGGGCGTTTTCGCCATTTCGGGGATGTCTGTTGTGATCGCCTCACCCTGTCGAGTACCCACCCAGTCTCTTGCTTTCGGACGGTTGTATCATTGGCCCTTCCGATGCCGAGATCGAGCAACCGGCAAATCCAAGCAAGCTCAATAGAAATTGTTCTGAAGCTGTCACCCCAACCCTCCTTTGAGCAGGAAATTCGAAACAAATCGCATTGTTCATATACGGCCCTTGGGAACGTGTTTCCGGTTCCCTCCTCGAGCGCACGCAGCACCCTTAGCAGCGACGCTCACTTTACTGACTGAGAAACACATCTTTTTCAACCCACCTCGTCGTGTTTCGGTACTAGTTCTCGTCGGAATGCATTGGCGGCAACCATTCAGTGATCGCGCCGGTGCGCAGAGCGAGGTTGTTGAAGGCCAGAAGGAGGACATTTCCGCAGGCAGCGCAAAGTTCATCGGCGAAAAGGGCGGCAATGATGCGCCAGCTACCTATCAGGATGCGGCCGGTGCGCCAGTCGAGAACAACTCGCCGTTGGGATACTCGGTTGGACCAGTGACGATTACCTTGCTGAACATCACCATGATGATTGGGGCTGGTATCTACTCTACACGTATGTTGTTGGCGCCAATTGAAACAGAGGATTATACTGACAACCCCAAGCATCCTCGATTCTGTCCGGCACGGGATCTGTCGGGGTCAGTTTTGTTTATTGGACACTCGGTTACTTTGTACGCCAGCTACCGCCGCCCAACGATGACAGCAACTAATTGGTGACTACACAGTTATGTCTCGCATCAGGAGCTGTCTACCTCGAATTTACCGCCTACTTCCCCAGTCGATCTGGTTCCGAGGTCGTCTTCCTTGAACAGGCCTACCCTCGCCCCATGTGGCTGTTCCCGACAACCTTCGCTGTCCAAAGTGTCATTCTCTCGTTTGGAAGTGCCAACGCTACCGGTAAGTGGGATTCAACGGTGGTGCCGTACAATCGAGGACTCATGCGGGATAACAGTCATGGCCAACTATCTGATTGCCATCTCCGGACACGAAGGCACTGATTGGCAAATCAAGGGCACTGCTCTGGCATGCTACACTCTGGCCACTTTGAGTAAGATGCTGGTCAACTGTTTGCTTGGCTTCCAAAAACTGACGAAATGCAGCTCTTGTGTTCAACACCAAGTATGCCTACTGGTTCTCCAACGCCGTCGGCATTGTCAAGATCTGCACGCTGCTCTTCGTCATTCTCACCGGCTTCGTTGTGCTGGGTGGCAACACCAGGGTTGAGGATCCCAAGGCCAACTTCCGAGATGCCTGGTCGGGCAGTAGTAACGCGTCGGCGTATGGCATGACTATTGCACTGTACCGCGTCATCTTCTCGTATGGTGGTTACAACAACGCTTTCAACGTTGCCAACGAAGTCAAGGTATGAGTCTCTGTCACGCTGTGTACGGACAGCCATTGATTTTTGGTAGAATCCGGTCCGATCGCTCAAGATATACGCCACTGCTGCTCTGACTACAGTTTACATTCTGTACATGTTTGCCAATGTCGCCTTCTTCGCTGCTGGTGAGTCAAGCCGAGCCCTTCGAAAGACTGAATTATCCAGCTGACGACGTGTACCATGGCAGTCCCCAAGGAGGAGCTTGAGAACTCGGGCGTCACGGCCGCCAGCCTGTTCTTTACCGCTGTCTTCGGTAATAGTGGCGCCGTCCGGGGGTTGAACTTCCTCATTGCTTTGGCGTCTTTTGGAAACATGATTGCCGTCATCATTGGCCTGTCTCGACGAATTCGCGAGTCCGGACGGCAAGGTGTTCTCCCCTGGACTACTTTTTGGGTTTCTACCAAGCCTTTCGGAACTCCGCTGGGGCCATATGCGGTCATCTGGTTTTTGACCGCTCTGATGATTCTGGCCGTCCCGGCTGGAGATGCTTTCACTTTCGGTAAGTCCTCATCGAGGAGCGGTCGGGCGTGGATGGTACGTCCTGCTGACGACGGGAAAAAGTCAACGATCTGGCAATTTTCCCGAATGCGGCGTTCAATTTGGCCATGGCCGTCGGCATCTATATCGTTCGCTGGCGCAGACGCCAGGCCGACCTCCCCGAGCCCGAGTTCAAGGCGTGGCACGTTGTCATCCTCTTCAACATTCTCATCCAGGTCTACCTCCTCATCATGCCGTGGTATCCACCCGCGGGCGGCCAATACGCTGGAGATGTCAGCTTCTGGTACGCCACGTACGTCGTTGCTGGTATCGCAATGTGAGTGACATCAATCTTCCCCGCACAAGCTGGTGAAGTTTAACATTGGTGTAGTCTCCTCACCTGTGCGGTCTACTATTGGTTTTGGGCTTCTCTTCTCCCCAAGTGGAAAGGCTACCAATTGCGGCAGGAGCTCATTCATCTTGACGACGGTGCTCAGAGCAACCAACTCCGAAAAATTCCCAACGCTGAGGTTGCACAGTGGGATGCCACGCACGATGCGGCTGGGCGTCCGGTTGAGTCCACCTCTTTTGGTACAAAGATGTCTTCCGTCACGGAAACAGCAGTATAAGGTGTCAATCGCAATACTCGTCGTCAAAAGCTACGAGAAGATAAGGGAGAAACACAGGCAGATGACTGAAGATCTTGATAGTAAATTATATAGAACCCACCGTATTTTTTTCTTTTCCCCCGATAGACGTCCAACTTCCTTCCCCTCATCATGACAACGCAGTCATAGCCTCAGATCATCCGCCGGCGTCCGCCTTCCCTCAAAACAACACCCACCCGCCCAACAAGACACAACCCCCCACATCACCCCCTCCCTCAACCCGCCCCTCCCCGGCCCGGCCCTCCCCGGGACCGGCCGCGCCGTAGCACTGTCGCCGCCCCGCGTCTCGCCTGCCCCAGCACCGCTCCCCGAACCACTCGCACCTTCTGCCGCCTCATGCGCAGTGCCGCCGCCGCCGCTGCTGCTCGCCCCCGCCGTCTCCGCCGCCTGCACCGCCGCCGCACCGGTGCCAACGCCCGTCCCCGTCCGCGTCCCTTGCGAGCCGCCGCCGCCACCAACCGCACCGCCGCTCAACGTATACGTCCTGACCGAACCACCGGAAGGGGAGAAAGAAAAGACGGTTGTTGTGCTACGGAAGGCAAATGAACATCTTGAGGTATGCTTTGTGCGAGAATCCGGCGACAAGCCCGCGCCATCGGTAGTCCCCTTGGTATTGCTTCAGCTGCGGGGGCGGAATCGGCTGTAATCCACTTTGATGGTCGTCACTTGCAGTCGAGCGGCAGCCAACAGCCCGTTAACTTGTAGTCATAATATTTGTTTGCAGCTTGTCCCTTCACGTACGACCATAGGTCGCAGAATATAGGGCTTCCCGTCCGCTCAGCCGTACTCAAGCTGCGAACCGGCCGATTAGTACTCAAGTGGGTGACCATTGGGGAATCCCGGCTGTTGTACGTTTTGCTTTTTGCTGATAGATTCTTCGGTCATGTCTCGGCCATCTTTACTTTCCGATAACATGACCATTTCCGGGTAGGAGAAGTGTGGGCTAAGGACGCGTCACTTGCCCAACGACCGAGACTCAACTTTTGCTTCGGCCATCATCTACTAAATGAATACAGCTCCAGACCGTCTCAATGTGCTCTACGGCACTATTTTCACTATGGCCCTTTATCGGCTACTCTCTTCCGAGAGACAGTCCTACGGAAAAGCTAATTGGATTAATCCGAGCTCACCTTCTGTCTCCGGTACAAATAAATGGGCACACATGGCTGCGTCGGGTAATAATCCGGCGCCAAGACATGCGCCCGTCTTCCGCTGCTGCCTGCACCCCGCCTGCCTCCTTGGGACATCTATACAGGCGTCCAGTAGCCTGGCAACGATCTTCCCAATCGCTTCGATTCCAATTATTCCCCCACCCCACGGCTCTCAGCGCGCTTTCCTCCTCCCCCTCCTCCTCCTCACGACCTTATACCTCCCTTACGACCTCCCCCGCCCCCGCCCCCGCAATGCCGCTCGAGATCCGCCCCGTCTCCCCCGCCGACGCCGACGCCATGGTCTCCATCACCAACGCCGCCCTCGGCTCCAGCGGCCTCATCCGCCTCAAGCACGCCTCCCCGCCGCACCCCGCCTACCGCCGCCACCACAAAGCCGGCGTGCTGAAGGCGCTCGCGAAACCCACCGCCCGCGTCTTGAAGGTCGTCGACACGGACACCGACGACGATGAGATCATCGCGATCGGCCATTGGGAAATCTACGACAACGGGCGGCCGGACGAGGAGATTGCCGAGCTGGAGAAGCCGTTCGAGCCGCTTGAAGAGGAGCGGGAGCGGTTTGGGGTTGTGCAGAGGGACTTTTTTGAGTATTTGTTCCGCGTGAGGAGGGAGGTCGGGAAGATGCCGCATTATTGTGAGTTTGATTGGGTGCTGCTGCTGCTGCTGCTGCCGGCCTGTCTGCCTGTCTGCCTGTCTGCCTGTCTGCCACTGGGCGTGATGGCTGGGAGGGGCGATGGGCGCGTTTGGCTTCGGTTGCGCTGCGGGCTGACTATTTATACTGATTGCTGTATTCAGATTTGAGCCTTCTCGTGACGCATCCCGATCACTACCGCCGCGGCGCCGGCTCCATGATTGTCCGCTGGGGCACCGAGCGGGCCGACAGGGACGGCCTGGTTTGTATCCTTGAGGCTAGCGAGGCGGGGAGACCGTTGTATAAACGCCACGGTTTCGTGGAACGGGTGGTGACGACGTTCGATCTCACAAAGTACGGCGGCACGGGCACCGACGAGAATACTACTATGATCAGGCAGGCGGTTGAGGGCTGAAAAAAAGGAACACGGCATCGACTTATTAATGCGCGGCTATAGTAGATGAGAAGACGCGGTCTTAGACGGCCGGTCCCGGTTTGCTGCGCTTCGATGATGCCCAACGATCCGTTGCCATGAACAAATCTTGTCAGCTTACTGGAAGTGACGTTGACTGTGATAGGGCATGCACTCAATCCGCCGATCTGCAGACGACGCATTGATCAACCCACACACCATTGTTGCTCCTCTACGAAATTCCCTGAAATGAACCGGTCATGTTGACTCCCTTCGAACACTGATACGATCGACATTCTGCAGAGAGGTTCAACGTAACACATGCCATTCCTTCTCTCTTTGACGCGAGTAATCCATGCGGGAGTGGCGAAAGGAATTGCAGCTCCAGGCTGGATAGAGCGAATGACAATGGCCAGGGGAAGATTGGTCAAGTCCGGCAACGTCCGCACGTCCACGTCCGTAAATGCAGCGTGTAACCGGGCATGACCGACATCGACCACAAAATCGGCACCGCAAATAATGGCAGCGATCGGGACGGGAGACTCCACAATCACGCCATTGAGCTTGATCAAGAGTCCTTCTGGTGCCACGGACCCGATGAACTTGGACGAGAAGGTCAGGTCCGGCTCGAAGCCTTCTCCTCCGACCAGGAAGGATTTCGGCGCCCACTTGAATCCGTCTACCTCCATCCGTGGGCCGGGAGAGAACAAGACGACGCTGGTAACCCATGTGAGCTTCGACATGACGATTCTCATGCGCCTTTCTACGTCCGGCTCGTCGAGCAAGTCGTCGAGGTCCTGGCCAAGCAGAGTGGCGAGGCAGATGGGCTCGTCTTCCAACTTGCTGGTCGATCTGTCACTCATCCCGTATCCAATGAATGCGAGAGCATTTGTGTACACGGCAGGTGTGGGAGAAGTGTCTTGGGCCCCTGGCACCGTCCATCGTGTGCGGACGAAGTAGTTGTGTCCTTCGTGGAAGACGAAATTCCGCGCACTCCAGCCTACCAGACGCCGGCACAGCTCGACGCTTGTTGCGCGGTCCCATTCGACGTCTGGAATGGCGTTTGGGTCGATGCCCGGCACGAATCCGAGGAGTAGGTCTCGCCTGGTGGGACCTTGAATCACGTTGAGTAATTCTCCGCTGTTGACTTCGGGAACATTTTGAAACAGATCGCACAACATCTGTGATTCTTGGGGGTTTCGGTCCTTTAAGAAATCCAAAGAGCTGTCGAGGACTTCATGAAGCAACTCGTGGCCTGCATGCCACCTGAGTTCTTGAAAATCTTCTTCGGAGAATGCGCCTTCGCAAGTTTGGAACACAAGGCCACGATGTCGGGCCATCATCGTCTCTTGGAGCGTCCACAGTCGCTGGGTCCACGTGCAACACTTGATCCGGAGGAGATTCATCTCTCTGTACGTATGCATAGGCGTCGTCAAGAGCCAGCTATCCAGCACGAGGACTTTGTCGGCGAACCTGTACGTGTCGCCCATGCGACGTATCGCCTTCTTCCTGCTCGATCGCTCCAAGGGGACGCAGATTGTGTCTATCCAGAACGGGATCGGCTTCTCATATTCCTCACCGTAGAGGTCATCGACGTACCGCTGGATCCGGAGCAACTGGCAGCGGGGCAGCGAGTTTGCGCGCGGATTGCCCAATCCATCGGACCATACATGCGAGATTGCGACATACGGCGTGGCCTCCTTGTTCCCGGTCCCGAAGCTGTCAACCTGGATGTGAGTTCTGTTTGGATATCCGCCGTCATCCTCAAGGATGCGAATGACTGGTATATCTCCATTGTCAAGTACTTTGACTGCTTGAGTAACTCCATCTGGGGACGTTTCCGCCACATGATCGCATACACAACCGGCAGTCTCATGCTTCGTTTGATATGTGCCCTCATCGATTTGGTTTGCCTTGCATCCATCCTCGTCGCAGGCGTCGTGGGTTTTTGACAAATACTTGCGGTCCATTGAGCTAACGAGGTACAAGCTGGACGCATAGACCAGTCGTTGATGGAGAAAACTGATCTTTGCTGGTCAGCTTGCGTGACGGCATGACAGTTCAAAGAGTTGTGAGAGATACCTCACCAGGGCACCATCCAGCTCTCGTAAGCCGGAAGCGCAGCGCGTTGTCGAGATTCCATTTCAAGCCCTCCACCTTTTCAGGAAGGTTGAAGATTTGTGTAGCCGCATGCAATAAAGCTTCCGAAAGAAGCACGATTGACAGAATGACCGTATCCAATACGGAAATCTCGAGACATGTGTTGTTGTCCGTCACATCTTCTACCTCTTCATCAGATCCCTCATTTTGATTCTGGCCAGAGACCATGTCGCGCCGACAGATGATGATCGCGTTAACAACTGAATTGACGAATCGGAGGGCGTCAAGGTGCTGCCGCAGAAGTGTTTTCTTGTCCCGCTCAGCACTGTCTTCGGCATCCACCTCTGCCGCAGACCAGTACATCAAGTACAGAGGCAGGACACCGCTGGTGCTCACCCAGCAACCATCGCATCCGTCCGCCGGGCTCAAAAAGTCCTCTTGGTCCACCGAAATCCCCGAAGGCCCGAGGAGCTTCCGCATCAGACCAAAGAACATCCACTGCTGAAGCACCGGCGCGACGTCGTCCCCGCACAGCTCCGAAACATCCCCCCGCCGGATCCGGGACAGTACGCCATCGTCGTCGGTCCGCAGCTCGTTGAAGAACGACTCGTCACACTCTCCGATGCCTTCCACCAGGTATGGCACGAGCAGCGGATCGTCGACCGGCACCAGGTGGCTCATCCTGGATGGATACGATCAGCGGTTTGACAGGAGTAGGGAAAGGTGTTGAAGACATCCACAGCAAGGCTGACGCAGAAGATGGCGACTCCAAGGTCGAGCCCCACTGTGTGAGAAGAGGTGATTGGGCGATACTGCTTGGAGGGACTTCCGGCCCCCACCCCCAAGCTGGCTGGCCGCAAACTGCTCGTCGTTCTTCCGTAGGTACCGAGTTCTCGTGCTTTTTCTCCAAGCGCAGCAAATTCAACTCCCCTGTTCAGCACCGATATGCCCGCCAAGTACTCGCTGCTCCACTTCATACATTCTTCAAGGCTACTGGTGCCGAAGTTTCTGTATATTCTCCTCCAACATGCTCATAGTTCTCCTCGGCAGCTCGCTGAACCCGCGCTATCTCCGCTTCCACAAGCACTCGTGGCCGGGCGCGCTGCGTCAGGTCTTTGTTGCCGAACACAAAGATTCCTGGGTTCCTTTTGAAGATCTCGTCCATATCTTCAAGCGTGCGCTGGGTGGTCTCAGGATAAAGAGCCCATACGACGGGGAAGTATGAGTAAAGAAAGCACGCAAACACTGCGGCCAATGTCAGTCCATATCCCAGAGGTGGCGTATCCTGCGGCTTACAAAGGTAGAATCTCCAACCGAGGTTCTGCACCCCAACTTTGGTGAACTGAGTGACGATGAAGGATCCAATCCAATTAGTAGCTGTAGCTGCAGCGGCGCCGCGAGTGCGCCAGCCAAGGGAGTTTATCTCCGAGTTGTAGACCCAAGGGACCTGCGATACCAATGAGCTAAGTCGGAAGTGATCCAGGGTAGAGTCGACTCACCTTCGCAAAGCTCGTGCCATAGAAGGCGTAGTATAGGAAGAAAGTTGCCGTAGTGGCGGATCCAAGCTGAGAGCATTTGTCAAAACCCACACCTTAAATACCTGTAAGAAACGGTTCCCTCCTTACCTCGTACTTCGATTCTGGTTCCAAATCCGCCATCTTCAGACAGATTGCCGCAACAAGGTAGCATGATCCAGCAGACAGGGCACCGTAAAGCATCAGTCTACCATGACAAAGTCAGAATGCAACCCACGAATCATGGCGCAAAAACACTTACTTCCGACGACCAACCATGTCAATCACACACAAACAAACCAAAGCCGCGCCGAAATAAGACGTCGCGTTGCAAGCGGCCAGCAGCCTGCTCTTCCGCTCGTCAAACCCGACGCTCTCCTGCAGCAGCGTGGGCAAGTAATACCCCAGCGCGTTCACCCCGCTGAACTGCTGCATCAGCTGCGTCCCGCACGACAGGAGCACCCGGCGAAAGTTCTGCGTCCCATCTCTGAACAGCAAAACGTCTCTCACCGGCATGCGGGCCCGCCTCTCCTCCTCGATCGCCGCCCCGATCGATCGGTGAGTGGCGACGACCACGGGGTCCGTCTCCGACAGCTCCGCGCCCTCCAGTCTGGCAATCACCTGGATGGCCTCTTCCGCGCGCTCCTGCAACATCAGCCATCTCGGGCTTTCCGGTAGATAGGCAACGATCGGTATGGACACGAGCGCGAAGACGAGCTGGAACGCGAGCGGGAACCGCCATTGGAACGCGCCGCCGCCGTGGGAGAAGAAGAGAGCGTAGTTGATCCAGTTCGCCAGGCAGAACGCTAGCGTGTTGCTGATGTTTGCGAGGATCACCAGACGGCCTCGGACATGGGGCTTTGCGCATTCCGACTGGTATACCGGGACGACGGAGGTGATGATTCCTGGGGAAGAAAACAAAATCAGAAAGGCCCGGTGCGTTTCCATTGCCTTTGACACGGTGCACAGTGACTTGCTTACCCATCCCGAAGCCGTTGATCAGACGCCCGATGAGCATCTGGGGGAGATGAAAGGCGAAGATCTGTAGGATTGCGCCGATCACGTTCGCAGCCAGCCCGATCAGGTTGGAGCGCCTCCGGCCCAAATAATCACCAGCTGTGAAGGCGAAGAGACATCCGATGAATGCGCTGAGCTATCTCTTTGCTTAGGCATCCATCCGAATGCACTCTGTGTCCCAGGTATCAGACTTACCGAAAAGCAACTGGATGTGATTCCATTGACATTGGCGTTCTTCGTCTCGGGGAATTGGTCGATAAAGTCCTTTGAGATCAGGACGCCGGAGAAGACGCCTTGGTCGTACCCAAACCAACACATTGCTGCTTCAGAAAATGTCAATCAGGTGCTCCCGTTTTGCAGATATGATGACACACCCGAGTTACCCAACGTGATAAAGAATATCAACCAGAAGCCTCTGAGTTCCTGTATGAACCACATCTTCCAACATACAATTACAACGTAACTCTGAGGACAAGACAAGACGCCGGTAGTTCATATGACTAGTAGGCAATATCGGTGAAGAAGCAATGTGGCAAGCCGTAGAGTGACGGAACGACTGGAGTACCATTGTGTCACCAAAGCGAGACTTCCCCGCATTCCACAGCCCTGGGCCCTCGCGTCGAAGCGTCGACGCGTCAGTGGAAACGCAGTTTCTTCAAGTACCCTGTCTGTGCCTCGCCGCTGCCAGAAGGGAGTACCACCACCGCCAGCAACGAGTATTACCAACCACCAGCAGATGAACACGCTCCAGATGCGCAGCTTCGCTAGGGGTGAGCTCTGCTGACATGATCAACAGAACAGACTCCTGCGCACGTAGACGTGGTAACGCATGAGGTGCGCGATTGGACCTAAAAAGACGTCAGTACTGGGGTCCATCTCGACAAGGCGGGGAACTTCGCCTACCACGCCTATTGCAGCAACCCTTCCGCTATCACTCATCGCCATGCCAATCCACGCAATCTGGAGCCGAGAAGAAATCCCCACCACAACCCAGCTGGAAGCCCCTCCCAGCATGAAACCCGCCTCGGCAGCCTACCTTGATTGATCCCATAGTCCGATCAAGAATGGGAGGGGAAGCTTGATATCTGCAGCTACCTTGCTGCATGCCTACCCGCGCTTATCAACCACCAATTGCCCATCGCTTGCCTCTTTCTGCCCATATCCGCCGTCCAACCCTCACTTCAGAAGAACATCCATGTCCGGCCTAGACCCTTGCCCCAGAAGACCGTACAAAAAGTCCACTCTCTCCTCTGCCGCCACCGCCACGTCCCCTTCGCACGGAAACACTGCTCCACCAAAAGGCAGCATGCTCTCCACCATGGTCACCACCACACAGAGCAGCAGCAGCGCTTCCGCCGCCGCACCGGCCGCCGCAGAAGAACCAAAACCCCCCACCACCAACACCGCTCCCGCCCCTGCACCACCAAAACGCTCCTTCCGCTCCTTCATCTGGGACACGGACACGCACCTCAAACCGCACGCCGAGCTCGTCCTCCTCCGCAAGCTCGACTGGTCCATCCTCAGCATCGGCTGCCTCGGCTTCTTCCTCAAATACCTCGACCAAGGCAACCTCGCCAACGCCTACGTCTCGGGCATGCAGGAAGACCTCGCCATGCACGCCAACGAATACACGTACGCCGGCACCGCCTACACGTGCGCCTACGCCCTGATGCAGATGCCCTCGACGCTCGTCATCCAGCGCATCCGCCCGAGCTGGTGGCTCGCGGCCATGGAGGTCGGCTGGGGCGCCTTCACGTTCGCGCAGGCGGGGTTGAAGAGCTCGGCGGAGCTGTATGTCTTTCGCTTCTTCGTCGGCTTTTTCGAGAGCTCGTTCTTCCCGTGCTTGCTGTATGTGTTGGGGAGTTGGTATACGAAGGCGGAGCTGGCGAAGAGGGTGGCCATTTTTCACATGACGGCGCCGTTGGGGAGCGCGTTTGGCGGGTATTTGCAGGCGGCCGTGTATGAGAACTTGGATGGGGCGAGGGGCTTGGCCGGGTGGAGGTGGTTGTATGTGGTTTGTGGGGTGAGCTTTGATTTGGGTTTAATCCTCCTCCTCCCCTCTCTGAGATGCGGGATGACGTCCTTGGGGCTGATCAAGGGTGATTTGGACAGTGCATGACGGTTCCGGTTGGGTTGGCTACCTTCCTGCTTCTCCCTGACACGCCGTATACTACTCGCGCCTGGTTTCTGACCGAGGCGGAATGCGAGTTGGCGGTCGAGAGGGTGAGAAAAGCGGGGAAGGCGGCGCCGGTTAGGATTACGCCGAAGACGTTTGTCCGCATTCTGTCGCGGTGGAGGTGGTACGCGTTTGTGCTCGGATACGTGGTGTGTTCTCTCGAAACCAAATTTCTTGCGGAATCATGTGCTGATTAGTCCCCTCGATTCGACAGCTGTACGGCTCGGCATGTCAGGCGAGTAGCTACTTCGGCATCTGGCTGAAGTCGGAACACTATTCTGTTGTCGACAGGAACATCATTCCAACCGGCACGAACCTCATCTCAGCCGCGTGCGTGGTGCTCTGGGGCTTCTTATCCGACTACACCGGCAGTCGTTTCGCATTCGTCGTTGGTCCTTTGGTACGCCTCCTCATCAATGGCGGACAGTAAGGTGCTTACAACTCCAGACATACGGCCTCATCCCGAATGGCATCTTGGCGGTTTGGCCGTTGAGCATCCAGCTCAAGGAATTCGCCTTCTTGACCTGTGGAGTGCAGTTGATGACCGCAGTATTGTAAGCAGTCCACAACAAGAACTCAAGTTCTGCAAGGGGCAGTACTAACGCACGCATCTCTCACTGAAGTTACACGTGGGCGAACGAAGTCTGCGCCGGCGATAACGAGGAAAGAGCGCTGGTCATCAGCAGTATGAATGGCATGCAGTACGCAGTCGCGGCCTGGCTACCGATTGTCATTTTTCCGCAGACCATGGCACCCGACTTTCGTCAGTTACCACCTATGTTAACCATGTGACACAGAACGATCAAGTTTGCTGACAAAAGGCTTTGTAGGGTACGGTTTCCCGGCGACTTTTGGATTTGTGATTGCCGGCATCATCGTTATTATTGGGATTCATTTCCTGGTATTGCGGGAACAGCGGAGGGCTACGGCGCCACCGGATCTGGAGGATTTTCCAGCGAATGGGGAAGAGTTGGAAGAGAATGAAAGTGGTGTGAAGGGGGTCGTGGAGATGCCGAAGCAGTGATGTTAGAAGCTTGCGGTTAGCGGCACAGCCTTTTGTAAGACCACACCCCGAGGGAAAATGGACTTGCAGATCGGAAATTGGATGCTCGTACTTCACTGGTGCTTACACGTATGCGAGTTGGGGCACAGGACTCGAGGCAGCAAGTCGAAGGTTGAACATCGAGGGCGGCAGCGACGTGGTTGGCGTGCGCTGCCCCCGTTTCGAGGCGCTTCGCCGACGAGTAAATCTCACTTGAGCACTTCAACAGTCCATCACCAACCCGGATACTCAGCCGACACTTGACAATGAGAGTATAGTACACTTCCAATCTCGCCGTCAAAACAAGATCCGTACAAAGAAAACAATCCAATTAGCCAGCATACTCCACCAAAGGTATCACGCGCCTCCCAGATTCCCGTCATCCTATCCCGCTACTTTTAATGAAAGCAAAACTACCCCCAACAAACTAATACGGCTGCTCCTCATCCCGAACACTATGATACCTATGCCCCATATACCCCGTCTCACTGCTCTGCACCCTCCTCAGCCCAGCCCCAGCCTCATCCTCCGGCTCATTCGTCAACGTCGCCCCACTACTCGACCTCCTCGCACCATCGGGCCGCCGCTGCTGCTTATTCCGCCTCTTCTCGTCCTCGTCCTCCTCGTCCTCCTCCTTGACATCCCGCACGATGGACAGCCCCGCCGCAAACTTGCCCAGCAACAAAATCGCGCTCGCCGGCCGCGGCGCCTCCTGCCTGCGGAAGCCGAGCGCCTTGCTCTCGCGCACCTGCATGCGGCGCTTGGCCAGCACCTCGTCCACGTCGTCGACCTCGCCCGCGAGGATCATCTTGCCGCTGCCGACGCTGCTGCTGTGGCGGTGGTGCGGAGGGCGCTGCGGGTGGTGGTATTCGTGCGGCAGGGCGGCGGCGGCGGCGTTGTCATTGTCGTCGTCGTCGCTGTGGCCGTGCGCGGCTTGGAGGGGCGGCGGCTCGTAGCCCTGCTTGCGCATGCGGTGGTTGCAGACGGTGCGGGCGGAGTAGTCGAGGACGAGGGTGAGGCCGATCATGGCGGTGCCGGTGGGCAGGACGCCGCCCGAGGCGAGGAAGCGCTTGTACAGCTCGCCGTGGTAGCGGTGGTCGTTGGCGAGGGTCGAGGTGAACATGCTGATGCCGGGCGTGTCGGAGCGCGCGACGATGCCGAGGCAGCCGAAGACGAGGCAGAGGCTGAGCATGGCGACGCGGCTGCCGATGCTGGTGGCGTCGAAGAGGTCGAAGCGCGCGCGCCGCGTGCGGATCAGGCCGAGGAAGACGATGAGGCACGCGAAGAGGACGAAGAGCGCGCCCCAGTAGTACATGTAGACGATGCGCCACGAGTGCTGGAGCACCGCCCACGGCTCCTCGTCCATGGGGATCTTCATGCCCGCCGCCATGGTGACGCCGCTGCCGACTTGGGTGATGAGCTCCTCGAACTTGGGCGGGTAGTCGTGGGCCCAGTCGGCGGATGGGAAGGTCGCGGTGTAGGCGGGGGCGCAGATGCCGGTCGAGTTGCGCAGCGTCTCCAGCAGGGTGGCGATGTTGAGCACTTCGCGGTAGCACTCGGGTTTCTTGTCGAGCTGGTAGTACTTGATGGCCGTGCTCAGCTTGTCGACCAGCTTGTCGCCCTCGAGCCCCTCGTCGACGCAGTACTGCACGATCTTGTGCTCGAGCTTGTCGATGCTGCCCATGATGTACCGCGCGAGCGCGAGGTGCTGGCTGCCCTCGCCGATGCCCACGACGGCGAGCTGGAACGGGAAGTGCAGGAGCGCCCAGATCTGCTGGCGGATGGTGCCGTAGTGGTCGTGCGGCTGGTTGTCGAAGTACGTCAGGTAGAGGAAGACCTGCACCGCAAGTTAGGTCCAGTCCATCATGCAGCCAGCCCTCGGAAGGAGACGGTTTCCCTGACTTACCAGCGTCAGAACAATGCACCCCACAAGCAGCGTCCCCTGCCAATCCACCCCCGACTTCCCCATCATCTTACTGACCGTCTTCGTCACCCCAATCGCGCCTTCGCCGATGACAATCAGCGTCAGCTCCCCCATCCGGTGCACCAAGTGCGTCTTCTTGAAGCTCAACGCCCGCCAACAGCACGAAATGGCAATCGTGCTGACCCCCTCCACAAACAACACCACCCACCACATCCAATACACCCACGCCTCCGCCGGCTCCGCCCCCTCCCTGAACGACCGCGTCATCACCCCGAAAATCACCGCCGCCGCCGCATACACGCCCACATTCAACGCCAACGGCGCATACAACATACTAAACCTCCTCCTCGCCACCGCCACCCCCACCAACAAATACTGCGCCGCCAACATCCCCCTACTCCCCACCAAAACCCAACACAGCACCCTATAATTCGCCCTGCCCTCCCCGCCCTTCTTCCCGCTCGTCGCATCCTCCACCGGCTCGAACTTGCTCCCCGCCAGCGCCAACCCCACGAACGCGCCGAACTGCAGCACCTTGCACGCGCGCTCGTAGACGCTGTCGCGCGCGAAGCGCACGTCGTGCAGCGTGATCTGGAACCACGTCGCCCACAGGATGGCGAAGAAGCCGACGTACGCCGCGAGCGACGCCGAGTCGTCGACCGTGTGGTAGGCGGTGAAGGTGGCGAGGTTGGCGACGAAGAGCAGGTCGAAGCACAGCTCGTTGGGGTTGGCTTCGTGGCGCTGCGCGAAGACGGCGGAGGCGTAGTCGGCGCCGGCGCAGGGCGACTCGAGGAGCGGGACGAGGTGGTGGAAGCGGGTGGGGGTGGGGGTGTGGGGGGTGCTGCTGGTGGTGGTGGTGGTGTTGCTGGGAGGGGGTTAGTTGGCTGTTGGTGTGTGGAGGGTGAGGGGAGGGGAGACTGACGGACTGGAGCGCTTCAGTGGGCCGGTGGTTCGCCGCCATATTGGCTTGATGGCCGCCATGGTGAGATATTGGGAGGGTTCTCCGCTTGTGGGAGAGCGAGGCGCGTGGGTGCTGGTGAGGGCACGCGAAGGTGGTGAGGGTTAATAAATGGAGTCGGCCACACCCCTACTGAAAGCGGTAGGACTCTCAGTTACGAGCACGCATCCAAAAACCGAGATGGACGGACAACTCGGAGTGCGCGAGGGAAAGCGGGGTTTCCACGATAGTAATAATAAAATCACCCACCTCGTATGGGGGACCAGCCAGCCCATTTCCTCCAGCAGAAGCGGCCCGCGCGGCCTCCTCACGGCCCATGTGCCGCGCGCGCGGTGCCCAGGCCTTCACTCGGCGCCGTTCGTCTCCCGCACGGCTGCGTGGGAACACGGTGAAGGCGAGCGCCTCACAAGCCTCAAGCCTCAAGTCTGAAGCTTGTTCGTGAGGGGGTGCGCAAAGTCACATGTTGGACAGCTTTCCCGTACCGGGACCCTAACGGCTGGCTCGACGATGCCCGAAACGGCAAGACAGCTCGCTCGTGACCAAGGCTCTTCAACGGCTGAAAACGGCTGGGTTGTCAAGCGTTTGATAAGCGCTCGTTAGCGCGCTTGGTGGAATTCCTTGGCTTATTAGCAAGTATAGCTGCAAGATGATAGAATGTACCTTGGCCTTGTGGTATACGTATAAGCAACGATACGCTAAATTGCACATCTTCGTATACTTCAAAGACTCATGTAGCTGTGTCCGTGCTTCTGTCTTCCTCGTCCTTGGCAAGCACTGCTTACTTGCTCACCGTTCTGGTTTCCATCAACTTTCAATGCAATGTAATTACACGCGCAGCAGAACTCGAGGTAGCAGTGTCGGTGAACAACAATACCAGGCTAAGCAGAGCGGTACTTACCTCCCTCTAGCTGTTTCCGGGTAGCCCTACGAGGACGCATGACTTGTGGGTAGGAACAAGCACGTCTTGGCATGAGGTCGGGAAGACGCGGATAAGGTTCGCCGGCGCATGTCGTTCGTCAAAACCTGACCCGTGCGACGCAGCGCGTGCCACGGAGGGTTATTTTTGGCGGCGCTGGGGGCGCCAGCAGTGCGCTGCAGTTCATCCACGGACCGCCCGGCGAGCCACACGCTCGTCGGATTCGTTCACCAGAAGTTGGCGTCGTGTTGGGAGGCCGAGATAGGCTGAGGAGTTGGGCTGCGGTCGAACCCAGGGCGAAAGGGGGTCCAGAAGCTGATGGTTCGGTCGAGTGGTTGATGGTGGCGTCTGCGGTGGGAGATTAGGTGCGCTTGGCGCTACTTACTCGCTCGTCGAGCTTCGGCTGTTTGCATTGAGCCGTGTGCCGACCTTAGCCGTTACCCGTCGTATTTATTATACTGGCCTGCTTGCACGGGGAGAGAACACTGCTGGCATCGCCCAAGTAGGAAAAGAAGTTGTGGCATTACTACATTATCTATTCGTGAAGCACTCGTGTCTCTCAATGTAAACAGGTCTCGGTTGCTCCCAGCACTCACAGCATATATTTCCGGACTTCGTTCTCCTCGGCCTTGCCGGCTTTGATCTTCTGCTTGTTGCGAAGATTCAGCACGCGATACACCCCGTTCTGCAACAAGCAGAAGAACAACGCGACAGATATCAGTATCACGTTGACGGTGCGACCGACGGTGTAGGTAGGCGAGTCGGATGGCTGGAAGATCTGGCTACCGATGATACCAGCCAAGTTGGCCGACATGACGATGCATGCCATCTTGATGCTCCGGTCCGCCGGAGACCGTGCATTGATGGCAAGCCACGAGCTGTTCAAGGGGTCTACGCCGTGTTTGTCAGACATTTCGAGTCACCAGTCAGTCTCAGCTTTACTTACGCCAGATGTTGGAGAAGGCCAGGGCCATGATCATCATAGCAAGTCTCTTGCCGTGATTGTCCGAGTAGCGCACAACCAACGCACCAAGGTTGAAGCCCCACCACAGGGCAAGGGCGGTGCCGACGGGAATGCCTCTCTTCTTGAGCTTGTCACTGCTCATTGTCAGCCAAATTCCATCTTCTGCGTCCAGAGCCCCACTTACGCCCAAAAGCTGAATCCCAGAGAAGTGAAGAGTTGTATCCAAAGACCAATCGAGTAGAGTGCGTTGCTCTGGAGCTTCTCGTAGCCGAAAGAGATGATCTGCTTGGGTCCATAGGCACTGTACGTCGATGATGGCGCGAGCGCAGCGATAGTAAGGAGGCAGTGAGGGTAAATCGTCCAGTCCGACAGCTGAGCCACACGTCAGTCCTTATCCTCTGAAGACAGCACTTGAGACTCACAGCCCATCTCAGCTCTTCCATCGAAATCGTCTTCCGCGCTCCAGTGGCCTTGCTCGGGTCGTCCAAAATGACTCGCTGTGCGATGATGTGCTTTTCTCTCTCGTTGAAGTACGTGATGCGCGTGAAGGGAACTGGATCGTCTCGGCTCTTGGGGTAAAATGCCATGTAGATGGCCCCGGCCACGACCGTGTACATGCCCTCAATCTAGCAAGCTATCAGTTCGCCGCCCAAACAAGTTGTGTGCTGAGATGGATGGCTTACAAGGAACAACCACTGCCAGCCTGTCAAACCAGCCACTCCACGCATGTGAAGGACGCCGTAGGCAATCAATCCCGAGGCGGCTTGCGCAACGTAGTTGCCGAAGAAGAAGATGGCGAAACGTACGCTCATCTCTTTCGTCTTGTACCACGTTGTGATGGCATAGAGAGAGGCAGGGATGAAGCCAGCCTCCATCAACCTGTCTTGGGTCAGCACGTCATCTACACGCCAGGGCTCGGCTTACTAACCCAAGCAGGAGCCTGGTAGCCAGATAGGCTCCGAGGCCTTTTTGGAATGCCTGAAAAGTGGCCACGAGGCCCCAGGCGAAGATCTGGAAGCTTATCCACACCTGCGGGCCAAGGCGATACAAGACAAGGTTGGACGGGATCTACAACGTGCATTAGCTCCCGGTGAGAGAAATGGCGTGCTTGGTGATGTGGGGGTCGGGCTGACCTCCAAAACGACGATTCCTGCAGACAGCAGCTGCTGACCAACATTGTACTGAGCCTGGTTGATCCCTACGTCTTCCTGGTTGCTTGTCAGTGGTGCTTCCTGGTAAAGTATTGGTACGAAACTTACCATGAAGCCGTCGGTCACTGCGTTGCCCCTACAAGCTCGTCAGCATAACGAAGCGTCTGGAGACGGGCTTGAGAAAACTCACATGTTGCCCCGGTCGAGCTGAAGAGCAATGAATGGGAGAATAAGAAGGGGCATCAAGATCAGATCGATCTTGCGGACCAGCTTCTTCTCCTCCTCATCCGTCCAGTCGGGCTGGCCATCCGAAGAGGCCGAGCTGTCGGGTTTCTCACTGTTGTAGAAGCGCGAGGGATGCTCCTCGACATCAGGGATTTTTGACTCCATGCCAAGATTGCGACAAGCTTAAGACGGGCAGTCCAGTATCAAGCGGTAGGGAATGTGCAGCCGTTTCGCTGGGGACAGGGGGTGGGGGGCTGAGAACGGTGTAGCAAGTCCGTCCCTGAAAGTGAGGTATCTTAGCTACGGAGTGAAGTTCCGGTTCAAATACAAAATCAGAGTCAATGCAAATCCGGGCAGATGTGGATACCTCACGGCCATTTTTTCGCAGCTAACGGGTGCGCACGTATGATCGGTCGGCAGTCTGTTATGCCAAGCGCGGATTTCGGCTTCACCGCGTGGTCTTCGTGTGGGCCTTTCCGATGGCGTGCTCCGTAAAAGAGGCAAACACGGAGCAAGTTCCTCAAGATTAGAGGCAAGCTCCGTGATGGAGCCGCACTCGCATAACGCTCGTCGGCGATGATCGACGGCTGGGGATGTCCATGGGGAAACAGGCCAAGAGCCGAGCACTATAAGCAACAGAAAGCATTCCAGTGCAAGGTTGAATGACTTCTCAGCTCGGCATGATGGAGCTGAACCGAAGCCTCCATCCAGGCTTGATCTATGCGCCATGGCAATTAACTTCTGGATTGGCGAGTCAGATGGGAGAAACTTGCCGTGCAACAGGTCCAATTGGCAGCTGCCACAAACAAAGGTTGCAGCCAAGTCCAGACCTGAAGCAACGCGTGGCTGGCGCAGGCGTCGGCACAGTTGGAGAAGGCCACAGTCTGTCGACAATAAGATGCCTTACGCGTCGCGTGCGCCGGCATTTTGGGAACTGTGGTGATTGCAGCATCCGGGGGTGCGATGATGTGATTGAAGTGAAGCTAGGGCCACGGACGCCATGCAGCCACAAGAGCTCAGCGTCGATCTTTGCCCTTTGCGGTTGCCCTAAGCCGCCCGCTGCCCTTTCGTTGTTGTCCTCTTCAACCTTCCTCTCACCCATCTCCATTCCTCTTATACCAGCATATCGGTGCGAATCTCTCCCTCTTCTTCCTTTTCGGCCGCCACCGCCTACAACCAGCTCTGCCGAACATTTCACATGTGAGCGGTAATGTATGCGACTGGTGCACTTCGAAAAGACACGAACCCTGCCCAAGGCCAACTCGAGAATCCGGGGCGACGAGCGGTCGGTTTGGAGGCTCTCCACAAGAATGCATCGAGAAATCCCTCGGATTCGATTCTCGATACTGGACGCCCCCGCGCCCCTGAAAGCGGAATAGATACAGAGTCCCTATCCGTTGGACCCCCCCAGCTATTGATTGATTCCGAAACTGTCTTCTCACCAAGCAGAGGTAATATAGTCGTTCCCCAAAGATGGTATACTGGATATTCCATATCTTCAAAAGCACTCAGAACCCCCAAACAAGAGTCCACTACCGTAGCTTAGCATGCCTGTGGGTGAACCGGAGTTAACGGAAGAAACTGTGTTGGCTCATCGCGCTGTTTGGAGGCAGTTGTGTGGGTGATATCAGGCCCCGAGCCAGTTCCTCAGTTGATTCAGGCATTCCTTGGATTCGTAGTGTGAGAAGATGGTACATACGAAGAATAGTTCGGGGATTTTGTCAAAAGTCAATGAATACACCCGGCTTGAGAAAATTTAGCTTACATTCAGTATTCTCCGTGGCGATGATGCTCAAGTGCTGTTGGTATCGCGTCTGTCGCAAGTTGTCGTCCGAAACCGTGTAATGAAAGAGCGAATAGCAAATCGCTTCTCTTACTCTGCCAGTGGGATGCACTCTCCAATGTCGTAGTCCCCTGATATCAGTTCTAACTGAATGCCATCCGCCGCATAGCGAGTCCTGTACACAAGCGAGCAAGGGGGACATCTCGAGAAAGTCCGAGTTGACATTACCTTTCTCAAGTTCTTTTAGGAGACTAGTACCAACAGACACTCTCCCTGCGAAGATTCATCTTGGATAACTTCGAGACTCTCACTGTTTACTTCGGTTCTACGACCATTTCATAGACGGAACTCGACAAGGCAGCTACTACATTAGAATGGTATGTTCCGACATGTCGGTTTCTCCTCAAGTAGTGTGATCAACAAGGATCAAGGATCGTGGCAAGATTACAGACATACTTGCCTTGTTCAAATACTCCTACGGCCATTTTAGTGATCTTTCGCTTCAGTGCACTCTCTGGAGCTTTTAGGCTGGTAACGGAACTGAAAGACCACCTACACGTTGGCCGACGCTGCAGAGCCATAATCTCTCCCATACCTCGACCACGTCATGCTATACCAGCAGCCATTTACACGTCCACTGTTAGATACCACTAGCCTAATTCCGTTGCTTCTCTTGCTTCCTCACTACGGCAAGCCTGATGCCCTACCAAATGTCGATCAGTACAGCCAAGAACGGAGACCCCGGGGCCATTCATGTACATTTCGGATGATGCTCTTGACGCAGCTGTGGACATCACGGCCCTTTTCCAGCCGGCGGCTAATCTGCCACTGGAAATCCAGCATCTGACTATTGAAATCCGTTCTAGGGAATATCTTGAAGGTGAGCAGGAATGTTTCTGGAAGAAAATATCCTGCAAACCTGTCGAAGAGACCACTGAACTCTTGATCGTGAACTTTGGGATACTTATCGAAGTTCCCAAGATCACGGAGGTTTTCCTACACTGCAGAAGTTTTGGGTAGAACGGATGGCTTTTGGGGCTCAGTGATCAGGAACTCGTCGGTAAGAGGTTCTGTATATGGCCCAAGGTAGAACCAAATGGGAAATTAACGTAATACCATCATCCGTAGGTGACGGTCCCAGGGAGTAGCGATACTTGATATTGTTGGGGGGAGTGCCCATACCTTCACGATCCGAGCATGAGGGAAGGGGTAGAAGTTATTTTCTCCCTTATCTCAGTGGTGACAATTTTTAGGATATCTTGCTATCATCAACAACACTTCAACAGACTCTGCTATGAAAATACGACGAAATAACGGAACAGGCATCAAATCTCATATCCTGGCCATCCAAAGCTCAATTCAAGTACTCTGCTGCGTTTCGGACAGAACAGTCCAAGTCATACCCCAGTCCCTTCATGTTGGTAAGGTGATTCAATCCCTTGCATACTTTTCCGCCCAACATTCTCGTGTCTTAAAATGCCAGTCCAGACCCGCACCCGACAGATCGGTACCATCGTATTTGCAGGCGCAAAGCCTTTCCCTTCCCCTCCAGTCGGGTACGTCTGTGACAGAGTGCTCGCGCTGATCCCCCACAGTCGATTGATTACGAGCACCGCAGCTGATATGATCGCCCACTCTCGCTCCCTGCGGCAGGGCGATTCGTTACTAAATTTGGTTAACCACTTTCGTGTTCCCGTTCGTATTCAACTGGCCACCATCGCTTGCGCCAAGTATACGTCAGGATCGACCGAAAGGGCTTGGCTGCTCTACTGGGCAATAGATTGTCTTTGCGGGTATCCGAGAGCGGGCGATGGTGTGCAGGAGGGCGCGGCCAGCCCCGCGCTGTGCGAGTGCGATGGCGTGTAATTTCTTTTGCTGCACGTGCAAGGCTACCAATAAGCAGTCAGATTGTTACTCTTCGTCAGATCATTGGAGAAAGGCTTGAGGTATAGTCCCAAAGGCTGGGCATTATTTGTTGACACTTATCATACATCTATGATACCATGCTGGGGGTCGTGGTCCTCTGCCGTGATACTAAGTGAACGGACCTCATATAAGAGATAAAAGCTCGTATCGCGGCCTATATCAGACGTTACTTCCGTCCGTCAGCCTTGGCATCACCTCCACTCTGCTGCGGTCCAACATCTTCCTCCCTCTCCCCCTCCTCAAGTTCCTCCCGCACACGCTCCTCTACACCATTAACACCACCATCACCCCTCCTCACACCCCCATCCAACGTCTTTCGTTCTTCCTTATCCTTCTTCTCCTTCCTCTCCATCCTCAAAAACCTATCCTCCCGCCATCTCGGCCCCTTCCACACCACAACCGCCAACGGCGCTATGCTGCCCACCAGCATCAGCAAGCCGAGAAACGTGTACGTCCAGCCGAGGCCCCACGCGCGGATTATGTACTCGACGGACGCGGTGCCGGTGGCGCTCATACTGCAACGGCACAAGTTCAGGCCGGCCATGGCCGTGCTGGCACGCTGCGGGTACAGGTCGACCAGCAGTGTCATAAGCATCGACATAGTGCCCGAGAGCATAGCGCCGCCGATGAAAAGGATGACGAGGGGCGCTGCAAGAGAGGTTTGGGCGCGGAGAACCTGGTTGGATGGTTGTGTCAGTGAGGGTCAGTGATGGGAGGCACGGATGAAGGGAGGAGACACAAGGAAAGGGTTGGGCGAGGGAGGATGAGGGAGACGTACCCAGCCCCATACGAGCGTCGACAAACTCCCGATGACCAGCGGAGCCCAGATGATTTCGAGCCGGGCGCGCTCGATGGGGAAGTTCCGCATGCTACTGGCGCGCTTGCGATCGACGGTGATGCCGTGCTTAGCTGCGACACGGCGAAAGTTATGGTCGAGGAAGCGGCCGCAGGCGAGACTGCCGAGCATGGCACCGGCTGAGAAAGGTCTGTATACGGGTCAGCAAGCAGAGACTGCTAAACATACCGGACATTTTTCGGGTACTTACATGTAGCAGAGGCCGATCTGGAGGTCGTTGAAGCCGTAGGTGCTGGCGAAGATGCCAGGCATGGGCACGATCATGCAGAAGAAGCCGGTCATAAGGATGGAGAGTGCTAGTAGTATCAGTGAGACGTCCTTCTCGACGACGATGCGCAGCGCCTGGAACGGGTTGGGAAAACGTAGATGTCGCCCCGCCGCGAGCCGTTTGCTCTCCTCATGCTTGGCCTGCCGCGAGACTGTACGTTCAAGTCCGTTCTTCTTGCGTCTACGCTCTGCAATGATGTTGAGCAAAGACTTGTTCCAGCCCTGCGGCGGCAGCGAGCCATCACCGACGACGTTTCTACCCGTCTCCGGGATCAGGATGATATACAGGATAAGGTAGACGCCGCCGCTAATGGCCAAGAACCAGAAGATGGACGGCCATCCGAGAAACTGTGCAAGGACGCCGCCAAGGATAGGCCCAAGGGCGGGACCAAGCTGGGTTCCCATCTGAACCCAGGCAACGTAAGAGCCGCGCTCTGCGCTGGTCGTCACGTCGGATATGACGCCGTTGCCCAAGGCGATGACACCGCTGCTGCCGCTGCTCTGCATGGCTCGGAGCACGAGTAGCGCCGCGTAGTTGCGCTGCAGGGCGAGGCCCAAGTTGGCAAAGAAGAAAATGACGAAGCAGCAGATGTAGGTAGGTCTTCGTCCGAGTTGGTCTGCCAGGTCGCCAAAGAACATGGGTGCTATGCCCTGAAAAATCATATAGCTCGTGACAGTGAAGTTAATGTCAGCGAGCGAGACGTGGAATTCCTTGGCCAGAGTGTTCAGTGCGGGTAGGTAGATCTGGCCGGAGACCGGAGAGAAGAAGCTTGCCATGGTAGTCATGGTGATTATGAGAAGCTTGGTTTTCTTGGAAAATACCGAGTGGATTGGTGGCGGTGCGGGCTCCGCTGCTGCTGCCTCCACGTCTGTTGTGGTTGTTTCATTCCTGGCCTCGCTGGTTTCGTGGTCTTCGGCGGGCATGTGCCTGTCTGGTGCTACGTTTTCGCCGGCGGCTTGAACGGTATCTTCATCGTGGCCTCGAGATTCGGTATGGTCGTGTGTGGGAACTGAGCCCGAGTGATCAGCAGTAGCCATGATTTTGTGCAGGTGAGGCTGAAGCTTGTCATCTTGGCACAGTGGCGACCAGGATCTTTTTAAAAGGGGCGAGGTCTGTTGTCATTGTGGATTCACACTCGGAGTTTGGAGTTTGAGGTCGAGCGGCGGAACGGAGCGTCCGACCCGCGCCTGCCCCGATCCCAAAACAGCACTCGCCGCCCCGAACGGCCCGGATATAGCGCCCTAGCGAAGGCTCCATCGCTGCATCATTTGCCATATCTCTAACGCTTCTCCATTTCCATGTTTTCGGTCACGTCCTTGTCGGCTCTCATGCTTGCTGGCCTTGCTTTCTCGCTCTTCTTGGGCTGCCGCTTAGCTCCGACAGGGTAGCGTTTCTGTGCGTTGCAGACGTTGCACTCGACAACGAGTACATCGGCCCAAGGCTTTTTGGCTCCCCGACTTAGGTTCTCAATCTTGCTTGAGGACGTGTTCCCAGGGATTAGAATAGCATTGCAGCGCTTACAAACGGAATTCTTGACGTCTTGTGAGAGCCGAATTTGCGACTTCATGGAGACCGAGTGGAGATGTGACGCATAGTAGAAGGGCAGGCCTGGAGGAAAGGCGTTCTGGCCGGGATCACCAGCATTTCCGCCGTTCCTCTGCTCGGCGCGCTGGCCGCTTTGGTTGGCGAGGTAGGTGGCGGCCTGGTAGAGGTAGGAAATGCGCGAATGCAAGTGCTTGTTGGGCACCGCCTTTGGCTTCGATGCGTCTCCCTTAGCCATAGTGCCGGACGCGGATATGCAAGGTTGTTTGCTGCAAGAAACAGAGAGCGGCAGGGCGCGTCGAGCTGGCGTCACAAAGGCGCGTTGGGAAGCGAGGTGGGCGGCGCCGTTATTTGTTGGAGACGCGATCACGTGAGGAGCTAGGATCGCCCTACGTTTTCAGCTTCCGGCGTTCGACAAAGCAGCCTCGCCCGCCCGCCCATCTCCATCATCCAAACCACCACCTCTACCACTTGCCCTCATCAGCTCGTGGCAATCGCGCAGAAGAGTTGCTCAGTTGCCATACCTTGCGACCGCGCAGCCCCGACCTTACGGCCTTTTCGACGACTTCGCGCGCCAGGGCTCCGCACCACTGACATCACCGGACACGTCCAAAGTCGCGTCCGACACCACCTCAACGCGCCTCCACACACCCATATCCGCCCGCCGTCGCCTTCGCCATGTCGCACGAGGAGGATCTCATCGACTACTCCGACGAGGAGCTCAACCAGGCCGATGCCGTCGCCACCGGCGCGACCGGCGCCGCCGCCAACGGTGAACAGAAGAAGGGCGATCTGACTGTGACCGGCGAAAAGAAGGGCAGCTACGTCGGCATCCACTCTACCGGCTTCCGGGACTTCCTCCTCAAGCAGGAGCTTCTGCGTGCCATCACCGACTGCGGTTTCGAACATCCTTCGGAGGGTCAGTTTTAACCTTTCCCCTCAAGCTCCTCCGTCCTTCAAGAAGCGTCCGTCCATCTCCGCAAACCAAGCGCCCGCGAATCCAGCCTCCCCAAGTGACGGGCTCAATCGATGGAAGCGCGCGCAAAAAAAAAGTCAAAACGTCTCTGGATGGATCGCACAGGCCGGCGGCTGCCTATAAACACAAGACCTGTACGCGAAGGCTTTGCGCTATGACTGGATTGGCCACATGAAATAGAGTGCCGGATTCGCAGAATCTGCCTTTCCAGTCTTGGAATCCCCGAGATTCTGTTCTCCGTGCCGACGTGCGGATGGAGACGGCCTTCTCCATGTGGTTGATCTTGCCTGATCTTCGCACGGTCAACTTTGCGAGATGGACGGACGCGACGCTCGATTGCTTCTTATCGTTACGATCTCTTTGGACCAAGTCTCTAACATCGTCGGTTCTCCGCAACAGTCCAGCAAATTTGCATTCCTCAAGCCATCATCGGTTCCGACATTCTCTGCCAGGCAAAGTCTGGTCTCGGTAAGACGGCTGTGTTCGTCCTGGCCACTCTCCAGCAGCTCGAGCCTATCGCTGGTGAAACCGCCGTCCTGGTCCTTTGCCACACTCGTGAACTTGCCTACCAGATCAAGAACGAGTATGCTCGCTTCAGCAAGTACCTTCCGGACGTGAAGACCTCTGTCTTCTACGGTGGTACTCCTATGCAGAAGGATATCGAGGTTCTTTCGAACAAGGACACCCACCCGCATATCATTGTCGGTACTCCCGGCAGACTGAACGCTCTTGTGCGTGAGAAGAAGCTTCGTCTCGGTGGTATCAAGATGTTCGTCCTCGATGAGTGCGACAAGATGCTTGACCAGATTGGTATGCACATCCATATCCGTCATTGGATGACAGGAACAACGTACTGACTGGGTTTTGTTTTCAACAGACATGCGCCGTGACGTCCAGGAGATCTTCCGCGCCACCCCCACCACGAAGCAGGTCATGATGTTCAGCGCCACCCTTGCCAAGGAGACGCGCCCGATCTGCAAGAAGTTCATGCGCAACCCGCTCGAGATCTACGTCGACGACGAGTCGAAGCTCACCCTGCACGGTCTGCAACAGTACTACATCAAGTTGAGCGAGGCCGAGAAGAATCGCAAGTTGAACGACTTGCTTGACAACCTCGAGTTCAACCAGGTCATCATCTTCGTGAAGAGCACTCTCCGCGCGACCGAGTTGGACAGGCTTCTGCGCGAGTGCAACTTCCCCTCCATCGCGGTTCATTCCGGCGTTTCTCAGGAGGAGCGGTATGTGCAACTGCAACACCCACGTTAGACGAATGGCCACTGACTTCCGCACAGTATCAAGCGCTACAAGGAGTTCAAGGAGTTCAACAAGCGTATCTGTGTTGCCACCGATGTTTTCGGTCGTGGTATCGATATCGAGCGTATCAACCTGGCCATCAACTACGATCTTCCCGGCGATGCCGATTCCTACCTTCACCGTGTCGGTCGTGCTGGTCGTTTCGGTACCAAGGGTCTCAGCATCTCGTTCGTCAGCAGCGAGCAGGACGAGCAAGTCCTGAAGGAGGTTGAGAAGAGATTCGAAGTTCCTCTTCCGTAAGTTCCCGCCGTTCACCGATTCATGTGAGATTTACTAACCTCGGATGCAGTGAGTTCCCCGAGGGCGGCATCGACGCTAGCACCTACATGGCCAACTAAGGGAGACTTGTGGGCTTGAGATAGGATTACCAAATTGGTCAAGAATGTGAGCGTTCCTGGAAGAATCCTTGAGCGCCTTTTGATGTTGCTGCGCGTGATTATTGAGGCAGAGCATGCTGCCTAAGAAAAGCTTTCGGCGTCAGGGATTCGGATGAGCTGATGCTCGGTTGCTGCTGTACTCTACTTCGCCGATGAAATGCAAGACTCATGGTACGGACATTGGTCGATATATCAGCCTTTCTATTAATTTATCGAGAGCTGTCCTCTGCATCCTTTTCTGATTTGGGTTGTCTATCCGATGCATGAAAACTGGGACCTGGAATTCTAGGTCCTCCTCTGCCGGCTTGCTTTTCTCCACCCTGACTTGTCTTTCATTATTGAGGATTCCAACAGACAGAAAGAAGGCCTACTTTGGAGCCGATGATTGGGGGAGATTGCAGGCCTTTCAGCCCTTCGTCAGGATCCTCCCATGGGTGGGTCCAAACTCATAAGCACCAAGGATTGCGCTTGCGAGAACTAGCTCGCGGGAAAGATGCAATTCTTCAAAACTGTCGGATGTTTTTTTTTTTTGCTCGTCTCATTTTTCTTCGCTATGTCGCAAATTTGCTCGAGCGTTCTCGGTCCGACCGATGATGTAAACGATCTGACGAAGGGATGTGTGGGCGGGGGTGGCATGTTCCCTTTCTCTATTCTCGCACCATTCGGATATGCTCTTTTTCACGAGATACTTTCACGACAACCATGGCCAGTGTTGGATTCTAGAGGCCCGGGCAAAAGTGTGTGAGGATTTTGTTCACGGGCAAGCATGTGATTCGGCGGGTTTTGCGGTAAGCACTTGTGCCCTCGTCATGCTTCGTCCATTCGCTGTTCAAGAAGCCCCAGCCCCATCCTTTCGGAACCCCCCTTTGGTCTGTTCCGGAAATGGAGAGGCAAACAAAGCAAGACTGCGGCGGATTCGGGGGTGGGGAGAGATAGGGAAGGGAAAGTAGGAGGCTGCACGCAAGCTTGCCAGCCTCACGCACTACTACCTGCGGCGACGGGAGCGCCGCGCGGAATCGCGGTGCTCCGGGGCGGATGGGCGGGAGACGCGTTCGCCGAGCGCATGGTGGGAGGGAGCGCGGCGAAGCTGAGTGGCTGAAAAGAAATTTGGTGGATTGCAAAGCAAAGATACCCGTCGCTGCGAGCAAGAGGAGCTAGCCAGTAGCTTAGGGCTTGTTGTCCCATTTCATTTTGTTTTCCATGCCCGTCCCGCCCGGGTCGGTCAAGCCAGTCGAGCAAGGCAGCGGGTTGCAGCGCCCCGGGAGGGACATCCCCGGTCGGGGCCTGTCATATGCGCAGGTGGCGGCGGCGGAGAGCAGCACGCGAGCGGAGGTCAACGGTGGCGCGTTCCTTCGCTACTCTATTTCCATTCCTTCCCATGACTGCAGCGGAACCAAGATGCTTGACGTCCGCGTGGCAAGATAAGGCATATGGTGGTGAGTTTTGCATTTGCAGACCTTGGCGGGCATCATGGGCAAGACATGCAGTGGTCGAAGAACAATAGCTGACTGGGAGGCAACACAAAGGAGGAATTTCCGCTGTCTCCGGCGATCACACAACTGGGCGGGCCGCCCTGCAGACTAGAGGGATGGGAACACTCGTGCGGGTCGCTGTAGGTGAGACCGGCTTGCTTCCCTTCTATTTCCTTTCCCAGGGCGGCGGATAGGGCTCGTGTTGTCTCAAAGCACACTCCTCCAACAGTGTTGGGGCCGATTGCCGGAAAGTAATTATTATCTCTCTGTAAAACCTTCTGACTCGCTCCGGCGGCGGCCGTCGTTTAGGGTTCTGATGCGGTATGGCAGTCAGGTACGGATGTGGAGGCCTGGGGGGTTGAGGGTAGGGCAAGGTTATTATTGAGGGGCCCGTATTCGTTTCCCGTGATTGTGCGATCGCCGAGCAGTGGCAGAGCGGGAGCGTCCCGACGATGGAATCTCCGCCGGATAGGCGCAAGTGCACCTGCGAAAAAGACGTTCGCAAGATACGGGCGGGCGGCTTCCAAGGCTTCGCGCCGGGCGCAAACGTGCAGAATATGCCCGATCAGAACGCGTCCGGACGAGAGTCTTCATAGCGCCAGCGTTCCGGACCGCGGGCCCCGCTGCCGTCGTCGTTATCATCGTCGTCGTCGTCGGCGTCGTCGTCGTCGTCGTCGTTGCTGCCGGAGATATGGCCTGTCGCTGGCCGCGGCAACAGGCGGAAATGTTGTCCTGTCAACAACCGCGCCTGAGGGGACCCAACCCCCACCCCATCCATCGGCTAGTGTGGTGCATTGGCAGGTCTCGCACTCGCATCGTTGTCTCGGAGGCAGATGCCCGGCAATAAAAAGAACTGGGGGCCTGCAAAATTGGGCTCCGTCCCTGGGCGCAGCGGCGCTGGCTTGAGCTGCGCGTCGCTGCCAAAAATCGACACCATGACGACGGCGTGACGATTGGATTGACGACAGTCCGCTAAACTGGCACTGGCACTGGCACTGGCACACGCATCTCCGTAGGGCGGTGTCCTGGGCTGCGGACGTGCGCGTATCTTGGGATGCGCATTGCGCGCCAATATCCATGGGATGGGACCTGCCGCTGCTTTCGATGATCCTGCGCCGGTGGAGGCCAGCAGGCCGAAATGATAATGTCGACGGCGGCGCGCTATCGCTTGAGCCGCCCTCGCCGGCTCCGGGCTGGCATGCCCGCTGGTGGCTGCTGGCAAGCCACCCCCGAGGCCGATCAGCCCAGGGCCGCGCCAATTGAAGTCGGCGCAGCACCCTGCGCAACTGAGGCAGCCGGCGGCAGGCCCTCGCCGCCTCGGAGCAGATCGCGGCCGAGCAGCACGGGCGAGTCAGGCCCCCGTTGCGCCGATCATGAAACGAATAGACGGCCTCCTCGAAGCAGCGATGTGGCGCATGGCGATGTGCGTTGCTGTTCTATTCTTGCGGCCCCCTGCCGCTGAGCATGCTCCTGGGGCATCGACATCAGGCGAGAGCTTGACCTGCGGGCGCCCCCAGCCGGCGCCTGCTGCGCCGGCTTGCGCAACGCTCAGGCTGAAACAGGAGGACTAGCCCGACGTTGGAGCGGGAGAGGCAGGGCGTGGCAGGCTAGCTAAAGGGAGGCGCCCGCGCCTGGCAATGGCAAGCAGCAGGCACAGTGCATCGTCGCAGGTGGCGGGCTTAGCAGCGAAACTGGGAAATTTCGAAACGCTGCCAGATCTCGATCCCCCCCAGCGAAAGGGGGGCGGGCGGCAGCTCCCCAAGTGCCGCTGTCTGCCTGCCAGACCGCCGGCACAGCTCGAGAGGCCGTCGCTGGTGTCAGCGTCTAATCTCGTTAATCAACCGCCGTCCTGATGATGAGCCGCCTTACCGCAACCGGCACCTGCAGTGCTGCGCAAGCCCGGATTGGCGGCGCACGCCCCAGCAATGATGCAGTTGGCGTCGTCGGCCTTGGCGCATGCGGACGGCGCAGGCATGCGTGCTCTCTGCTCTCTGCGATAGCTGTGTGCCCGACCGATACCAGCGGTGCGACGGCGAGGCATGCAGAGCGCTGGCCGATGCGCCTCGTGTGTGCTGAATGCTCATGACTCGGCCCGGGCCACGCGCAGGCCGCGTCCGGGAGCCCGGCGAAGCGGCGAAGCGGCGAAGCGGGGGCAGTCGCGCAGTCGCGCACATGGACGCGACTAATGCCCGCCGGGCGACAGGCGGATGGCAGGACGCCCGACACGCAGCGTCGACGAGCAGCGCCGGGTTGTGCAGCGCCTGGGGCAGGGAAGCAGCAACGGCGTGCGGCGAAAACGCTTCGCGGCCGTGGCACGTCGGGCAGATCGTGCGTTTTATAACGGCGCCAGGAGCGGGCGCGGGCAAGGCAATTATTTCGCTTGGAGGTAGGTGCAGCAAGGCCGCAGCACGACGTCCAGCGGGTGCTCGGCGGCAGAAGCGCGCCCCTGCCCGCTGTCTTCCGCCGCGAGCCTCCCCGACTCCTGCGCCTGCACATCACTCGCGCTGCTGCTCACGATCACCGCGCGCTCGCTCCATCGTCCGTCGCAGCTTCTGTGGCACCGGCTCCCGCACGGCACCGCACTGCACGCCGCCCAGACTCTTTGACTGTGGCTGCCCGTCCTGCGTGGCCTGGCTGGTGGAAGCTTCCGCATCAGCATCCGCTGCGCTGGCGTCGCCCGCTCGCGACCGTTGAGAGATCCTTCCTCGCCCGGCGCCCGATAGTCTAATCACCCTGCTGCCGCACCTCCACCTCGACCACCACACACAACATCCGACTCCCGCCCAGCACGCTCTCTTCCCCTCCCTCCTCCTCCCAGTACATGACCGCCGCCCGCACGCCTGCCTAGGCTTCCGCTCGTTCTGATCCCGCCTAAAGCCGTTAATTCCTTAATTACTCGAAGCGAAACTGCGAGCGCCCGACCTGGATACGCGGCTGTCGACACGCCTGCCAACCCGCTGGCACCCGTCCCCTAACCCGCCTGTCATCCCAGGCCGCCACTCTTCGGCCAGCACACCCGCACCATGGCTCCCGCAACACCTCGCCTGAGGATCTTGTCCGGTACGTCCGACGATGCGAGCTCCACCTCAGCTTCCGTTTTTTTTTTTCTTCGCTCTTGCCCGCCGCATCCGGGCGCTGCCTGTGATTGCCGCTTCGCTTCGACGCGGACCCTTTCCCTCAGCGACGATGTCACGCTAACGTTGTGCCTACAGTCGGCGGCAATGCCGTGTCGGCCTTCCTCTCCTGGCGCCTCCAAGCCACGAATACCTGCGATGTCACATTGGTGTGGAAATCAGGTTTCGAGCATGTGGCACAGTATGGCATTTCGATGAAGTACGTGGCAGCTCCTCCTCCACAGCACGAGGTCGTTCGGCGAGCTCACAGCGTTGTTCTTCAGGTCAAAATTATACGGCAATGAGCGTTTCAAGCCGCGTGCAGGTACGTGTCGACCAAACATGTTTCAGTCACCGCCCGCGCGAGGATCCCTGTAGCTGACGCGAACACAGTCGTACGTTCCCCCGAAGAGGCAGCAAGCCACTCGAAAGCACCCTTCGACTACGTCTTCCTTTGCGTCAAGGCCCTGCCCGATGTGTACGACATCGCCTCGGTCATTGAGTCTGTCGTTTCGCCCCAGCACACATGCATCCTGATCAACACAACACACTCGCTGGGCGTCGAGTCGTTCCTCGAGCAGCGCTTCCCGACAAATGTTGTGCTTTCGCTTGTTTCGGGCGCGGAGCTGCAGCAGCTGGGTGCGAGCGAGTTCGAGCACACGGGATCCACAGAAATCTGGGTCGGCCCGGCGAGCGAAAATCCGTCGATACCACCTTCGATCCAATCCGACATGGCGGATGCGTTGGCTATGACTCTGGGCTCTGGCCAGGTGGACTGCAAGGTTTCGCCGAACATCCGGCAGCAGCAGTACGAGCGGATGATCGGGTGAGGACGACGCGTCAAATCTGTGAAGACTGTCAGTGTGCTAACTCAGCCGCAGAAACATTGCGTTCCACCCGCCGAGCGTGCTTTTTGAGACTGCCAACCATGCGGAACTTATTGAGAAAGTTGGCGTCCGCTCGGTCATCTCAGGGGTCATTGACGAGCTCCTACAAATCGCGGCCGCGCAGGGTTGTCAATTCGGCTCCGACTTTAAGGACAAGACTATCGAAGCGATGACCCGTCCTCAGGAGGCGAACAGTACGATGTACCAGGACTTTGCCGCAAAGCGGCCGATGGAGGTGGAAACGTATTTAGGTTCCCCGATGAAGCTTGCACAGGAGGTCAACGTCCCGGTCCCTCGGATTGAGACACTGTACGCCATGCTTCACCACACCAACATCATCAACCAGCAGCGGCCTGCAGCCCCCGTCTCTCCGCAACAAACCGGTGGTCACCCACCAAGGATGTCTTCTACTACAATGTCCAGGGGGCCCCCTCCTAATGGCATGAACGGCATGAACGGTCATCCCATGAAGGGCAGCCGTCCCGGAAGCCGAGCGCCTTCCATGACCGGCGGCATTCCTGCGCCAGGAATGAGGAGGGGCCCGCCGCCTCCGAATGGCTTCCCGCCGCGGGGACCTCCTCCCATGGGCAACGGATACGGCGGTCCTCCCGGGCCCCCGATGCAGCGACGCCCATCTTTGGAAGGCAACGACCTGGAGGAGTTCAGCCACTTGATGCTTTATGATACCGTCCCCGAAGACGGTGACATGCCCGTGAATGGCATGTCGAATGGTGGCCCATACCCTGGAGCTGACATGTCCAATGGGGATCTTGCTTTGAGAGAAAGAGAACTCGCCCTGCGTCAGAAGGAGCTTGCTTTGAGGGAAAGAGAATACCACATGCGTGCGGGTCCCCCGGGACCAAGGCGGCCAATGCCTCCGGCTTCGCACGCCGGGGATTTCGACGAGGATGATGATGGAGATTTCTTCGATCCTATGGCGGCCCGCGCTCCCCCCGCCATCGACCCTGACAACTTTGACATGTTGAGCGTCACTTCGCGCCGCACCCGCAAGGCCCCCAGCGCTCAGCAGCTGCGCAAGAACCCGGAAATGGGCGGTCCGCCGGGTCCGCCGGTCTCGAACGGCCGCGGTCCTTCTCGGTTTGGTCAACGCCCAGGTATGAACAAGAGGACAAGCGCGAGGCTGATGTCGGACGTCCCTGGCCTCCACGATTCGATCATGAACAACGCTCTGATCGGATACTCGTCAGACCGCTACGGAAACGTCGACCGCGCAAACATGGGACAGCAATCTCGCACGAACTCTCTGACGGCTGCTCGTCTGGATGAAATGGCTGCACCTGGATATGGAGCTTACCCTCAGGGACGCAGGGCAAGCCAGTCACCTGGTAATCCCCTGAGCCCTGGCCGTGGACGGCCGTCGCCTCCCGGTGGTTATCCTCCCTACGCTAACGGACAACCCAACGGCAGGCCATCCCCGCCAGGCATGAGACAACCGGTCCCGCGGCACCCGCCCGGCCACGGCAATGCAGTGGCACCGCAGCAGGTTGAACAACATGTAGGGGTGAGCAACCCTCAGTCCAAGAGAGGCCCTCAAGTGCGCAGTCTGACTGGAAGTGCGAGCGCTAGCGCGGAGAGTGGTGACAGCGGCGCCAGCGCTCTTGTAGATTCTGAACCTTCTGCGGCCAGCAGCCAGAGCAGCCTGGGCCCGCGGCCCCAGATTGGCGTGCGCTGAGCTGCAGGGGGTTCTGCTTCGCTTCGATTAAAACGTACGATTTGCGGCATTCGACTTGGAGTATGTTGGCGCATTTCTGCTTGAGGGACGTCCGGTTTTATCTGCCCCCGACGACGCAACAACCCAAGAAACAAACAACAATATGACTTTAATTGGCAGCAAGCAAAGCCGAGGGCGATCTGCTCGCGCACGCGTCACACGCTCGGCACACGATCGAAAAGTCTCGAAATCTCTTTAGTGCAACCATCGTTCTTTTGTCCATACTCGGATGCGCTGCCCGTTGGCGGTCTTTCCTTCTTCTCCTTTCTTTTTCTCCTTCTCACTCTAATGACCTGGATAGAAGGGCGGGGCTGGATCAGGGCAACAGATTTTGCAGACGCACACCAACTGACATTCACACACCACGAAACATCTCGTTTTCCTTGCTGTTCTCTCCTTCTCTCAATTCCCCTTTCTACTGCACGTACATACATCGGCGTCGGTGCCGCCGACTGTTGAAAAGTGGAACGCCAGATGGGAGCCGCGTCCTAATTGTCCTTTCCTTGTTATCTGTTTGCATGGGGCGCGCGGGTTGCGTGGGGGGCTTGGGTTTCATCTGCGGTTCGATTGCGTTCTGTTCTTTCTGCTTCCTATACAAGTGATATGTTAGGGCCGCTGCGGGAAGCGGGTTGGCAGCGGATTCTGCGTTTATGCACCAGCATTTAAACTCGTCGCGTGAGGCGGGGAAAGTATTGTACTACTACATTCGGTGCTGGTCAGACGAGAGAGCTGGGGAGCGTTCGGCGGAGAGGGTGGGGGGTGGGCGGGCACAAAAGGGTGGAGTGAGACGGGTGGGGCAATGGAGAGTAGTAGAGCATACATACGACGGCGAACAAACAGCTTTTGGGCAAGGTGGCAGGTGATGCCGTGATTCCTCCGAGGCGACTGCCGGGTGGTTGCAACGGGCTGTGACGATATGGTGCGATGGGGCGTGCCGCGATGGGCCCTGCCACGGGCGGCGGCGAATCGTGTGGGCGCGAGTCAAGCACGGACGGCTCTGGCCGAAACGACGAACCGCGGCTGCGGCGGCGGGAGCCGCGTCCAGACGCGCTGATGAGGCTCTGGCCGGGTCCTCGCTGACGATGTTTTCTGCAGCGGCAGGCCAGGCGGTGGGAGCCCCCAGCACCGCTGTTCCTGCGCGCGAGGGACGGGCGTTCGGCTCACCACCACACGCCTGAGGCCTGTTCCTGCAGCCTATCGCAGCCCTCGCAGCCCCGTGGGAGCAAATCGCGCATCCTCCGCGCCCTCCGCCTCGCAGCCAGCGCCAGTCCCGCGCGGGCTGCCCTCTTACGTAGTGCCCCGCCGCCCAAGGCCACGCTGCCCCGCTCACTGCGAAGTAGGCCCGCGTCCAACAATTTCATCCGCCCTGACGTCCCACGCCCCAGGCAGACTGCGGTCTGCTAAATCACCGCAGCGGCGCTCCGATCCGGATTCTCCGTCGTCATCGCCCTCGAGCGCCTCACAGTTCCTCATCCAGCTCCAGCTCCGGAGCCGACTGCTGCCCGTAGCATTCCTCGCTCTCGTTCTGCTCGCCCAGTTCGTGATACCGCGCTTCTTTCTCGCGACCGTCTCCCCACCAGCCCACCCTCGTGACCCCCCGCGGCCTGCCTTTGCTCCAGGCTCGCATTTCCCCGACCGCCTGCTCCATAAAACCCCGCGGACCTGCTCCGCGTCCTCCCCTCCAGTCTCCCACAAGCACACCTTCTACACCTCCGTTGAACCCAGCATGGCATTGGCAGACGAAGCAAAGCGCGTGGCCGCGCAGTTCGCCTTCTCCTCTGACGATGTGCGCCGCGCCACCAAGGAGTTCATCAACCAGATGGGTAAGCCCTCCCTTCCCTCGTCGTCGCCCTCGCCCGCTGACCGCCGCCTGCAGAGGAGGGTCTCCAGAAGGACCACACCGACCTGAGCCAGATCCCTACCTACGTCACTGCTGTGCCCAATGGCACCGAGAAGGTGAATTCCAGCCGCCTCGCGGTCAATTGCGCGTGGACTGACAGAAGCGCAGGGCCTGTACATGGCTGTCGACCTCGGCGGCACCAACTTCCGCGTCTGCTCCATCATGCTGCACGGCAACAGCACCTTCACCCTCACCCAGACCAAAGTCGCCATCCCGCGCGAGCTGATGGTCGCCAAGACGTCCAAGGAGCTCTTCTCCTTCCTCGCCAAGCAGATTGAGCTCTTCCTGAAGGCTCACCACAACGAGCACTACCAGGGCCACATTCGCAGGCGCAAAACCACCTCGCTGGAAGAGGGATACCGCGATGAGGAGATTTTCAACCTGGGCTTCACCTTCTCGTTCCCTGTACACCAGATTGGCATCAACAAGGGCGTGCTCATGCGCTGGACCAAGGGATTCGACATCCCTGACGCGGTGGGCAAGGATGTGTGCGCGCTGCTGCAGGCCGAGATCGACGAGCTGCACCTGCCCGTTCGCGTCGCGGCCCTGGTCAACGACACTGTAGGCACGCTCATGGCCCGCTCATACACGTCTCCCGGCAAGACCGGCACTCTGCTGGGCGCCATCTTCGGCACCGGCACCAACGGCGCGTACGTTGAGAAGCTGGACAAGGTGACGAAGCTGAAGGCAGACTCCGAGGCCGTGTACGACAAGTCGACGGGCGACATGATCGTGAACACCGAGTGGGGTTCGTTCGACAACAGCATGAAGGTGCTGCCTACCACACCGTATGACGACGAGCTGGACAAGACCAGCAACAACCCGGGCATCCAGATGTTTGAGAAGCGCGTGTCGGGCATGTTCCTGGGCGAGATCCTCCGCCTGGCGCTCGTCGACCTGATCAAGAACAAGGACGTGCCCCTGTTCAAGGACGACAACTCGTCGAGCAACGACATGCACAGCACGACCAACATCGCCGCGTCGTCGAGCGTCTTCAAGCAATGGGGCATCGACACGTCGTTCCTCAGCATCGCCGAGGCCGACACCTCGCCCGGCCTGCGCATCACGCGTCAGACGCTCGACAAGGACTACGGCATCAGCGCGGCGTCGGTGGAGGACGCCGAGGCCGTCAAGGTCATCGCCAACGCCGTCGGCAAGCGCGCCGCCCGCCTGTCGGCCGTGGCCATCGCCGCCATCATCATCAACACCGGGCGCCTCAGCGACGAGGTCATCGACATTGGCGTCGACGGCTCGCTCGTCGAGTTCTACCCCGGCTTCGAGGACTACGTCCGCCAGGCCCTGCGCGAGGTGCCCGAGATCGGCGACAAGGGCGAGAAGAAGATTCGCATCGGCATCGCCAAGGATGGCAGCGGTGTCGGCGCCGCGCTGATCGCGTTGGTCGCGGGTAAGGTGGACAAGCCTGAGACCATCGACGAGGAGGAGGACTAGACGGTAGACGAGAAGGAAAAGATGGAGGACCAAAATATGATTGTTACGGATTCTTATGCGAACTGATGTGTATATTAGGGTCATTGGTTTTCTTTTTGGGTGAGAGTAGAATAAGGTTTCGTTGGTGTGTGGGATATGGGATGCGTGTGGTCTCTCTGGGAGGGAACACCAGGGGTTAAGCGCTTTACTACGATTCCACTACGTTTTTTCTAAACTTATTATCTTGCTGCTTTCCCTGCCTCCAGAGGCTGAAGCAAGTCTTACGACACCACACTTCGCGTTCTTCCTACTTTACTATATTCCCACAATCATCGCGCCACTTGTTCCACAATCCTCTTCGCATCTACGTAATGTCTTGCGCAGATAGATACGAGTAGGCAGCATCATGACCCAAATGACAAGACTTAGAGCAAATCCAAATGAACAGCGTCTTGTGAGCATCTTGGCCGTCAAGTCTTCGCTTTACTGCTGGACTACCGTAAGGCCATGTCCCCAGGATCGTCTTCAGCACAGCCGGGACGACCGGGGGGGTCGATGGTCTTGATTCCTCCTTCTTTTTCCCACATCCCTGCTTCACACAATGTGCTCCCATGCAAAGACTATAATATCCTGTGATGCCTCGAGAATCCTCCGATCGATCCAAGTGCGGCATTTATTATTGCCCGTGAGGAAAAGATGAGCCAGACCCGCGCGCTTGCAAGCAGCCCCCTCCCCCCCTCCCTCCTTCATGCTGACGAACTCCGCCAGCCAATGAGCGCACACGACACCGACATTCGGCCAATCGTCTCTCCCGCGCCCGTGTTCTGCCGCCTCATGCAATCCTCGAGGCTATTCTCATGCCTCCATGCCATCGCTGCTTCGTGGGTGGTGCAAACTAGCTAGCCGGCTGTATGGGCCAGATGGGCCGGGTCATGTTTGCCCATCGACGTCTCGTTGGTTGATTGGGTCCGGGTGTGACTGGGGGGTTCGTCTCTCGCTCGTTTTGTCTTCGTCCTTTCGCTGCTGCGGGGTTGTTCCTTGTTTTGGGAGGGAAGGACGTCCGCTATGTTTTGGAGTAACGTCGTGAGGAAAGGTGGACTTGCGGTTGAGACGGGTGTGGTGTGTGTTTACTTGACGAGCCCTGGAGAAGCCCGACCTAGGCAAGCATGCAGCCGACAGGCTTGTACGTAGACAGTTCCGGAGTTAAGTAGTACTTTACGGTGTCTCTCTTTCCGGTCACTCCCTGATGTTCACGTAGCATTTTATTTCCGCAAGCTCTTCCACCCCTCTCCCCCTCCCTTACTCACCCAGCTATTTCTTTACATCCGTCCTTCCCTATCAGGCCAGCACCAGCACCAGCACCAGCAGCACTCTCCACCCCTCCCATCCCCTCACCCTCCCCGTCCCCCTCCCCTTCCTCCTCCTCCGTTTCTTCCCCCTCTTCTTTCCCCTCCTCCCCTTCCTCCCCCTCCGCAGCCCCAGCAGCCCCAGCAGCCCCCTCCACATCCTCCTTCCCAGCAACAGCACCCACTCCCCCCACTCCCCCCACTAACCAATCCCCCACCCCGACCCTCCTCCACACCACCCACGCCGCGCTCGGCCGCAGCCGCCGATAGTAGCCCTCCTCCCTCCTCGCCACGTCGAACCCGCGCCGGCGGTACCACGCCAGCCCGTCCTCGTTGGCGACCCACACGTGCGCGCACACGGCGGCGACGCCGTGGCGGCGGGCGGCGGTGGCGACGACGTCGGCGAGCAGGTGCGTGGCGAGGCCGTGGGAGCGGTAGGGGGAGAGGGTGGAGAGGGTGGCGATGTAGAGGTGTGGTTGTGGTTTGGGAAGGTGGTGCTGGGGGGCTGGGGGCTGGGTTTGGGTTTGGGTGGTGCTGGTGGTGGTGGTGGTTGGGGGTGCGGTTTGTAGGGGGGAGGCGCTGGGGGAGAGGAGGCGGCACCGGATGCCGGCGATGAGGATGCCTGGGGAGGGGGTTTTTTGGTTCGGTGCGGTGGAGGTGGAGGTGGGGGTGTTGCGCCAGAAGGCGGCGAGGGTGATGGAGGCGGTGGTGGGGTCGGTGAGGATCTCGTCGTAGAATTTGGTGGGGTAGGGGATCTCGAGGAGGAGGGTGTTGAGGCGGCGGAAGGAGGGGAGGGTGGCGCTGGTGAGGGGCGCGAGGGTGATGTTCGGGGCGAGGGGCGCGAGCGTCGTCGTTCTTATGCTTGTTGTTGGAGGTGGTGGTGAACCGTGGGCGGGTGCGCTGCCCGATGCAGTAGCGCTGCCGCTGCCGCTGCCGCTGCCGCTGCCGTGCGCGAGGACTGCGGCTGGAGCGGTGGGCGTGATGGTGGCTCCATCGTCGGCTGCCGTGTCCGTGATTGGTTTCGCGGGGTGCTCAGGGTTGCTATCGGGCTTCTTTGGGCGCTGCGGCTCCAGCGGGACGGCGTCGGGTTGGGAGACGGCTTTGGGCTTGCTGAGCCATTTCGTGATGGATGTTTGCAGCATCGCGCCGGGCTGTGCGAGCCGGCATCGCAGATTGGGTGAGGAAAGTGGAAAGCGGGAGACGCGTCTGTAGAAAGTAGCTCCGGCGCGCTGCACGTGACGGCTATTTGGCTGGTGGAGAGCGAGTCGGAGGCTTGTGCGGTCACCGACGTCAACCTCCCCAAGCCCGCAAATTCCGACCTCCTACACTATCCGATCCCTCCACCACCGCCCAATTCCCCCCCAACCACCCGACTTCACCATGGGCGCGGGCAACTCCAAACCCGACGGCACCGCCCAGCATGTCTTCAACCCGTATGTCCCCTTCCCGCCCCGACGGCGAATTGAGAGAAAAGATTGAGAGCTGACCGGAGCTGACCCTCGGCCACTGCAGCGATGCTCCCGTCCGCTTCTCGTCGGAATTGATCGACTCGCTCCAGAACAGTCCTCAGGTTCGTGGTCTCCCCGTCTTCGCGCCATCAATTGGACCCCTCCCGCCCGCACAGAGCTGCTACTCCGCCATCGCCTCCTCCGCCCGTCCGACAACCCCCACCCATTGAACGTCCCCATCGCGCACAAAGCTGAGACAGACAAACGAACCACAGTCCGACACGACCCGCTCCAAGGCGCTGGAGCTGCAGGTGCAGACGCGCGTCGAGCGCGAGCTGTCGCAGCTGCGGGCCAAGGAGGAGCAGCGCCTGCGCGAGCTGCAAGACGCCATCGCCTCGGCCTCGGACAAGGACGCGGACGCGTCGGCGTCGGCGGAGCCGTCGCTCGCCGAGAAGCTGGCCGACAGCCTCAGCTCGGCCGACGCCGTGGCCGAGCGCCAGCGCCGCCGCGAAATCAGCCACGGCGCCGTCCAGCGCGAGATCGACGGCCTGCGCAAGAAGCTGGACGAGCGCAAGCGCCTCGAGAAGCCTGACCAGGGCGTCGAGGAGGCGAAGCTCAAGATTGTCGAGTGCCTGCGCGTCAACGACAGGAGGCCGCTGGATTGCTGGAGGGAGGTTGAGGCGTTCAAGAAGGAGGTTGGGAGGCTGGAGAAGGAGTTCGTGGAGCGGACTGTGCGGTAGTGGGATGGGTGGGACGATCGGCTTCCTACAGAACGCGCCGCTCTGGACTGGAGGTTTTAGAGAGAAGAGTGGCAGGGTCGACGTGTGTGTATTGGCGGGGTGACGTGAGGCTGCCGCATCCCTAGGCTCGCCTATCAAGAGGGAGAGCGGCGGAAGTGTATCCATATCTTGAGCGCGATCAAGCGCTTTAAGCTGCGAATAGAGTTTCCTACGGCATATTGCGGAGGTGACATTACAGTGACGATGTGCAGAAGAACCAAATCTAGGTGATTTGCGGCGGTTTTTTCATCTTCACAAGCTTGCTATTGAAACACTGTGGATGAATGAGGCAGATGGAGCCTATTATAATGTCCAGATGAATGGTTTGATTTGCGATATCTTGGGATGCCCGGGTTGAAATCAGCCCTCGCTAGAAAGATACTAAACTATAGACTTGGCTAATTTATCTATACCTCCCCAACTAACTCGCGTCATGACGGTCTTCAGGCTTTAGATGTCCAAAGTTCAGTAAACTCAATTAAGATTAGACCAAAAATGGAAAGGCCAATGGCATCAATCTATTCATTCATTCAAAGGGAAATTTTGACTTCGGCGTGGATGGGGCTGACTTTGTTCAAAGTACTATTGTCGGTGAATTGTAGCATTTGGCATGAACGTAGGCATAGAACGATAGCTGCACACCCAGGTCCACGGTCCCTCTAAGTGTTGGAATCTCCTGCCGTGGAATAGTGGAAGCGAAGTTCCTATCAACTACTGACTATCAACAGACTTGCACTAAAGCCCGTTGGTCAAGATCCAGTCGTCTATCTACTCTTCGTCCAATTTTCCGCCTGTTTACAGTGATCCTTGCATACACGTAGTTAGAATCATAAGCGTATCGTGCTTTACAAGTCATTTTACCTGCTAAGCTTTTAGATCTACAGATGCTCCAGAAACACCCGCTACCATCCGAGCCTTGCCGTTGTGCCATTCACTTCAGCCTCCGGATCGACGTGATATAGTGAAGCCCAGTTCTTACTCCTTCTACATTAGTTGAGACACTATACACATGAAATGTACGGGAAAAACGACGAGGATTCCGCCCCATCCCACTCTTTTCAGTCCTCGGCCGGTCACAACCCGCCAAAAAAAAAAAAAAACACATCCAACCACACCATCCTCCCTTCACGCCGTCCCTTCAACCACACTCCCCTGCCTCCTCACCACCTCCTCCACCTGCTCATGCCTCGTGCTCTGGCCCCTATACTCCCTCCTCCCCCTGCACACCCAATCGACGCCCATAATCGCGCACACGACGCCATACACGGCACTCACATAATTCATATTGCTCGCCTCGACGGGCTTCGAATACGGAAAGCTGTACATGACGACGGTAAACGCCGTCCAGGCCAACAAGACGACATTCGCAGCGGCGCCTATGGGCCCCAGCCAAAACGGGCCGTGCTCGATGGAGTCGCGGCCGCGCAGCAGCAGGCAGGCGACGGGGATGCTGTACGAGACGTAGAGCAGGACGATGCAGGCGGTGACCATGCTGTTGAAGGCGGTGTAGGAGCCGAGGTAGAGGCAGCCGACGGCGGCGACGAGCGCGCAGCTGGCGGCGTGGGCCGCGAGCGGCACGTCGAGGCGGAGGTGGACGCGGGCGAGCCACCCGTGGAAGGGCAGCCCGCGGTCGCGCGCGAAGGACCAGCAGAGCCGCGACTGCCAGGTGTGCGAGGCGACGAGGCAGCCGAGGCCGGTGGCGATGATGAGGGCCTCGAGGGCGATGGCGCCGGCGGTGTTGGAGGTCGCGCGCGCGAAGAGCTCGAGGATGGGGACGAGTGTCGGGGTCGCGACGAGCTCTTGGAAGTCGCCGACGATGCTGAAGAACATGGCGACGGAGTAGGTCCAGGAGGTGGCGAAGCCGATGCCGACGGTGCCCATGATGGCGATGGGGATCATGCGCTCGGGCGCGTGGACTTCTTCGGCGAGGTGCGTGGCGCAGTCGAGGCAGGCGAAGGCCCAGTTGGTGTTGACGAGGCCGACGATGAAGGCGATGCCGTTGGAGTTCCAGCCCGTGTTGTTGATGAAGGTGGCGAAGACGAACTTGGCGTGTTGGTGTGTGGGCGCCGCGGCGGGGATGGCGATGAGGATGACGGCGAAGGAGATGAGGGAGATGTAGAGCGTTGTGGACGAGATTGCGGGGAGCACTTTGCCCCAGCAGTTGAAGACGAAGCAGAAGACGTTGACGACCTGATAGGCGACGAAGACATGCCAGGTCTCGATCACGCTGAAGGTAGTTGTGTTAGCCTCGGTGGAGTGGCAAGGTGAGGGACTGGATGCGGGCTTACAAGTCAGGATGTGACAGCTGCCAGCAGCCGCATAGTGCGCTGCCCATGGCCAAGGCGACGCTGGCGGACGTGAATATAGAGCCGGCCCACGCAAACCATCCGGTCAGGTAGGATGCGAAGTTGGCGTACCGCTTCGGCGCCAGTTCGTTGGCCCAGAAGTACTGGCCTCCGGCGTTGGGGAGTGCGCTGGCCAGTTCTGAAAGGGAGATGCCGACGCAGACAGATACGCAGACGATGATCATGATGCCGTAGACGATGAGCAGCGGGCCGCCCGAGTTGATTCCAGTGACCAGTGCTGCCGAAATGCCAAACCATGAGTTGGTCAGCGAGAAGCCCACGCCCAACACAGACCAGACGCTGAAGTTGCGCTGCATGTCCTGCGTGTAACCCATCTCTGCCAGCTTTGCGGCATCGGCATCAATCGCCTTCACCTCCCCCGCCATGAAGGATGGCCTGCTGTCCGACCTGGCGATTTCTTTTGACGATCCCCCCATGGTTGCTGCTTGACTGAAAAGTGAATGGGAGGGTGGCGCTGGTCCCCGAGGTGGCTATGTCGCGGACCTCAACAAGTACTCGGAGCTAGTTGTTTGATACTGCTGGACTGTGTGGGTGCCGGTTGGGGTGTGGTGCTCTTCATAGGCACGCCTTGAATGTTCTCCCCGAGCAAGGGCGCGCAATTGCCTGGCGAGTGGGATTCTTCGCAGGAGGACTGGCCGAGACGTAGGCAAGACGCAGCGGCGCTTGGATTTTGGACGGCGAGAGAGAGTATAAATAATCAGATAAGCACAGAAAAGACGTAGGTTGAGCGAGTAAGCACACGGCGATAAGGGAGCAATCAAGATAGACAGGGGAGGCTGGTTGTTCCACACAAGCCAGTAAGGTGGGTGAAGAAAGGCTACCGGGGGCGAGGGAAGAGCGCCTTGAGCATGTGATTTGCTCGTGGGAGCAGCAGTTATATATATTTGAGCATAGAGTTGCAGCCAACATGCGGCAGGAATCCTTGGTCCTGGCAAGCTTTCGGACGGCTACGCGTGGGTGCAGGGCTTCGGTGCGACCATCGTCCATGTAGCCCTACGACGGGACCCGATTGCCTCGCGGGTAGGGTAACCATGACGGATGATAGGCATGGATGACGGGGTGCGGCGAGCACAGATATTAGGCTGGAATCTGATAGGAGGTATGACTCTGCCACCAACGCCAGCTGCAACGCTACGCTACGCCGTACTGCGCCGCCATGCTTCTCCGTCGCGTGCTTTTCTGTTTCCGCTGTGCTTGGCGACTCAGATGTGTAAGAAGCACCTGGGTTTCGATTGCGATGCAGCGCGATGCAGGGCGCCAAGTGGGACAAAAAGGAAAAAAGGCTGGCTGACATTGCTACGGCGGCCTCGATGGCGGTGGTCTGGGTGAATGTTCCAGACGGGCGCCTATCAAGGGCGGGGGGAGGATTGATAGATTGGCGATTGGCCTTACTGTTGAGGTTGCGCAACGAGCTGATAACATCATGGCCGAAGCAACCACCGCTGCACCACGCCGACGAGGCACTGCCGGGTTGTCGTCAGCAATGCTCGCACGTCTCAGACGCCGCGTTCGCCGCAGAGTCCGTCTCTTCCCCAGCTCGAGGCCGTGTGGAACGCAGCCAACCAGACCTTGGCAAGAAATACCCGCGCTCGCAGGAGGGAGCCAAGCTCCAAGGGCACACTCCTGCAGGCTTCCCGCCCGCTGTCCGCCGATAGGCGATCATGCCTGTTGCAGTAAAACTTCCCCCTTCAGTCGCTTTCCCGCAAACAGGCAAATGAAGTCTTCCATTCCGGCCACGAGACAGCCAGCCATGCGCAGCCGCAAGCAGAGACAGCAGAGTCCCAAGATCCAGCGGCCCGGTTCAGGAACAGGCGGCGCCCACGTTCCGGCACGTCGCAGTCACCCGCTTTGCTGATTCGCCGGGATTCAATGCGGTTCGACGTGGCGCAGAGCGTGTCTACTGTGTACTGTGAGGAGGCGTGGGGTGATGGAGACGGCGATGGATGCGGTCGAGGGACAAGCAGAAGAGGGCGTCTCGGGAGCCAGCGAAGGCGACTGCTCTACTACTGCCCCGCCGGCGTCACGCGTCGTGCGCGCTCGTGCCTCGCGTCGGACATGCAGCGCGTCGCTTACTACGCACACGTGCATGGCGGTGTGCGGTGTGCCTAGCTCAAGACAGACGCGCAGGCCGGCAGGAGGGACGAAAGGCAGCGGGGTGAAGAAATTGGTTGAGAGTCTCTTATGATTTCGGTGCGGCGAGTCAGCGGCGGCTGGCCCATCTGCATGGCACCATTTGGGGCACGCGCACGCGCAGCTGTCGGCAAAACCTGTCGGCTGGCGCACTCCACATCCGACCCGCCCCTTTCGTAAATGCGCAATAAATGCGTTTGGGGAGACGAGAGAGCTGGCGCGGGCCGTGGGCGGGCTGATGGGTGACGATGATACGGCAGGCAGCAGGAGCAGCAGGAGCAGCAGGAGCAGCCGCCCCCCGCCCCCCGCCCCGCCCCAGGCGCCCCGGCCGATGCGGCGGCGATGCAGCAGCGAAGCCCCGAGCCCCGAGCCCCCAGCCCAACCGCGCCAGGGCCACCCGGACAGACAAGGCAGCGGCCGCCGCTGCTCGTCCTGCCCGTAGAGGAGAAACGCCACGAGCCGCGAATCCCAATACACAGCGTGTTAGCGAGCCTGGCGCCCTGTGCCACAGCAGCAGCAGCAGAAGCGAAGACTGCCAGCCTCGCCTCGCCGTTCCCCGCCAAAGGCCAAGCCAACCCCGGCCTGCCTGCGCCATCGCCCCCCTGCTCCCCTGCTCCCCCGCCCGACAAACCACACAGCTGGCCGATGATGGCCGATGGACCATGGGAATGCCCGGGCCAGCCGCTGCCAATCCCCCGTTCCTGACGCCACCGCCCGCCCAACATGGCCAGCTCGTCACACGCATCTTGCCCTCACACTGCCGATCCTTACTTCCCGCTCTGCACCACGGCCCTCCGCCCTTGGGGCCACTATTGACACCATCCACACTAGTGGCATCGTGCAGCGCCGCTCGCTGCAGCTCAGCGAACAGCCAGTCATGCACACGCCCTGTGTCCATTTCACCAGCTCTCATACGATTTCGACGTCGCTTTTGCCAGCCCCCGTCCCCCGGAAAAGCAATGCACGAAAGAGAGCGTGAAGATATGCGGGGAGCGGCATCGACACCCGACACATCACAATTTTCTTTTTTCCCACGCCCTCGCTCTAGCCCACGACCGCTGGAGCATGCATTGCCTGATGCCTGCCATGCCGCGGCCCTCACTACTCTTTCGTGCATGTCCCCGGACGAGGACAGCCCTACCGAGTGGTTGACGTGTCTGCCTACCGGTCGTATGCTTAAGCTTTTACCTCCCATGTATAAGCCCCATTGCTGTGTAAGACACGGGTGCATGTCAGATAACGCACACCCATGCTGCCTCCCTGGAAACTACCGCTCATGCGCCCAAGCCCCAACGCGCGTACCTGCAACTCGTGTTCGTCTCATGCCGTCTCTTTTCTTATCTCTCTACGGATTACGGATTACTCGCTTGAACCGGAGCAAAGCCACAATGCTGGGTGGCCAGGTTTGATCGTGTAGCAAGCAAGCAAGCATGCACCGCAGCCCAAGCACACGGCACATCATAACGAACGATTGACGACAGACACACCCACTGAAGGATGATTCCCATCGGCACGCGGCCCGGCTGGGGCTGGGGAAAGAAAAGCCACGTGCTGGTTCCTGCATCAACCACCTTGCTTGTTCCGCTTTGCTCTCTCATCAGCGCCGGAGAGCCGGGTCATCGCAATGCCACACACTACACAGCAGTTTCTCCGGCGCGGCGGGAGTCGGGCGATTGGGACTGACTCCACCAGCCTCTCTGGTCTGCCGGCCCCGTCTCCGGGCATACAACCAGTTGTCCAATCAAGACATCAACATCTGCCACTCTGCCCATCTCCATTCCCGTGGTCGATGCTTCTCAATGTCCATCATTAATATCGCACCGCCTCTCCCGCTTACCAGCGCCTCCTCTCGCCCAGTCCCGCTGCCGTCTCCGCTCCTTTGATTGTGTCTCAGGTCATGCCGGCAAAAGGGCGCGCGCACCATGCACAAGGAAAGAAGCTCGAGCCAGGCCGCGCTCTTTGGAGCCCCGTCCCTTGTCAGTCGGTTCGTCTAGCCCTTTCGCTTGCTTCCTCCGACCGTTTGGCCGTGCTGAGCTGTGTGGAAGGATGGCTACCCCGTGCGGGTCTAGCCTTTTGCTCTCGTCACGAGGGAGAGCAGGACTTGCCGATGGCTAACGGGCGTTCGACGGCCCTTCACGAGAACTCAAACGTGACGGCAAGTGTGGCTTTTCACAACGCTCGAAGGAGCTGGGGTTTCGTAACGTGTCACCAGCCTTTTGGTCTCCTTCGTATTGATTTTTCCCCTCCCCCATGGTGATGGAGTGGAAACGGGGAGATGGTTGCTGCCGCATTTTAGTTACCCGCCTTCCTGCGTCGTGCCCTTGATGCTCGCTGAAAGAACGAATGCCCTGCTTCTAACGCACTTTTGGACAAAAACCAACCCGCCACCGTCGACGTTTTGCGTTCACTTGGTGAGAAACTACGACAGGCTTCCGTATAGAAACTGCGCCAAGTCGAACCCTCCAACCTTCGACATCAAACACCCAAACCCAGTTTCCACCCTGACCTACTCAAGGCGTGTCCTCCAGTGCTATTACACTGCATCTCCCTCTCTTCTCTGAGAGAAAACCCGCATCTCATTACCTCACCACCATAGCTACTACACGGGTCCCGGCCCCTCAAGCAATATTAGAAGAAGAACAGGGTCCAGCACTCGCGTGGTGGTGGTGCAGTCAACGTTTGACGAACATAACCCAACCGACACCACAACCCCCCGAACGATCTCCGACAACAGCAGTCACGTCCCAAAAGAGCAAGGAAAGGAATCCAGAGCCCTCCAATCACATTGGCTCTGGCTGGAAAAGCTCGTCAGCAAGCAGCATGCCAGTTGGGGTAATAAGAGG